TGGTCTTCCCAGGGTACTCCCTCCCCTTCCAGACTCGCCTGCTCCTCCCTGTATTCCCTGTGTCGAGGGGCGGCAGCGCGCCGCTCCTCACTCCTCCTCCTTTCCCCCGACGACTACTCCTTTGCAGACGCTCCACTTGGACGTGTGGGGCCCAGCCCGCGTCCGTGGCCAGGGTCAGGAGAGGTACTTCCTGATTGTTGTTGACGACTTCTCGCGCTTCACCACGGTCTTCCCCTTGCGCGCCAAGGGTGACGTCCCTGATGTATTGATCCCCTGGATCCGCAGATCTCGTCTCCAGCTCAGTGAGCGTTTCCGCTCCGACTTCCCTGTCCTGCGTCTGCACTCTGACAGAGGTGGGGAGTTTACCTCTGGCCTCTTGGAGGCCTTCTGTCAGCAGGAGGGCATTGAGCAGTCGTACACGCTTCCGGCCTCTCCACAGCAGAATGGGGTTGCTGAGCGCCGCATTGGTCTGGTCATGGAGGTCGCTCGTACCTCCTTGAGCCATGCGGCTGCCCCCCATTTTCTGTGGCCGTTTGCAGTCCGATACGCTGCGCATCAGCTCAACCTCTGGCCCCGTGTCTCCTTGCCCGAGACTTCTCCGACACTACGTTGGACGGGAGAGGCTGGCGATGCGTCGCGTTTTCGGGTCTGGGGATCCCAAGCTTTTGTCCGCGACACGTCCGCGGACAAGCTCTCCCGTCGCGCTGTCCCCTGCGTCTTCCTTGGCTTTGTCCCGGACGCCCCTGGTTGGCAGTTCTACCACCCCACCTCGCGTCGTGTCCTGGCCTCTCAGGACGTCACTTTTGACGAGTCCGTCCCCTACTACCGCCTCTTCCCCTACCGCACTGCCCCGCTCCCCCCCCCGCCTCTCTTCCTCGCTCCAGGTGCTGAGGTACCAGACCCCCTCCCCCCTCAGGGTGCCGCTCCCTCAGGTGTGTCCCAGGTAGACCCGGGTGAGCCTGTCGAGGTAGCTGTTGACTCTCGTCCTGCTAGGGGTGCTGAGCCTGGGGGTGCTGCGTCTGGGGGTGCTGAGCCTGGGAGTGCTGAGTCTGGGGGTGCGGAGCCTGGGGGTGCTGAGCCTGGAGGTGCGGAGCCTGGAGGTGCGGAGCCTGGAGGTGCGGAGTCTGGGGGTGCTGAGTCTGGGGGTGCTGAGCCTGAGCGTGCTACACCTGGAGGAGCCCTCTCCTCCCAGCAGCTGCAGGAGAGGTACCTCGAGTACTGCCGCCTCCGGAGAGGTGCTGCTGGAGCTCGTCCCGGTACTTCCCCTCCTACCCAGGAGCTCCCCCCCATTCAGCAGATCCGCGAGTGGTACACACGGCGCTGCAGTCTTCGGAGTGGTGCTCCTGGTGCTGTGGACCCTGGGGGTGGCGCTGCTGCTGGTGCTGAGGACCCGGACGTTGGAGCTGCTGCTGGTGCTGCGGACCCGCCTGGTGGAGCTGCTGCTGGTGCTGAGGACTCGGACGTTGGAGCTGCTACTGGTGCTGAGGACCCGGGCGGTGGAGCTGCTGCTGGTGCTGAGGACTCGGACGGTGGAGCTGCTGCTGGAGCTGAGGACCCGGGCGTTGGAGCTACTACTGGTGCTGAGGACCCGGCCGGTGGAGCTGCTGCTGGTGCTGTGGACCCGGACGCTGGAGCTCCTACTGGTACTGAGGACCCGGCCGCTGGAGTCTCTTCTGCTTCTGGAGACCCTGCGCGGCCGCGACCGTACTTCGTACCGCTCCTTCAGCAGGTTCTTGGGCAGGCTCCTCCTCCTTGTCCTCCTCCCTCCGTAGAGTGTCCTCCGCCTGTCCAGCCGCAGTCACTGTTACCGCCTACCTCGCCTCTCCCTGCTCCCTCTCCTTACACTGGTCCCACAGGAGGTCTTACAGAGCGTCGTGAGTCTGAGTCTCGTCCTGCGTCGCCTGTTCGTCCTGCTCGCACTGGTAGTCGTGTCCGTCGTGAGCGTCCTCCTCCTGTCCCAGGCACTCACTACATGACTCTGCGTCCCTCTACTGCTCCTCAGCGTGTCCCTCTACCGTCTCCTCCTGCGTCCTCTTTGCCTGACGTTCCGGCCCCTGAGTCTGACCGGTATCGTGCTGAGCACCCTACTGTCACACGTCTCCTCGCTACTGTTGTCACTGACCCTACCTTTGAGTCCTCGGCTGCGTCTGCTCTGGTCGCTGAGTTGGTTGACTTTGCTGCTGCCTGTCGTCTAGACTACGCTGCTAGCCTTGTTGCTGAGTCTGAGTCTGAGTCTGTCTGTCCTCCGTCCGTCGGGGGTGAGTGTGCTCTTGGCACGGACGTCCTTGAGGACAGACAGGAGGAGTTCCAGTGTCTTGCTGCTGCTTTGCCCCGTCTCGTGTCCTTGCTAGTTGCCCCTGAGGGAGACCCGGATGCACCAGACATCCCGACCCCGCGCACTTACGCTGAGGCGATGGCGGGTCCCTACTCCTCTCAGTGGCAGACAGCCATGGACGCCGAGATGGCTTCCTGGAAGTCCACACGCACCTACGTCGACGAGGTTCCCCCTCCTGGGGCGAACATCGTCAGTGGCATGTGGATTTTCAGGGTGAAGCGGCCGCTGGGTTCTCCGCCTGTCTTCAAGGCGCGTTACGTGGCTCGAGGCTTCAGTCAGCGAGAGGGAGTTGACTTCTTTCAGACCTTCTCCCCCACCCCGAAGATGACTACTCTTCGGGTGCTGCTGCACATAGCCGCTCACCGCGACTACGAGCTTCACTCACTTGACTTCAGCACTGCTTTCTTGCAGGGCAGCCTGCACGAGGAGATCTGGCTGCGCCGCCCACCTGGCTTCACTGGGTCGTTTCCTCCTGGTACCCAGTGGAGGCTTCAGCGGCCGGTCTACAGTCTCCGCCAGGCTCCGCGTGAGTGGCACGACACACTGAGGACTACACTTGCGGCTCTTGGGTTCGCGCCTTCTACTGCTGACCCGTCGCTGTTCCTGCGCACCGACACTTCGCTGCCGCCGTTCTACATCCTCGTGTACGTCGACGACTTGGTCTTTGCCACTGCTGACACTGCAGGACTCGCCTACGTGAAGTCGGAGCTGCAGAGGAGACACACGTGCACAGACCTGGGTGAGCTGACAAGCTATCTTGGCTTGCGGATCACCCGGGACAGAGCACGGCGCACCATCACCCTGACTCAGTCACACATGGTGCAGCAGGTTCTCCAGCGCTTCCGCTTCACGTACTCCTCGCCTCAGTCCACTCCTCTGCCTACCGGTCACTCGCTCTCAGCTCTGCCTTCGGATGAGTCCGTAGAGCCGAGTGGCCCGTATCCAGAGCTTGTGGGCTGCCTCATGTACCTGATGACCTGCACTCGACCTGACCTTGCATACCCTCTTAGCATCCTTGCACGCTATGTCGCTCCTGGCCGTCACAGGAAGGAGCACATGGATGCCGCTAAGAGGGTGTTGCGCTACTTGTGCAGTACGTCGGGCATGGGGCTTGTGCTTGGAGGGCGAGACCGAGTTGTTCTCACAGGGCACTCAGACGCTTCTTGGGCAGACGACCAGGCCACTCAGCGGTCGTCTCAGGGTTACACCTTCAGCCTTGGCTCTGGCTCAGTTTCTTGGCGCTCTACACGCTCTTCTTCTGTTCTCGGCTCCAGTTGCGAGGCTGAGATCTACGCTACAGCCATGGCTGCCCAGGAGCTACGCTGGCTGACCTACCTGCTGACCGACCTCGGAGAGCCGCCTCGTTCTCCTCCAGTACTGTACGTTGACAACAAGGCTGCCATTGCCTTGTGTGAGGAGCACAGACTGGAGCACAGAACGAGGCACATCGCCCTGCGGTACTTCCTTGCTCGTGAGCTGCAGCAGCGCGGTCAGCTTTGTATTCGCTACGTGGCCACTGAGGCCAACACTGCTGATGTGTTCACCAAGGCGCTTCAGTCTCGTGACCATCAGCGCTTCTGCACTCTACTAGGCCTTGTGCCTACTGGACCTCACTTACTTACCTCTTGACTTTGCTTGTACTGTGATCACTATATATATCTATACCTGCATGTTTACTCTTGCTAGGTTGTGATCACTGTATCTCTTGCTCTGTTATAAACCTGCATGTGAACTGGTCTTGTGACCACTAGCTTGTGCTCGGAATTTGTGTGGAATCCTTGAGATCCACCCTGAGCTTGTTGTTGCCTTGCTTTGCCTTGACTGGTCTTGTGACCCCTAGGTCTTCCCCACTTTGCCTATGGGGGTGTGTCAAACATTATACATGTTGTATTTGTGTAGGCTGTAGTGGGTTAGCCTATAGGGGGGTCACAACATTAGGGTTTCATATTTGTACTCACAATCCTTGCTAGTTCATCATTCCAGTCCGTTATTTCTGACAGAAACCTCCCACTAGCATACAACGTGAGGTTACGAAATCAGCAAAGCAACCTCCAGCGTTGCGTCGAGGGTTATGATTCGGCCGCTAAGTGGCTCAGTAGTAACAAAATGATATCTATTGGTTTTTGCAATTCATCTTAGCAGCGCTGTCGCATTTCTGAGCAACGATTGGTTACATTGGCATTTTGGGCACGGTGAGGTGTACAGCAATACTGCATCCAGCTCGACAAATCGAAGGGGATCACTGCCAGCTCGACAAATGTGTTACAGTGGTTGAAATTTCAAGACCCCATCGTACAACAAATGTTCACAGGAAGACCCACCTGATTAAAGTCACTTGCATCCGATATCTCTTTTCCTGAACCAACAATGAAAATCACAAATAGTCTTAGATATAGCCGATACCTGACCACTTGCAAAAAAATACCAACGCATGGTGCGTCCACCAATATTTTCCCTTATTAAAAAAACATTATCAGTCACTTGATCAAGTAGAACTGAATTTGGCCCGAAATTTGGTTAACATAAAATATATGAATATTTTTTTTTATTTTTAGTCATATAGATATGGTTTTAACTTCCATATTAAAAAACAAATGTAGATATTGTAATTCCCTTAACTCCTTCCCATCAGGAATAGATTGTCCTATGGGTTATATTAAGCCGTCTAGTATCTCATCGCATCCTCAAACCCCCTGCCAATACTATTGTAATAGGCATTAAATATAACTATATATGGTGTAGCTGGTGCTGCTTCTAATGTTGTTGTTCTTGTTGTTGTTGTTGTTGTTGTTGTTGTTGTTGTTGTTGTTGTTGTTGTTGTTGTTGTTGTTGTTGTTGTTGTTGTTGTTGTTGTTGTTGTTGTTGTTGTTGTTGTTGTTGTTGTTGTTGTTGTTGTTGTTGTTGTTGTTGTTGTTGTTGTTGTTGTTGTTGTTGTTGTTGTTGTTGTTGTTGTTGTTGTTGTTGTTGTTGTTGTTGGTGTTGTTGTTGCTGTTGTTGATGCTGTTGTTGATGTTGTTGTTCTTGTTGTTGCTATTGTTATAGCTGCTGTTGCGGTTGCTGTTGTTTTATTGTTATTGTTGTTGCTGTTGTTGTTGTTGCTGTTGTTGTTGCTGTTGTTGCTGTTGTTGTTGTTGTTGTTGTTGTTGTTGCTACTGCCATTGTTGCTCATATTGTTGATGTTGCAGTTGTTGTTATCAATATTATTGTAATTAGGTGTGACAAATATCTGAGATCATCGTTTGTCAGTCCATTTGTAAATGGAATTAGTGAGATTAGTATCCTTTCTAGCCGTATAATTCGACATGATAAGAATTTGCAAATTCCAACATGCTCTAAATACAGAACAAACCTAACTAAGAAATGTAAACGAATATATATTTTAAACACAATACATTTCTGGAATGTGTTGTAAACATAACAAGAAGCTGCTTCCGCGACCTGTTCGCTGAACCACAAAATTGCTACCGAAGCCAGGCTCGGAAATTTTGGCGACCGAACCACACCATCCACGTAGGCTAAATCGACGTGCAGACTTATTTACAGCCACATGGCAACATCGCGCGGTCCAGCTAAGTCCCCGAGCAGCTCACACAGTGCCAGAACCTTCAATTTCCAACCATCTCGATCTAGACGCGCCCTAGCCCAACAACATTGGAGACCCGAGTCCGTAGATGGTCATGTTCAGAGCACCCCCCGCTGCTCCTGGAAATTCGGTTTGCCTGGAGGGCTGTCTGAGGCTGACACACAAACTTTCTGATGGATGGCGTGCGTCTCGAAGACTCTCGATCGCATCGCCAAAGAGTCACTCTGGCAGCTTCTCTGCCGGGAGAGACTCTCCGATCTCCATGAGAAACAGCTCTTTGATGAGACAAAGACAGCTCGCTTGAAGGGCGATGATAACGAGGTCTCAACTATTGAAGCAAGGTTACGCAACGTGTTTCGCTTCATGCTGGAGCGGATGAAAAACGCCGACTTTAGAGCACTCGCAAAACTCATCCACTGGTGCCCAGGTGTGATAAGGGGAGGCGGAGATGCAGAGGACCAGCGTGAATGTTACAGCGATACTACACCGCACATGCGTTGTCGTCGGGGCTTTGACAGATGCTACTTAGGGGGAGTGTTCCTGACCTTTGTGTGCTTCTGCCCCAATGACTTCGAACCCGTACACGGTGGACTGATGTTAGTCCGAGGATTTTATATTCCTAATGATTGGTAAGTCCATTTATCTCCTTTGTGCTTCCTGCCATTGTATTCCCGACTTATTCAAATTATCTAGGCCAGACCAGGTTACAGGTAGGTGCAAGGTGACTGAGGGCATGGGAGGGAGGAGGGCCTGGGGGAGGGCTGGGGTTTGGGAATAGCAGCCTGGGAACTACCATATCCAGCGAGGGCCTACCTCGACCAACATCAAGCCGTCAGGTGGCAGGCCTAGGTGGCGCTGGGTCGGGGAGCCTTGCCACCTGTGGGGTCTCGGGCCTTGCGGACCGACAGGAGGTCCCCAAGGCGATGGTTCAATGGTTGACTACTGTCTGAGGTCCGCTAAGTTTCTGTGATTAAGAAAACACGTTACAGGACTCGATATTCGAAATCAAAGAACAATCAGGCAGGAGAGGCAATACTCATGCGTTTCCTTCAGTGATCAAGCAACTCAAAATTAAACAAGCGATACGGAAAGCATTTGTTCTCTTTCTCAATGTCGCTGACATCATGCCCCTATTTTCCAGCATTAAATCGTGTGCCCCATGCGCTTGGTTGGCATGGCATTTAGCTATGCTGGTTCAAACTTGAGTCGCAATCAATCATTGTTATTGCTTTCTTTTCCACGATTATGTCTTACCTTTTCTCATCAGGTTGCAAAATTCATATTCTGGGCGCTCCTTCGTACAAGATGAGTTCTGCTGTTTCTGCTCGTCGAAGGTGTGTTCAGTCCCTTGCTTGTTGTGTGCAATTCGGCTGAGAAGAACCTGAACCTTCCCCATCTAAGTTGATTTATTTTCCTTCTCTATCCATTAAAAGCAGCGTCTGAATCGTTCGACAGGTCTGGGACACAACTGACAACTCGCATTTGAACCGTGGATCTGACATCGTTACCTTCATGGTTCAATATACTTGCACACCTACCACCAATCCTGGTAACATAGTTACTCTCTCAAATGGTACCTCTGTACTTGGAATACTTACCAGTGGAGTAAGTTTTTTTGCACAACATGACAGGCCAACTTTGCAACATCTCTTCAAACTGGTGATTGTGCCTCTTGCAGGGTCATTATTACTCAGCAGTAACGGATGATTACCGCAGGAACATGAGAGCAATTGCAACAGGACCAGAGGTGGCAGAGGAGGGAAGGGACGGTGAGGAGGGGATGGAGGAGGGGATTCTGCAAGGCATGGACAATGGGGATCATGACGGGGAAGCTGCCACCAGTTACCATGCCAGCCATGTGAGTCCGTCGTTTTACTTGCCACTAGTGCTGCTTACAGAAGCTCTGAGGCTCGTGATGTCTGTCAAGTGCTGGGAGCTGCTGGGACATACCTTGTACTCAGATTCATTCACCCAAGTGCATTCGGTGATAAGCTCGTGTTGGTATCAGCTTACATTTGCCCATTCACAAAATGCAAGTCATGCAAGTCACGGTCACTGTTACGATTAGAACTCATCCCTCCACTCTTGCGTCCATGCGAGATCCTCTGGTTCCCTTGTTCTCTTCCCTTTCTTTCTCGCCTTCCCTCCCACTCCCGCGCTTCAGCCTGCAACCGCAACGTCAGCCACAGCTGAAAGAAGTCTTGCTCCACAAACCTCTCACGTGTCGTCCTCTCAAGCCAATCATGCTGCTGCACAAACTGCCCAGCAGCGTGTTTCCGCCTTCCAAGGTAACCAACAGTTACAATTGCAACGGAATGGGGGAATGAAGGTTTGCAGGGGCGGGATATGCAGGGGGGGGGGCTGGCAGAGGGGCTGGCGGGAAGCTTGGCAGGGTTGGAGGAGGGCATGCAGGCAGAGAGGGGAGAGGGGGTTGGGATAGGGGGGAGAAGGTTGGCAGAGTGGGGGAAGGAGAGGTTGGCAGAGAGGGGGGAGGAGAGGTTGGAGAGGGGAGTGGGGGTTGGGGTAGAGAATGGGAGTATGGTAGTGAGAGGGGTGAATGTTGGCTGCAAGGGAGTGAGATGGTTGGCTGAGAGGGAGGGGGGAAAGCTTTGCAGTGACTTGGGTGGGGAAGGTGGGGCGAGGGGATATGGTTGACAGAGAAGGGCGGGAGGGGGAGAGGGGATGTTCACAGAAATGGGGAAAGGACCGCGAGGGGAAGGGAAGGTGGCAGAGAAGGGGGGAAGTTTAGCAGCACAGACGGGGGAAAGCTTGCAAAGAACGGAGGGAAGAAATGTTGTTAGGTAGGGGGAGAGGAGATAAGATGGTAGAGAGCGGGTGACATGCTGGCAGCGGTGGGGGGTTGACAAAAGGGGGCAGTGAAGGGGATCTTAGAATTGGGGGGTAGAGTAGAGGGGCGAGCAGGGCAGAGAAAGGGGGAGGTTGGCAGAGAAGGTTGGGAGAGCAGGTGAGAGAGTGTGAGAAGTTGTGATGCACGAAAGCGATATCTCGTCACTGTTTTTCACCATGGTGCGAGAAGGGGGCTCTGCTGCTGCCGGCTAGTCATCCCATGGGTTTCACAACTTGTGAGCTTTTGGTGTGTTGAAAAGGTGAAGCAATGTAATGAGCACAATCTATTTTCATACTGTGCTTCGTTTATTCCAACGCCCTTTTCCCAGAACCGTCTCTTTTACCCATGCATGCGCAACCAGCTAAAGAATCACAAATATCAATCCAATTCGGACAAGCTGGAATTTGTTTATCCACTTCTTTCACATACGATAACACATGCTTGTCCTCATGCCATAACACATTCTTATCCTTTGCCCTGTGTTCATCCTGTGTTGCACTACCTTTCCATACATGTTCCCAAGCTCAGTTTCATGCTAACTTGACTTGATCCCATGCCCTGTCCCGTTTCCTTGTCCTACAGCGCATGCTTCTCGCCATGCCTCTCAGCGTGTTGCATCAGCTGCTGCCACTCGCGCCACAGCTGTGACTGCTCCGTGCATCACCACTCGAGTTGCTTCCCGTGCTGCCACCCGATCCGCTATGGCACCTCACACCACCACCACAACCGGCACCACCACCACCGCTGTCACCACTGCCGCCGGCACTACAGGCACCATCGCCACCCGCCCCATTGCGGGCTACAGTACTGCCACCACTGCCACCCGCATTACCCCACGTACTGCCACCCGTGTTACCAGCACCCCTGCTGCCAATTCTACCGCCACCCGCATTACAGGCGCCACCACCACCCGCACCACCCGCACTTTTCCTGCCTGCACTACCTCCACCACTGCCTCCCGCACTACCGGCACCTCTGCCTCTCACGCCGTAAGCACTTCTGCAGACCACATTAATAGCACCACTGCAGCCCGCACTAATAGCACCACTGCAGCCCGCACCACCCGCACCATTCCCGCCTGCACTTCCACCACCATTACCTCCCGCACTACTGGCACCTCTGCCTCGCACGCGACGGGCACTTCTGCAGCCCACACTAATAGCACTTCTGCAGCCCACACTAATAGCACTTCTGCAGCCCACACTTATAGCACCACTGCAGCCCACACTAATAGCACTTCTGCAGCCCACACTAATAGCACCACTGCAGCCCACACTAATAGCACCACTGCAGCCCACACTGATAGCACCACTGCAGCCCGCACTAATAGCACCACTGCAGCCCGAAGCACCGGCACCACTCCTGCCCGCACCACCGCCGGCCGCATTGGTAACCGCACCAGTGCCATCCCCCCCACCACCAGTACCACTCCTGTCCGCACTACGACCTCCACTGCTGGCCACACCTCAGGCACCATGGGCGCCCGCACGCACAGAATCACTCATTGCCACACCACCGGCACCAGTGCCACCCGCATTTCCAGCACCACTACTGCCAATGCCACCGCCACCACTGCCACCCGCAACAGAACCACTGCCGCCCGTACCAACAGCCATACTGTCACTCGCGCCACAGACACGGAGGGTCCTATCGGAACAGCAGCTGTCTCTCATGCCGCACGCCTTTCACGCCGGAATGGGCCGTTTGCAGTTGCTGACTCGCGCGCCAATGCCCGTCCCAGTCGAAGTGAGCAGTGCACCTGTGGGGATGCGTTTGCAGGCATGAGCACCATGGAGTGGGCTGGTCACGGTGGTGGTGTATGTTGCTGTGGGGTAGTTCTGTTTTTCCATATGTGAAATGCATTGCAAGATGATGCTGAAAAGCATCCTGTACGAGAAGTTATGAGGACGTTTCAAGTCTTGCTCTTATGTTTCCGAGTCTTCTTTCTCATCTTTGCTCCTCTTGCTGTCCGGCACCATCCTGTGCCAAGACCCTGAATCACTCTCCCCTCCCTCCCAGCTCATCTTCTCATCCCTCCTTCCGGACCTCCCTCCTCCCAGCCGGGAACAGCGATGGAGCATCGAGCTCGTTGGCACGAGAGAAGACTGGCAGGCACTGACCCACCCATCTGCTCTGCACCTGTTCTGATCCGATCTGATGGATGGCATGCCTGACAACCAAGCTGCCCTGGCATCTGCACAACGCCCTCGTCTGATGCTACTTGGCATCATATGTGTGACTCGACTCAAGCAATGGTGACATCTGATTCCGCTTCTTGTTTCTATGTTGGAGGCTGAAAACGTAGTTTAGGTTCCGTGGTATGCTGATTTTACAAATCCTCTAACAGATTATACTAGTGGTTTTCTTTTCCCCAACTTTCCCCATACCAAGCTATCGCATTGCTTCAGGGCCAAGGTGAGTAAGGCACTTACGGCATGCTGATTCTTGAGCATGCTTTATCATAAACTTCTCCTGAATCAAGTCGTTTGAGCTGTACAAGTTCTTGTACGTGGCTCATCCACTAACCATGTACTGGGCGCGCAAAGCACCAATCAATCAACGATTTACAACACGATCAAAGATTGTGAACAGACACTGGAGCCATTCTAAACTGGAGGCATTTGTCTTACGGTACTGGTACCGTATGTTTCAAGGTAATGTTTTCAACCCAAACTAACCATGATCTAAAGACTAGATGTAGGGCGTGCTCTGGCAACAAAGCAGGAGCACCCCTTCCAAATAGTCACATGGTTGTACTGACACTGAAAGCAAGCCAACTTGCCTACTTCCTATCCATCCTCCAAAACCTTTGATTCCATCCCCTCCCCATCCCCCTCTTTCACCTCCCCATCCTTGCCTTCTTCGTCATCCTCGTCTCCATCTCAATCCACCTCCTCCTCCCAATTCCCCACTCCCTACCCGTCACTCCCATTGCATTCGCCCCATATCGTCACCCTCTGTCTTGCCCCCTTTAACGGCACATCTGGCTTGCAGCGGAATTATTTTGAACGGCTGCCCGTGTACACAGGAAACTTACAAATCCTGCCCACCAGGGTCTCGCTCCGAAGCCCAGGTCGGATGCCAGCTCATCGAAGGCGACTGACAGCGTGGCGCCGAGAGTCGCCACCTCAGCAGCACCACCTGGCGCGTTGAAAGCGAAGCCGGTGAAGATGGCTGCTGACATGTCATCGCGGGAGAGGGCAGAGCGGAAGGGAGCGCGGAGGAGGAGATTGGGGGAGAGGGAGAGCGGTGGAAAGACCTAGGCGGGCTTCAGCGGTGCAACCTCAGCGTGACGACAAAAGAGACACAGAACCTTACCACCAACACGCACTCCAGCAGCAGGTATGAATACCACTCTTATTAACCCCTCAACCCCCATGACATCACCTATCTCTTCACCCCTCACCTATTGCCTCCTCTGAATCCTCCTCTTCCATCAACTTGCCATTCCTCTCTCACCTCCCCATCCTGCCTCCTCGTCCTCTGCATCTCCATCTCACTACACCTCCTCCCCTGTTCCACACTCACCTACCCTTCACTCCCCTCCGCTTCACTTCCCTCCCCTTCGCTCTCCTCCCCTTCACTCCCCTCCCCTTCACTCCCCTCCCCTTCACTCTCCTCTCTATCCTCCTATTCATCCATCTCCTTCCTCCCATTCACTCACCCCCACTTTTGCTCCCCTCATCCTCCTCCCCTCCCCCCCAATCCACGCTTCCCTTTCATCTTCTCCCTCCGAGCCACCCACTGCACGCACTTCCTCGTCCAGGTTCCTTGTACCATAGGTCACCACCCTCCGTCTTTTCCCTGCTCCCCTACCCTTCACTCCCTTCCCCTTCTCTCCCCTCCCCTTCATTCCCATCTCCCCTCATCCTCTAACTCCTCCTCATCCTCTTCCTCTTCCTCCCCCTCATCCTCTTCCTCCTCCCCATCCTCATCCTCCTCCCCATCCTCATCCTCCTCCTCCTCGTCGTCGTCCGGGCCAATCACCGCACGCTCTCCCTCGTCCAAATTCGCTCTACCCTTTATCACCACCCTCCCTACTACCGACAGCAGCGGGCAGTTACTGACAACGCATGCCAGCAGCTTCCCCATCTGCTGCAGGCCCGAGGGTAACTGAGCCAGCAGCATGCAATGGAACAGGCTCAATTCCTCCAGTCCGGGCAGCTGCGAAAAAGTTTTGGGCAGGCTGGAGAGCTCGAGCAGCGACTGTAAAGTTAGTTTCTTCAAAGCAGAGAGCTTCCAGAAGTCATCTGGAAGGCACGAAATGCTGACATCGGACAACGAACACGACTCCAGCCGGCAGATATCAGGGAAGGACTCGGGCAGCCTGGTTAGGCCCGGGCTGTTGTGAATTTCTAAAGACTGAAGCCTCTTCAGCTGCCCGAACGACTCGGGCAGAGCAGTCAAGCTCAGGAGACAGTCAAGGTGGAGGGATGTGAGAGCTGAGAGCTTTCCTATTGACTCGGGCAGAGCTACCAGGCTTTCGGCAACCATGATCGCCAGTGACTGCAAGCGAGAGAGAAGAGAGATGGAGTCTGGGAGCGAGCGGAGCCGATCCACTTGCAGAATTTCCAGCTTGGTTAGCGACAGGAAGCAGCCCAGCGATGGACCGAGCAGCTGCAGGGGAAGATTCTCGATCTTAAGGTGGCCAAGGGATGGCAGCAACAGTCTCTTGCCACTCTCCTCGGATCCCCCACAGCTGCCAGCGGCACTGCTGCTACCGGTGTGACAGGGTAAGTGGAGGTGAGTGATTCTCCCCCCAACCTCGTGCCTGGCAGCTCCCGTGTATGCATCCTCCGTCTCCTCATCCCCAAACAGCGACTCCAGCGCGCTGCAGCAACTCAATTCCAGAGAGTTCAACCGCTGCAGCTGCCACAGTGAGCGAGGGAGCGATTGCAAATTGGGCAGATCGCAGAGATGGAGTGTTTCAAGCGATCCCAGCCGTCCGATTTCCTCTGGCAGCGCCTCGATTCGCGTGCATCTGATGACCACGAGGCTGGTGAGAGTGCGGGCGATGGCAGGGAGGGAGGCGGGCAGGGCGGGCAGGTGTGGCAGGGAGGAGAGAGAGAGGTCCTTGAGGCTTGTCATGTGGGAGAACCAGTCTGGTAGCGCGTCTAGTAAGCTTTGTGCATGGCAGATGTTCAGGGTTTCGAGGGAGGAGAGGTTGGAAAAGGATGAAGGGAGGTGGGTGAGAGCCGTGCACGCGAGGAGAATCAGTGCGCGCAGGCTATGCAGACCATCCCCCATGCCCTGCGGTAGCTCCGTCAGCTTGCTGCAGTGACTGATTTCCAGTAGCTCGAGGGAAGAAAGCAGAGTGAGGGACTCTGGAAGCTGAGTCAACCGGCTGCATGTGTCTATTTTCAGCTCCTTGAGGCTCGTCAGATTGCCAAGGGCTGCTGGCAGGCTGCTGAGCTGCGGAAGCTTAACCAAGCACAGTGACTCCAGAGCAATCAGCTGCCCGAATTCCTCGGGCAGAGAATGTAGAGTTCCAGCCCTTTGAAGCGTGAGGTCCTTGAGTGTCGTGGCAAGGTATTCGGAGGGTTGCAGGTGCACGGCAATCCCAACGTCTAGCCTGAGCGTGCGTAGGCGTGGGAGAAGAGCGAGATCGACAGGCAGATGCTGGAAGTGAAGGTTGAGGAGGATAAGGTCCGTGAGAGAAGGCAGGTGGGAAAGGGAGGTAGGGATAGAGTCCATATCGCGACAGTAGATTACGGAAAGGAGCCGCAGCCGCTGCAGCTGCCCGAGACTGGCGGGAAGGCTGGTAATTCCCCCCACGGCCTCCAGACGAAGGGTTTCAAGCGCCGGCAGGTTACCCAAACTCTCGGGCAGCGGCGAAAGGTGTTCGCAGTTGGAAATCTTGAGAGTCAGCAGGGATGAAAGGTTGGAGATGGACTCGGGCAGATGAAACCCTAACTCACAGCCGTTGATGAAAAGATGCGTCAAGTTGGTAAGCTGCCCGAAAGAATCGGGAACGGAGCGGAGACGTGTGCATCTATTCAGCCGGAGCGACTTGAGCAGCCTCAGATTGCCGAAGTGCTGAGGCAGTTCATCCAGGGCGAGCATTTCAATCACGAGATGCGCGAGTGCTTGTAACGAGGTGAACGCGTTTGGAAGGAGAGTAATTCTCCCCCTGTCGGTGATGTGCAGGCTCTTGAGTGACGCAAGGCCGCCGATTGAAACGGGAATAGCGGTCAGATTTGACTGACAATCAAGATGAAGCCCCTCCAGCCGTGTGCACTTTCCAAAGAGATACGAAAGCCCGTTCTCAGTAAAACCCCCGCGTCTGTACCGTCGATCCATGGTATCGACGTGGAGTTCCGTCAGATTTGGACACGTGTCGGCGATCCCCGAGAGGAGGGAGTCAGGGACGGACGTGATGCTGCCGTTGGCGAAGACGAGCTTTCGGAGCCTTGGGAATGACGAGAGGTGCGCGAGCAGCTCGCGAGGACGCATGCGACGCTCTTCGCGAAGATGGATGTGCTCGTGCACGCTACGGGCGATGCGATGCCATTTCTTGCACACAAGTGCGTGCTGGAACTGACCGTCAGACCGAGTGACGAGATGGAGGATGATGGAGAGAAGATCGTCTGCGAGCAGTTCGAACGGTGATGCGGCAGCCATTCTGGCTAGTTGATAAGATGCCATGGCGACGAAATAGCTCGAAGACGTAGTGAGAGTTAGGCGCTTCAGGCGTGCAGGGAAACTTGCAGAAAGGAAATGGCAGAAGTCGTTGTGTGCGAGAGTGTCGCTGTGACGACAACCCCTAGGCTGGATCCAACTAACCCATCGTCGCAAATGTACTCTCGAAGATCTACTGTAGCACTTGACGAAACCTCGCGCCGGAGTGTTACAGTGTGCACCCAGACCGACCTAGCTTGTTCACCTTAATGTTTACTCCGCTAAGAGTGTTGGCTTGGCTCGTTTCATTCTTTCGGCGGAGGTTCCAAGTTTCCTGAGGGGCGGTCCGACAGTGTGACGTCACCTCATGAACGTCCCAGTCCATTCATCCATTAAAGGCGATTGAAACCGTCCGATGAGCCTCGACGTGCAAACGGATGGCATGGATGATTTTTAGCCTGCCTAGGGTCTGGTGCCCCTCTCAATGTCGGCATGCTCTATGCTTATGCTTGTACAGTCGATGCTCAGCCTATCACAAAAAATTGCTCATCACAATCAGAAAATCAGTCACTCGCGAACGTTTTGCCTGTGAGTGGTGATTGTGCTGATTTCGGGGTACAGTCACCAAGTCGAGGAAGAAAAACATCTACAGTTCATAAACAACAACGGCTGCCTGTCATCAGAATTGTTTACCTGGTTACGAACTTAAACCCCTAGACTTGGGCGAATGTGGCGACAAGGGCGAATTTGGCGAGATGCCTAAAACTCGTTTCACTCACATGCCGCCCGCCTACCTGGTGTTCTTGAAATGAGCACCGACTGTATTGGACGGGATGGGACGGGACCTGCACAGAGCCAACATAGCCTTGCTGTGGTGCACAGATTGGCCGCTTCCACGCCACGGCATGGTGTAGCTTCGACTTCGAGAATGTCGCCGCCGCCTACACTGGTTCTTCCCGCAAAACTGGTTCCTCATCACACAGCGTATGTTCTGATGAGGCCAACGTATGTCCAGCTTGAGTCTGCAGAGGTTCTCGTCTGCAGCCATTTAGTCTGCGAAGTAGCACGAATAGTTGAGCAGCTTTTAACGTTAGAGTCCATTAAAATGTTGAAGTAGCGTCACCTAAGAGCAGCCGCATCGCCACGTTGCACACGTGGGAAACCCGCTCGCCGTTCAGAGACATTAGAGAATGGACACAATGATGCGAGTGTTTCAACCGTCGAGGCCTTTTCGTCGACGCGACAGCACAGCAGGAATGGAACCAGCCGCTCCCGACGCTCTGCGATCGTCAGACAGCGCGTCTCGTTTGACCGAAACGTCGCTCGCAAGACTTCCGAATCATGCGACGGCGCACGAGAAGCCGCAACAGCGCATCGTTCACATAGGCGATCCCGACCGTACGATCCGAGAGGCCGAACTAGACGCATCGGACGGCGGAGAAGGCCTGCTAGCGAGGTGGAGGATACATAGGAGCCGATTGGCTAATAACCGCATCCGGACGAGTAAATACACGCTGCTTACCTTCCTCCCTCGCAACCTATTCGAGCAGTTTCATCGCGTCGCGTACATATACTTCCTCGTCCTAATCTTAATCAACCAGATCCCTCAGCTCGCGATCTTCGGCCGTTACATCTCCGTCATTCCCCTGCTCTCCGTGCTGACGGTAACGGCTATTAAAGACGCGTTCGAGGACTGGCGACGCCACCGCGCCGACGCGCGGGAGAATGGGCGCGAGTGCTTCGTGTACCGCGGTGGCCAGTGGTGCTCTGCCACGTGGCAGAGCATTCGCGTGGGGGAGCTGGTGCATGTACGGGGGGACACGACAGTCCCGTGCGACATCGTGCTTCTGGCGTCTAGCGATCCGTCGGGTCGCGCGTTTGTGGAAACAATGAATCTGGACGGCGAGACGAATCTCAAAACCAGATACAGTGTTTCTGCTGCCCTAAAAAACTCTGAGTCGGCCGCTGGCGTAGCAGGGGGCAGGGATACTAGCATAGGTGGTGGTGGCAATTATGGCGGTCCCCCTTTGAACCATGAGCAGGAGCAGCAGCCTCATCAGCAGCTTCAGCAGCAACCTCAGCAGAGCGGGACGCAGAAGCATAGAAAGAAGCAGCAGCCCAGCAGTCAAGGCAGCTGCCTGCAACCACAGTGGCACATCAGCACTTTAATCAGCTCTTTGCAGCGGAATCAGGGCGAAGGAGCGGAGGGGTGGCGGGGGTGGGTGCTGACGTGTGAAGCTCCGTCGCGGAACATCTACGAGTTCTCAGGGTTCCTGCAGCAGCCGTCCGGGAAGAACAGCACTGGGAGCACCACCGGCAGCACCAGCAGCACGTCTAGTACTAATACCAACCCATGCGTTGATGCACGTGGCGGCGATTTTAATGAAGCTGATGAGGCCGCCGCCGGCGCTGCTGCTGCTGCTGATGCTGTGTTTGATGCTGATGAAAGCAATGGGTCGAAATTCGGCTTTGGGAAAGCCGCTAACGCTACTGGTTGTGGCACGAGCAGCAGCAGCACTAGTGCTGGCAGCACCACCACCGCCAGCACCGTTAGCACCTGCACCAGCAGTGTCACTGCGGCAATTACCCCTAGCGTGAGTCCTGACGCTCCCGCCAGTAGCAGCGTGGCTGTGGGGCCGCTAAACGTTTTACTTAGAGGGTGCGAGGTGCGGAACACGGCGTGGGTGGAGGGCGTGGCAGTGTACACGGGCGGCGACTGCAAAGTGGTACTTAACTCCGTGGGCGCACAGTCTAAGCGCAGCCGCATAGAGTCCCACCTAGACCGAGACATGCTGCTACTCGCTCTCCTGCTCACCGTGCTCTGCCTGATCTGCGCTATTGGCATGGGCGTGTGGCTTGGGAGTCACGACCTACCCGCTCTGCCGTATTACGGCGTGGGGTACGATTACCTGGGCGTGGGAGGGGAGGCGGCACTGAATTTCTTTGCGACGCTGATTCTGCTGCAGGTGCTGGTGCCGATATCGCTGTATATTTCCATGGAGCTGGTGCGGATCGTGCAGGCTGTGCTCATGACGTGCGACCGGCACATGTGTGATGGGGAGGGGGAGAGGGAGGCGGAGGCGAGTGCTGGGTGGAGGAGGCACTGGGTGGGGAGTGCGCGGGGGATGAGGATTGGCCGATGGGTGAGGAAGAAGAAACGTGTGGAAGAGGGGAAGGGAGGCGAGGAGGAGGCGGAGGGGGAGGAGGAGGAGGTTGGGATTGGGGCTGAGGTGGGAGCAACGGGGTTGGGAAGAGGGAAGGGGAGTGGTGGGGACAGTGGCGGCAAGAGCAGCAGCGGTGGTGGCGATAGCGGCAGTGGGTTGCTGTGCCGTGCGTTGAACATAAACGAGGATCTGGGGCAGGTGAGGCACGTGCTGACCGACAAGACCGGCACGCTCACTGAGAACCGCATGGCCTTCCACTCCTGCTCCGTCGCTGGTGTCGACCTGCACTCCCTCCCTGCACCTACCGGGAAATCCTTTGATGCTTCCACTTCTCCATCACCTTATTCTGCTGTTACTACTGTTGCTGCTGCTGCTGGTGCTGCTGCTGGTGCCTCTGAAGCAAGGGCTTTGGAAGATCGAGCCGGTGCCGGGCCTGGAGGTGTTGCTGTGCCTGGAGCTGTTTCCGAAGCTGATGTGGAGGCTCGGTTGGTTGAGCCGCCTGGTGGTGTTGGTGGTTTGGGACCGCTGCAGCTGTCGGTGGGGCTGGCTCGAGAGTTTGCTGACGTGGCAGGGCCTGGTGCTGGCGCGGTGCTGGATGAGTTCCTATTGGTGCTGGCAGCGTGCAACAATGTGGTGCCGACACGTGTCAGTGTGACAGCGAGCGGTGAGCTGGACATGCATGCTGTGGGCGAGGGGGAGGATGACGTGGCAGAGGAGGAGGATCGGGAGGAGGAAGAGGGAGAGGAGGAGATTGAAAGGGAGGGAGATGGAAGAAGGGATGCTGGGGAGAATCTCAAGGGGAATGGGGGTGCCAGTGGGGGACCAAATATGGCAGCACAGAATCAAAGTCCTCATGCTGCTTCATCTGTGGGTGCTGATGTGGAACTGGGACTGCTTGACGCTGCAGCAGTGCCGACTGCTGACGTGGCAAGTGATGACGTGGCAGAGGAACTGGGCGAGGTGATTGAGTACCAGGGCGAGTCTCCGGATGAGGTGGCGCTGGTGAAGGCTGCGGCCGGCATGGGTTGGCAGCTAGTGCAGCGATCAGAGCACCACATTGTGATCAACGTCAGAGGAAAAGACGAGAGGTTAGTGACAGTGAGGCAGGTCAACTTGGGAGGGCAAGTTGAAAAAAAGACGAACGCAAGATGGCATGGGAGGGGTGCACCGGTGTGGCATAGGTTGGCACCTACTGCATCAGGTTGATGTGCTTGTAGTAGTTTGGCGTCCGAGTCTGTGCGCATGTGTGATGTTGCATCGCACCACTCCAGCCTCACCCTTTTCTCTTGTCCTGCGTCCGTTAAGTTCATCCCCCGTCCAGACTTATCGCTGTGCCACCTGATGGGAGTGCACGAGTTTGACAGCACAAATAGACGGTTTTTTAAGGCGCCTTGACTAATTCCTGTCTTCTTCCTTTGTGGCTAAGAGAATCCCTTTTCCTTGTTCGTCACAGGTACTCTCTGTGCAGGTACGAGGTGCTGGGGTTGCAGGATTTTGACAACATGCGCAGGCAATGAGGCGCCTAAAGAAAACTTTCTCTTTCCTTTTTCGTTTTGTCAACTTGATTCCTTGTGCACAGCGCACGTACCCGCTGTGCAGGTACGAGGTGCTGGGCGTGCACGAGTTTGACAGCACGCACAGATGGTTTCTGTGGCGCCTCTAATACAAGTTCCTATCTTCTGTGGTGAATCTTTCGTTGTTGTTCGTCACACCTACCCGCTGTGCAGGTACGAGATACTGGGCGTGCGGTGCACGACCCTGACAACCCTGAACCCAGGTTTCGAGGAAAACAAGGAAATTGCACCCTGATTTCCTGTTTTTTCCCTTGTTAATCAAGAGTTCTTTGTGCACACGCACTCACTGTGCAGGTACGAGGTGCTGGGCGTGCACGAGTTCGACAGCACACGCCGGCGCATGTCCGTTGTCCTCCGCTGCCCGGATGGTTCCGCGAAGCTTCTTGTCAAGGGCGCCGACAGCGCCGTTCTCAGCCGCGCCAAGTGCGAGGAAGAAACAGGGAAGATTCTTGGGGCAGCAGATGGAGGAGCGGGGAGGAAAGCAGTGGGGAAGGGTGGGAGAGGGAGGCGAAGGAGTGGGAAGGGGTTTGGGTGTCAGGGGCCTCTGGGGGGATACGTTAGTTGCTTTGTGGGGGCAGCGGCAGGGGTAGGGGCTGGAGCAAGGGACGGGGAGGGGGAGCAAAGGGCAGCAGGGACGGTGGGGGATGATAACATAGACGAGGAGAGTGTGGGTGGAGGTGATGGGGAAGAGGAAGGGGAAGGGGAAAGGGAAAGCGAAGAAGAAGGTGATTCAGAAAGAAAGGAGGAGGATGCAGTTGTAGATGAGGGGGAGAGAGTGAACGCTCCCCACCATCACACCCCTCCTCATGACCTCTCTCGTCAACACATCATTCTCTCTGCCACTGAGCGTCACATTCATCAGTACTCCCAAACCGGCCTGCGCACCCTCGTCATCGCCGCCCGCCCGCTCCCCCCCGCCGCCCTCCACGCCTGGCTCGCCGCCTACCACGCCGCCGCCCGCTCGCTCTCCGCCGACCGGGACGCGCAGCTCACCGCACTAGCAGACGAAACGGAGCAGCATCTGCAAATCTTAGGCGCTACAGGCATCGAGGATAGGCTACAAGCGGGCGTGCCGGCAGCGCTACAGATGCTGAGAGGGGCCGGCATGAAGGTGTGGATGCTGACTGGCGATAAGGTGGAGACGGGTGTTTCTATTGCTCGGTCGTGTGGGTTGGTGAGGAGAGAGGATGGGGTTGTGCGGGTGAGCGCGGGGAGTGAGAGGGAGTGTGAGAGGAGGTTGAGGGAGGTATGTGGGATGGAGGGGGATGGCGTTGGCGTTGGGCGAGCTGGGGGAGTGGGAGCGGTGGAGGGGGTGGGGGTTGAGAGAAGAGAGGGAGGAACAGCAGTGGAGGAGGAGGAGGGTGATTGTAGGGATGGTGCGAGCAGGAACAGCAGCAGTAGTAGCATTAGTTGTGGCAGTAGCGAGGTGCGGGGCGTGAATGGGGTTAGCCAGGGGGAGGGTGAAGGCGAGGGGAGGACAGGGGACGAGGTGGGGAAGCACAGTGGCGCCCTGGGTTCATGGCATGCAGGCAGTGCGGCAGCGTCATGCGCCATGGCTATTGATGGCGCTTCACTGGCACTCGCTCTCTCACCCTCACTGCGCAGCCTGGTGAGAAATAGCCAGCCTCGCCCCCTTTCGCCTCGCCCCCTTGGTCTCGCCCATTTTCCCCGCATCCACCGTGGGATCGACTACGCCCCTCGTTCTCCCGCTGCCCCTTCAATCTTGTTTCACACCTCTCTCTGTGCTTACCCTGCCAATGGCCTACCTCTCCTTGCCTGTCCCCACACCCACCCCCCTTTGCCTCTCCACCCGCCTGCCTATCCTCCATTTCGTTTGTGCCTCACAGCGCTGCTCCGTTCTGCTGTGCTGTGCGGGTGGCTTCCATGCAGAAGGCTGCTGTGGGGACGCCTACAGTGACCGTCCTAACCTTCTCCTCCCATTTCCTCTCCTTCCCCCTCCCGTCTCTCTTTCCTCCAGTTCTTCCGTTCCTCACAGCGCTGCTGCTCTGTTCTGCTGTGCTGTTGGGTGGCTTCCATTCAGAAGGCTGCTGTGGGGGCGGGCGCCCACAATGGCCATCCTAACTTGGTTCTCCCATTTCCACTCTACCTACTCCCGCATCTCCCCCAGTTCTTCCGAGCCTCACAGTGCTGTTCAGTGGTGCTGTGCTGTGCGGGTGGCGCCCATGCAGAGAGCTGCTGCGGTGGCACTCACCTCATTCACCCTTTTCCTCTTGCTCCCCGCCGCCTCTCCCCCAGTTCTTCCGAGCCTCGCAGCGCTGCTCAGTGGTGCTGTGCTGCCGGGTAGCACCCACGATGACCGTCATGTTTTCCTCCCCCCCTTTCATTTCCCTTTCATCCCGTCTCTCTATCCTCCAGTTCTTCCGAGCCTCACAGCGCTGCTCCGTGGTGCTGTGCTGTCGGGTGGCGCCCATGCAGAAAGCTGCTGTGGTGGCACTCGTGAAGCAGCTGTCAGGGGAATTAACCCTCGCTATTGGTGATGGTAAGTAGGTCTTAGAGTACTCAGAGAAATAAGCCCATGATCCAGATGGCCACCATAGGGGTGAGCATGAGGGGCGGGCATCAGAGGGGCGGGCATCAGAGGGGCGGGCATCAGAGGGGCGGGCATCAGAGGGGCGGGCATCAGAGGGGCGGGCATCAGAGGGGTGGGCATCAGAGGGCACAAAGGCAGCAAGGCAGCAAGGCACAGTGGTGCTAGATGATTTTTGAGAATGTCACATGGTGCTAGATGATACTGGCTTTGCCATCTCGCAGTCCCTCTCACATTTTGTTACTTTCTCATTCTCTCATCCTCACTGCCTGGCTCCTCCTCCCAGGAGCCAATGACGTGCCAATGATCCAAACGGCCGCTGGGGTGGGCATACGGGGCCATGAAGGCAGACAAGCCGTGATGGCGAGTGACTTTGCCATCTTGCAGTTCCGCTTCCTCGCTAGCCTGCTGCTGGTGCTGATTGTTAATGCTCTCCCCTTCTCCTGTTCCCACCTTTCCGCTCGTCCACTCGGGAGCCAACGACGTGCCGATGATCCAAACAGCAGCTATAGGGGTGGGCATTCGAGGCCACGAGGGGCGGCAAGCGGTGATGGCGAGTGACTTTGCCATCTCACAGTTCCGCTTCCTTGCTCGCAAGCCGCTTATGCTGATCGTTCATTCTCTTATTCCTCTCTTATTCCCCCAACTTCCCATGCCTCCCCTCAGGAGCCAACGACGTGCCGATGATTCAGACAGCAGCTATAGGGGTGGGCATACGAGGGCACGAGGGCAGACAAGCGGTGATGGCGAGTGACTTTGCCATCTCGCAGTTCCGCTTTCTGGCCCGCCTGCTGCTGGTGCACGGGCATTGGAACTACCACCGCATGGCCTACATGATCGTCTACAACCTCTACAAGAACACTGTATTCGTGCTGCTGCTCTTCTGGTGGGTATTCATCCTGCTGTGTCTCTCGAGTGTTCTTAGGCGTCACCAAAGGTCCCAAAGCTGGTGCTTGCACGGGCACTAGAAGTCCCACAGCATGGCGTTCTAGTCCCACCGCATGGCGTTCTAGTACCGCCGCAGTACCACCGTGTTGCTGCCTGCATGACTTTCTACAACCTCTACAAGAATACCGTCATTGTTCTGCTGCACTTCTGGTGCGTCCTTAGACGTCACAACTTGCCTTAAAGCTGGTGCCTGCAACGGCACGCCACCGCATGGCCTACATGGTCGTCTACAACCTCTATAAGAACGCTGCCTTTGTGCGGCTGCTCTTCTCTTCTGGTGTGTCTCCGTGCTTCTCGTCTCATGTGTCCCTTTTGCCTTAGTGCCGCTTGCATATCTCAGGGATTACCTTTGAGCCCTTTTTTTAGCCGCCTCGAAAAGGCATATCTCAGGTACCTCCTTTGAGCTGTTCACATCAAACAAGGGTCAACTCAGCTGGGGCGGTCAACTTAGCTGGGGCGGTCAACTTAGCTGGGGCAGTCAACTCAGCTGGGGCAGTCAACTCAGTGGGGCAGTCAACTCAGTGGGGCGGTCAACTCAGCTGGGGCGGTCAACTCAGCTGGGGCGGTCAACTCAGCTGGGGCGGTCAACTCAGCCATTAATATCACGTTTCTCAACCACACCGCCATCTCTTGCCTCTTTTCCCCCTCTCCCTCGCTTCCTCCTTCACCCTCTCCATAAATACAGGTAAACTGCCTTCTCCACCGCCCCAGCCATACTACTCTTCTCCCTCTCCTACACCACCCCATGCCCTTCTCTTCCCCGCTCCCTTGTTTCCTCTTAAAATCCCCTCTCACCGCAGGTACCTCTTCCAAACCGCCTTTTCCACAATGACAGGAATAGGCCAGCTCAGTCTCAGATTTTTTCTCACTCACCTATGCCAACCTCCCTGTCTCATCCTTTCTCTCTTTCTTCCTCCTCCACCCCTCCCTTGCCCCAGGTACCTCTCCCAGACAGCATTCTCCACCTATGTTGGCAAATACGCCCTTGGGGGGGTGGGAGTATTGCGTATATACGCTAGCGTATGTATGCAATACGCTAATACGCCTAAAAATTGCTAAAATACGCCGGGGCAGCCCGTAAAAAAAAAAAAAAATGCGACAGCGAGAATTGTACCCTCGACCTCGCACAGAACCCAACCCCTGTCTGCAATTCGAAAATCAAAATCCAACCTCTCCCACATCCCCAACCACACACCACCCCTCTCGACCTCCCAAACCCAACCTCCCCCCTTTCACTCATTCGAACATCTCGTCAATCCCTAAACAGCTCGTCTTTCATTCAATCCCGCATTTCTGTTCTTGCATTTCGTCCAACTCTCGTCGAGCTCGAACTCTCCTAACTTTAGTACTTCCTCGCCATGGCGACCTCTACTCCCTACAGTTCGAGGGCGGAACCTGCCCGGGAAAAAGTTTTATCTGCCCGCCCAGCGTATTTTTGCGTATCAGCAGTACGCCAGCCATGGCGTACCACGTATATACCCAGCGTATAATACGCTAGCGTATTATACTCGATACTCGTATTTTCCAACGTAGTTCTCCACCACGGCAGCCATAGGGCAACTGAGCCTCATGTTCTTCTCCCTCGCCCACACAACCCCCTGCCCCTGACTTCATCGCTTTCTTTCTCCCTCCTCCAACCCCTATCTCACTGCAGGTACCTCACCCAAACTGCCTTCTCCACCACCTCAGCCATCGGCCAGCTAAGCCTCATGTTCTTCTCCCTCACCTACACCACGCTCCCCACCGTCGTCGTCGCCTCCATCGACCAAACCCTCCTGCCCGCCCGCCTGCTCGCCTGGCCGCAGCTCTACGGCGCCGGGCAGCGCGAGGAAACTTACAACCTGCCCGTGTTTCTGGCTGCCATGCTGGATGCCACGTGGCAGAGCCTGGTGCTGTTTCTGGTGGGCGTGGCGAGCGTGGGTGGGCTGGAAGGGGACATGTGGGCGTTGGGGCAGACGTGGTTGGTGGCGCTGGTGCTGGTGGTGACGGTGCATCTTGCGATGGACATCCGACGGTGGACATGGCTCCACGCGGCTGCGATTGCGATCTCTATACTCGTTACAGTGGTCTCGATACTTGTTATTGACTACATCCCTCTGCTACCTGAATACGGGTGAGTGCCTGTGCTATGCGATTCTTTCTCCTTGCACCCCTGGGTTTATAACTCTCTGCCTCTCTGTCTTGTTGCCTCACTGATTTGTTTGCAACATTTCCATGTTGCTAGACTTCCCGTCAACACTCATACTTCCGTGTGTACCTGTGCGCCTTGTCCGTCTCATTTCAATGTCATGCTCGTTGCACCACGTCGACCTTCTGGTTGAGTGTGCTGCTGATGGTGGCGCTGGCGACTGTTGAGACGTCTGGAAAGTCATCTTTGTTTGCCTGGTGCTGCTCTCCCAACCCACCTGCAGGTCGTTCCGATTCGCCATCGCCACGTCAACTTTCTGGTTGGATGTGGTGCTGCTGGTGGTGCTGGTGCTGCTGCCGCGCTTCTGTGTCAAGGTGGCCTACCAAAAGTGGTGGCCCTCTGATATACAAATAGCATACGAGCACGAATGTGTACATACGGATCGCCGGTCACGTGTCACTCTCTTGTAACGGTCACAATGTTTTAGTGCATTCTTTTATAACCTCCAAAGACCATGCTGTGGAACCTGGTAGATTAAGTTATCGACCTCTAACATACGGCAGAAACAAGAAGCACAACGAGATGTAACCATTGCTTGAGGCGAGTCACCGACGTTACTTGACACACATGGGTGTCGTGTGTCAAGTAGCATCAGACGAGGGCGTCGGGCAGATGCCAGGGCAGCTTGGTTGACAGGCATGCCATCAGATCGGATCAGAACAGGTGCAGATGGGTGGGTCACTGCCTGTCTCTATTCTTCTTGTGCCAACGAGCTCGATGCTCCATCCATGCCCCTGGCTGGGAGGAGGCAGGTCGGAGAAGGAGGAATGAGAAGATGAGCTGGGAGGGAGAGGAGAGTGATTCAGGGTCTTGGCACAGAATGGAGTTGGACAGCACGAGGGAGCAAAGATGAGAAGTACAGTGGTAGCGCCCCAGCAGGAAAAAAAATGAGTCGATGCACGCATTGAGGTGAGGAGACTTGTATGCATGGAATGATGCTCGGCGTGTAGCTTGCAACTCTGCAGGAAGTGGTGCTGAGGGTGATAAGGAAGGCGGAGGAGAAGCATGGGGAAGTAGAGAGGGAAGGGGAGAAGCTTCAGCAGGAGGAGCGGGGGCAGCTGGCTAGGTGATCGGGGTGGGGGATCAGTGTAAGGCGCAAGATGGGAGGAGAGTGAGGAGGAAGAGGATGAGGGGACTGAGCAGGAGGAGAATGAGGAGGGTGGAGGGAAGGGGAGGAGAGAAAGGGGTGGGAGGAGGGGGATGAGGCAGAGAGAGGCAACGAAGCAGGAGCAGAAGGCAGTAGCAGAGGCGTACAGGAGACACTATGTGGCTGCTGTCACTGCAGAGAAGGTGTGATTGTAACGAGGATGCACAGGATGTAGGTGGTTATAACGAGTATGGACAGGGAGAGGTGGTTGTAGAGCGAGGATGCTGCAGAGCAGACCGAGTGACTGTAGCGAGAGGAGAGTGCCCGCAGGGAAGATGACTCCCATCTGACCGCTGTTGACGCAACCCACAAATCTCGTACTGTTGAGAATACTCCAAGAGAACATCGCCCACTCTCTGACTCTCTCCACTCGCACCCCTCCCCTCCCTCCCAACCCTCCCTCCCTCCCCCTCCCCCCCCCTCCTCCCTTTCGTCTGTGCAGGGGGCAGGAGGACGAGTTAGCGGCCCTCCACCTGGGCGAGGCAGAGAGATTGAAGAGAGCAAAGCCCTCCTCTGCCAACCGCCGTCAAGACCACCCGTGCATGCAAGGTGTGGCTTAGGGACATAAGAGAAGACATGAAACGACCTCATGACTTCCCTTACAGCATGCCTTTCAGCATCAACCTGCAATGCATGGTCTCCCATGCCACTCATGGAAAACAGAACAATTCCACAGAAACATACACCACCACCATGACTAACCCCCTCATGCCTGCAAGCACGACCTCACAAGCACACTGCTCACCTCGAGTGGGACGGGCATTGGCGCGTGAATCAGCAGCTGCAAGAGGGCCATTCCGGCGTGAGAGGCGTGCGGCATGAGAGGCAGCTGCCATTCCGATACGACCCTCCGTGTCTGTGCTGCGAGTGACAGTATGGCTGTTGGTGTGAGCGGCAGTGGTTCTGTTGCGGGTGGCAGTGGTGGTGATGGTGGTGGCATTGGCAGTAGTGGTGCTGGAAGTGCGGGTGGCACTGGTGCCGGTGGTGCGGAAAGCAGTGATTCGGTTGGAGCGGCCAACAACCTGAGGTGTGGCCAGCCAAGGAGGTCGTAGTGCGGGCAGGAGTGGTGCTGGTGGTGCGGGGGGCGGCACTGGTGCTGTTACCAATGCGGCTGGCTGTGGTGCGGGTGGTGCGGGCAGGAGTGGTGCCGGTGCTTCGGGCGGCAGTGATGCTATTAGTGTGGGCTGCAGTGGTGTTGTTGGTGCGGAAGGCTGACGTGCCAGTGGCATGCGAGGCAGAGGTGCCGGTGGTGCGGGAGGCAGTGGTGGTGGTAGTGCAGGTGGGAATGGTGCGGGTGGTGCGGGCGGTGGTGGCGCCTGTAATGCAGGGCGCAGCAGAAGTGCCAGTGGAACGTGAAGCAGAGGTGTCGGCGGCGCGGGAGGTAGTGGTGGTGGTAGAGCAGGAGGGGTTAGTGCGGGCGGTGCTGGTGGTGCGAGCGGCGGTGGCGCCTGTAATGCGGGTGGCGGTGGTGGCGGTAGAATTGGCAGCAGTGGTGCTGGTAACACGGGAGGCAGTGCGTCGGGTAATGCGGGTGGCAGTGGTGGCAGTACTGTAGCCCGCAATGGGGCGGGTGGTGATGGTGCCTGTAGTGCCGGCAGCAGTGGTGCCGTTGGTGGCGGTGCTGTGAGGTGCCATAGCGGATCGGGTGGCAGCACGAGAAGCAGCTCGAGTCGTGATGCGAGGAGTGCGAGTGGCAGCAGCTGATGCAACACGCTGAGAGGCATGACGAGAAGCATGCACTGTAGGACAAGGAAACGGGGCAGGGCATGGGATTAAATCATCATGACACTGAGCATGGGAACAACAGGTATGGAAAGCTAGTGGAACACAGGATGAACACAGGGCAAAGGATGGGCATGGTTATGGTATGTGAAAGACGTGAATTCAAATTCCCAGATTGTCCAAATTGGTTTGATAAACGGTTCTGGAAAAAAGGACATTGGCAAGACGAAGCACTTTCCGAAAATAGACTGCACAGCACTCGCCACAGTGCTCTCCTGCTTTTCGAGGCACCAGAAACTCGGAAGCTGTGACACCCATGGGATGACAAGCCGGCAACAGCAGAGCCTCCTTGTCATAAGATTTCGCTTTCGTGCATCACGGCCTCTCACACTCTCTCACTTGCTCTCCCCTTTTCTCCGCCAACCTCCCCCTACTCGGCCCTGCTCGCCCTTCTACGTGCCAATTTTAAGCTCCCCTTCATTGCTACCTCTTTGCCAACCCCCCTAACCCTGCCAGCCAGTCACCAGCTCTCTACCAACCTTCTGTCCCCCTCACTTCCATTTCCCTCCTCTCCTTCCCCCTTTCCCTGTCAACTATCCAAACCACTTCACTGCCAACCTCCTATCCCCCAACCTAACAACCTTTCTTCCCTCCGTCCTTCCCAAGCATTCCCCCTATCCTGCTGCTAGGGCATAAACCCTCCTCCTACCCCGCCAAGCGTCCCTCCAACCCCTCTGCCAACCTATCCCCGCATCAAACACCGCTGCAAACCTTCCCTCCGCTCTTCCAAAGGAACTGCAGGTTACCTGGTATGGCAGAAACACGCCGCCAGGCAGTTGATACAGCAGCATGAGAGGATGACGCTGGATCAGCCACGATTGTAGCACGAGGAACTGTGGCAGCCGTGGCACGAACGGCTGTAGCAGCAGGAGGATCAGCAAAGGGTTCAGCAGGAGGAGGAGCAAGCGGGGCAGGAGGAGGAGCCGCATCAAGACTGCTCGAAGCTGAAGGCACCCCCATGGCTAACGCTGCAGCTGCAGGCTGAAGCGCGGGAGTGGGAGGGAAGGGGAGAAAGAACGGGAAGAACAAATGGGAATCGGAGGGTCTCGCATGGACGCACGAATGGACGGATGAGCAGGAGTAACTTGCATGAATTTCATTCCTTAGAAGGGCAAGTGCAAGCTGTCGCCAGCACGTGCTTATCACCGAATGCACTTGGGTGAATGCATCTGGGTGAATGCATCTGAGTACAATGTATCATGCAGCAGCTCCCAGCAATGGACAGTCAGGGCAAATCTCAGGTCTTTTCAAAGAAAGCTTCTGTGAGAAATTTTGGCACTACTGGCAAGTTAGAAGATGGGCTCACATGGCTGGCATCGTCACTGGTGGCAGCTTCTCCGTGGAGATCCCCATGGTCCATGCCTTGCAGTATCCCCTCCTCCATCCCCTCCTCACCGTCCCTTCCCTCCTCTGTCACCTCTGGTCCTGCTGCAATCGCTCTCATGTCTCTGCGGTAATCCTCCTTCACTGCTGAGTAATGGTGTCCCTGTAAGATGCACAATGGCCGGTTAGAAGAGATGTTGCAAAGTTGAGAGAAGGGTATTATCTGTGGTGCTGTGCGAAAAATCCTTACTCCACTATTAAGTAATCCAAGTACAAACGTATCATTGGAAAGAGTAAACTATGTCACCAGGGTTGGTGGTAGGACGCACCTGCGTGCAAGTATATTGAAGCATGGGGGTATCGGTGTCAGTTTCATGGTTCAAATACGATATGTCAGTTGTGTCCCGGACCTGTTGAACAAATCAGACAGAAATTTTAATGGCACAGAGAAGGTAAACGGACCAATGTAGATGGGAAAGGTTCAGGTTCCCTTTTGCCAAATTGCACACAACAAGCAAGGGACTGAACACACCTGCGACGAGCAGAAACAGCAGAACTTATCTTGTACGAAGGAGCGCTCAGAAATTGAACGTTGCAACCTGATGATGAGACAAGGAAATGTGTTATCGTGGAAAAGAAAGAAGTAAAAATCATTGACTGCAACTCATGCTTGAACCAGGATAGCTAAATGCCATGCCAACCAAGCGCATGTGGCACACTATTTATTGCTGAAAGACAGGAGCATGATGACGGTGACATTGAGAAGAAGGAAAACACATGCATAACACATCTCCTGCCAAACTGTTCTTCAGTTTCGATATCGAGTCGTGTTTTCTTGATCGTTGCTACCTAGCGACAGAGGTCAACATTTGGACCATTGCCTTGGGACCTCCTCTCGGTCCGCGAAGCCCGAGACCCCAGAGGTGGCAAGGCTCCCCGACCCAGCGCCACCTAGGCCCGCCACCTGTCGGCTTGATGTTGGTCGAGGTAGGCCCTCGCTGGATATGGTATTTTCCAGGCTGCTATTCCCAAACCCCAGCCCTCCCCCAGGCCCTCCTCCCTCTTCCCTCCCCTGCCCTCAAGTCACCCAACACCTACCTGGTCTGGCCTAGTCCATTTTATTAAGTTGGGAACACAATGGCAGACATTCATTCCCAGGAAGCACAAAGGAGATCAAAAGTCTTACCATTTGTTAAAAGATTCAATATGAAATCCTCGAATTAGCACCAATCCAGCGTGTACGGGTTTATAGCCAGCAGGGCAGAAGCACGAAAAGCTCAGGACCGTTCCCCCAATGTAGCAGCTGCCAAAGCTCCGACGAGAACGCATGTGATGTGTATGGCTGTCACACGCATGCTCGTCCTCTGCAACTCGGCCTCCCCTTATCACACCTGGACACCAGTGAATGAGTTTCGCGAGTGCTCTAAAATCGGCGTTTTGTATACCCTCTAGAATGCAGCGATATAATCTGCGTGACCGTGCTTCATTAGTTGACGCCTCGTTATTAGTATCTCCCTTCAAGCGGGCTTCCCTTGTCTCGGCAGAGAGCTGGTTTTCGTGGATATCGGAGAGTCTCTTCCGGCAGTGCATCTGCCATAGTGATTCTTTGGCGATGCGATTCAGCGTTTTCGATGCGCACGCCATTCGCGCTATGACGCTAGGCCCCTCTGACTCGGCGCGCTGCAGAATATCATAGAGCAGGTCGGCGGGAAGAGATTCCATTGCGGATCAGAGGTAGCGACACCGTAGCGAGGGGGAAATGACAGCGGCGACGAATGCAGAGGATAGAACCACGGAAACGTGGAATCTAAGGGTGATGGGTGTGACGCTGCGTTCCTACGGAAGGTGAAGCACTGCTGGCGGGAAGCGGTGCAAGGACCAAGGGGTGTAGCAGGAGCTCGTGGAAGCGACGATCAGGCTGCGGTTTGACGGATCCTACAGCCAGCCTGGGGAATGTGGCAATCGGTTTGGAATGCATTTCCGTGCCTAACCGCGCTGATGTGCCTCGGGACTTCGTCGAGGCGACGAGAGGTTCGCCACACCGCGAGAGCGCTGGCAGATTTTAGGGCCATAGTGAGCTGCGAGGCGGCAATGGTAGTCGCTTCTCGATAGTATCTCTGTTGCTGGGATCGCGGCTGACTAGAGGGCAACCTAGCGACACTGGGAATTGCGAGTATGGAGCATAACTTGTCTCGAGGGTGGCGGGAAATTTTCGTTGAGAAGAAACCTAGGCATCTGCGCTAAGGCATATTCGTTTCGCACCTATGTGGTGTCCAAATTCGAATGTGTTATTCCTTAATCACACAACCTAAATAATCGAACAGAAAATCAATAAGGAATTATAGCGTTCTCCTGCTGCGTTCTATTCCAGGGACGGGTAAAATGAGTGTTGAGGAGGATAGGCATTGGGGCGATGATACAAGAGCTGATAATATAACAGCTGATTACGTAGGCCTCCATGACATTTCAGGGGATAATTTGTTTGGTTTGCACTTGCAAATGGGGGATCATATCACTTTGTATAACTAATATATGTACTGGGGTAAGAATTCCCTGACTTGGGAGGGACAACCCCCTCATATGATTATTGGGACAACCGCCTAAAGCAACTCAAACAGGCCTATATTGTGCCAACCCAGTCTGGTTGGATACACGTGAGGTTGAATCGCTTGATGCTCATCTTGCCTTGTAGCGCCAGCGCCAACACATCCATCTCCTCCACGTTCCATAGCTCCCTCACCACCATCTGCATGCCAGCATGTGGCAAGGCGATGTGCATGAGTACGAGTGAAAGTGTGGAGGAGGGAGGGGAATGATTGTGGTTGGCTGTTGAGTCGACTTAAAAGGTCCACTCGGCATAGGATGCAGAAGGATGTAAAAAAGGCGATGTGCACGAGCCAGAGTGGAAGAGGAGCAGTAAGAGGACGGAAAGGAAAGACTCAGGAGCAGATGAATGGGAATGAGTGCGGCGGGGAGAAGCAGATGAAAGGAATGACAAATAGGGTACTACCAGGCATAGGATGAGAGGGAATGGGGAAGACGCAGAACACAGGAGGGGAGCAGGGAAGAGAGAAAAGAGAAACAAGAAAGGGGGAGGGAGATTGACGGAGAGAGGGGCATGCCTGTTTGCGGCAGAGCTTCTGGTTGAGCTCGCTGACTATGGAGCGGAAGATGGGCATTGCTGACTCGGCATTGTGTGCTAGTGTCTGGTGGTGAGTGGGACATGGAAAATAATAATCAAAAGTGAAGTGAGGAGTGAAGAACGAGAAAGGAGAAGGGAGGACTGTGTGTAGGAGAGGTTTGTAGGGGAAATGGACGAGAACAACACCAGGTTGGAAATATGACCATGCAAGGTGCAAGATGAATGAAACCGAGAAGAATGCTGCAGTTTCTGCTTCCATCGTGGTGCAACAGTGTAACATCCCAAGGGGGATACGTTGATGCAGCACACACACATACCCCGTCAGGCCACGTGGGCGGTGCAAGGATCCGTGCCAGTGATGTGTGCAGCATGACCCGGTTGTACTGGGGGAGGGGGAACAGGTGCATGAAGGACAAGGTGGAAGTGATGATATAGGGAGTGCAGAGGGAACAGGAGTCGGGAAGGCAGGTCCAGAGGAGATCAAGTACAGGTATGACGTGATGTGACACTGGAAAGACGGGAACCGGAGGTTGCGTTGAGATTGTGGGAGGCGGATTTGAAGGTTGAGCCGTGGGACAGGAGGTGAGTGAGCTAGAGTAGTGTTGCCAGGCAACACAGAGCAACGCACTCGCTGTGGGTTTGGTATGTAAAGCGGAATCTATTTGCTCAGCCCATCCCGCAGCTCGCTCTCAGCTCGCCTCTGCATTCTGATTCGACTCAAAACACACTAGAGCACGTGAGCAGCAGCAGTAGCAGCGGCAGCAGCAGCAGCATTAGGAAATTGAGCCTTCACAAGGGCACACCCACCAGCTGCTGCTTGGGAGCGCGCGGCAGAGCCTCCTTGAGCTCGTCCCTCAGCTCTGCTGGATCCGTGCCCTCCACCACCTGGTGCAGGGAGGTTAAATGCGGTGCAGTGCGTGCAATTTGGTGAGGTGAGGTGTGATGCGGGGAAACAGCAATAGCACATGTGCATACAAGAAGTCCATGCAGGCATGATTGATGCTTCACCTGTCAGCATGCGTGCAGCACGTCAATGGTGGTGAGAGAATGCCAAGCATTCACGGAGACGACACGCAGGGGGCAGCGCCACACACAGACACCAGCACATACACCTTTCACATGCAAACTCACCCAACCAAACACAATGCTTGAGTGAGTGAGTGAGTGAGTGAGTGAGTGAGTGAATGAATGAATGAATGAATGAATGAATGAATGAATGAATGAATGAATGAATGAATGAATGAGTGAGTGAGTGAGTGAGTGAGTGAACGAACGAACGAACGAATGAATGAATGAATGAATGAATGAATGAATGAATGAATGAATGAATGAATGAATGAATGAGTGAGTGAGTGAGTGAGTGCATGGATGGATGGATGGATGGATGGATGGATGGATGGATGGATGGATGGATGGATGGATGGATGGATGGATGGATGGATGGATGGATGGATGGATGGATGAATGAATGAATGAACAAATGAGCATAACCTTACATGCACTCGAGAGCCAGCGCGGTACATACATTACACAACTGCATACGTCTTCGACACACGCCTGCCTTCTCCCCACGCAAACGCACCCATGTGCACGCAATGATGCAAGCAGTCCGTTGCATTGCGACCATGTGGGAGCATGTCTGCACACATGAGCTGATGCTTCACCTGCCAGCATGCGAGCAGCACCCCGGTGGCGGTCAGAATGACCCGGTCCAGAGAGACTCGCAGCGGGCACAGGCGCTTGCTCACGCCCTTCACTGCCCGCACCTCGTCTGCTAGCTGGCAGAGGTGGATGAAGAGGGGAGGCAAAGGGTAGGGGGAAAGGAAGGAAGCGGGGGGGGAGAGGGGAGGGAAGGGCGTGGGGGGAAGGGCGAAGAGGGGTGCAAAGGGTGGAATAGCTGGTGGACGACGCACGGGGCACGCAATGCGGTGTGGATCCGTGCAGACCACACAGGAAAGAACCGGAACGGTTACCAGGTTACCGCCTGCGACAGACGAGACAAAAATAGCTAGTTCATGAGCAGAGTGCAGCTGCTTCAGAGCCACAGAATGAAAGAAACAAAGTGGCGCTGAATACTTGAGGGTATGGCCATACCTGTTTGGTGGTGGCAGGTACGGGCGAGAGATGGTGTGAGGCATGGAAGATGCTCATGTGGTACACGTCAGGGTCCTGCAACCACACTCCTGGTGGGAAGGGTGGGTGTGGGAATGCGGATGGGGGGAGGGGCAGGGAGGCAGTGAAGGGATAAGGATAAGGTGAGCCGGAGAGGTGTGGGAGTTGCTCATGCGGTACAACAACTCAGCTGATGCTTGAGAACTCTCAAAAGTTGTGGAGAGTGTGTGTGGAGTGGGAATGTGGTCGTGGCAGTCGCGGCATGGGAAGCCAGAAGCAGTGAAGCAACAAGAGGGAGGTGGTGCAGACTGCTTTTCCTGCATCTCTCCCTGACTCTCTTCTCTACCCCACTGAAACACCTCCTCCCACTCCCCCCCATTGCGCATCACTCACCTCCTCGAAAGTGGTGCAGAATGTTGTCTTTCACTATCTCCCTGCCATGCACGCACAGCACAGCACAAGAGCACAGAGGGATGAGAGCGAGCAAAGGACGCGGAAACAGGTGGGGGAAGAATATCAAGGGGACAGGGAGGGGTAAGTCAATGTAAGCGCAAGAACATGGATCATAATATCTGTGCTTGCTTGAATGTGCACAAGCGAGTGCTGTTCCATTACACGCGTGTGAGGAGTGATTGTACTTAGCGCTGGTTCTTAGCGCTGGTTCTAGCGCGGGTGAAAACAACTAAAAGGCCAGTGGCACAAATATGGGGCAGAATGAGGTGCAGCAGAGGAGCTGCAGCATGCAGGGACAGGCCCTTATTTACTCTAAGCAAGTCTTAAGTGCGTTTACTTACTGTATGGAGGCAGCAAATTCAGGGTCCATTCGAAGCACATTGGCTCGCACAGGCGGGCGGGCAGGCTGCGATATATGGGAGAGGGAAAGGGGTAGATGGACGGGGGAAAGGGGGGCCGTGTCATGAGTGGGTGAGTAGGTGAATGGGTGAATGGGTGAGTGGGTAGTTAGTGGATGAGAAGTTGAGTAGGTGCACAGTCAGCTTGTGAGCGGGTGCATGGGTGGGCGGGTGAGAGGATAAGTGGGCGAGGGTGTGTGTGTGGGTGAGAGGGTGGTGGGTGAGAAGGCGCGTAACTGCCTGCCTGGCCTTGGCTGGCTCTTAGGATTGGTTTCTTCTTGAACTTTCAGTGCGGCACAGCACAGCACCCACCTTGAGCACTGCCCTGCCCTGAACGCACCTTAAGCACCGGATGCACTTCACCATTCCGCAGTTCAAATATGTCCGACAGCTGATGGAACGGGTCAAGGGGGAAGGGGGGACGGGGAGGTTGGAAGGCGAGGGGTCTTGATCAGGACTGACTGGCATGGCATGAAGAGACCATGTTCGACCCGACTCTAAAATCGAAGTGTAGGGTGGAGGCGAAACGGGGGGGTTGGAGGGCGAGATTTCATGATTAGGACTGACTGACTGACTGGCATGGCACGAGGAGAAGAGACTGGACTGAGTGGTGAATAATGCACATGACATGCCTTTAAACATGCCAGGAGGGAAATGATGGAATCAGTTGGCTGGTGGATGGGTGTGTGAGCGTGGAAACGAGTGTGTGTGTGTGTGGAGGGAGAGGGGGGAGAAGGGGGTTGGGGTTGAGTGTGTGTATGCATGCATGATAGAGGGAGGAACGCACCTTGAGCGACTGCGAGGTGGTGCTGGAGGAGCCAAAGAGGAACTCAGCGCCCTTGTCGTAGAACTCCGCCTCCATCTTGTCATACACCTCACTGCGCTTGTCATGGTATGGGCTCTCCGTGCCTGACAGCATGCGTCAAGGAGCAGGAAAGACAAGGGGCATGGAATGCATGTAGTTATGAACTCCTGAACACCCACGGAATGCACTCCGCCTTCATCTCGTCATACACCTCACTGCGCTTGTCGTGGTACGGGCTCTCCGAGCCTGATAGCACCAAGGGGCAGGGAATGAATGAATGCGATGTAGAAGCAAGGTGGAACAGGGGGAGAGAGTGGCAGGGACACGACGAGGAAGCAGCAGCGACAGGGAGACTCTGCCCTGACCCTGACCCTGAACCTGAACCTGACCCTGACCCTGAACCTGAACCTGACCCTGACCCTGACCCTGACCCCGAGCCTGACCCTGACCCTAACTCTTACCCTGACCCGGGCCCAGCTCCGACCCTAGCCGTGGCACTGGGAGTGGCGCAGGCTGTGGCACTGAGAGAAGAACCATGTGAACGTGACCTAAAGGCGTTGATGCATCTCCTGGCCCCGCGTGGTTGACCCCACACGCGGCTCTGGAGGTGGGCTCGCGGGGGTCCATGGAGGAAAGGTTGAACCCCAGGATGGAGATGAGCATCATACCACCTTGTGCACCTGACCAAAAAGAACCGACCGCGCTAGTAGTATGGTACCTGACCTAAGGAAGGAGTTGATGCATCACCTGGGCCTACGTGGTTGCCGCCACATGCGGCTCTGGATGTTGGCTCCCGGGGGTCCATGGAGGAGAGGTTGAACCCCAGGATGGAGATGAGCGTTACTATTAGCAGCCCCGCCGCGAAGAGCGCCGCGCGCGCGTTGGTCACCGCGGCGGGGAGGTGGTGCGCGGAGTGTGCGTGGCCGCCGTGGCGCAGCGCAGAACCTTGCTTCGGGGATCCCATGAGCGGGTATTAGGTTGCTTAGGTAAGTGTGTGTGCGCGCGGTGCGTGAGAGTAATAAAGACGGTTGGAAACCGGAATCTGGATGGCTGATATTCTGACGAATTTGCCTTGTGACAGCAGGAGGACAGCGAAACGGACGTCGAGTGATGACCTAAAGCAGTAGCTGAATCGCGATTTTCCCACGCGCTTTGGGTACCAAGAGCACCGCTACACTAATAAAACGTTGCAATGTTTTGAACTGGTAAGGCAGGAAGGGCAATACCATCATAGAATCGTGCTAAGGTATGTTGTTCAAACGGTGGTGTAAAACGCACCTAGGGCTTGTTCGCGCTTGACAAAGTCGGACTTTCGGTTTTGTGACAGTCTTGACGCAGAGTTCCGATTCTGCACTTTGCATGAGCTGTGAAGTCAAGTACAGTACAAATTGCTTGCTCATGCTGTTTTCTGGTTGGTTTAGAACCAGATTATGTTGACCCAGCGGTTAGGGATAGGGGCTCCTCCGAGCTGCATAGCCTTTGGCTGCCTGGGTAAGAGATACTAAGCAGCTAATGAAGGAAGGATACCTGCGTTCCCTGGCTGCGTGAAGTTACACGTCTGATTCGTCTCTCTAACGCGTGTAGTTTGTTTTAACAGCCACAGCGTTAGAACATCCATTCTGGACGCTAAAGAACGAACAGTGTTGCTAGACGATTACCCGCGCACTTAGATAGCAGCCGGTTTATCGGATGCTAGCGCTTTCGAGGTCGATCGCATCAGTGTACCTTGCCACAGTGACAGCTCTGAAGCCACCATGGAGACATGTGCCGGGGAGGGTTCTTGCCTTGTCACGCCAACTGTCCACAGGAGCAGATCTTACTGATGACGTGGGAGCGGCCCCTCGACCCACTCGGATCCAGCGCGTAGACTCAGGCAAGGTGCTGGCGCTCATCGACAGCGACCGTTAATCCAATTTATAATCAATTGCTTGGCACCAGGCTCTTGTGTCGTCTTTGCTTTGCACGGTCGCGATGTTTCAAGGCTTGCATATTTCCTGGCCGTGATATCATGGCCCGTGATTTTCCACTCGTTGACCCCGTGTGCTATCAGGCTCTGCTGATTGATTACGCCAACGGCCAGAGATTTTCTCTACCAGCAGAGCTACTTCGAGTGAACAGCCCCTCACCCAAAGGGGGAACACGGCATGCTGGTTCTGCATCCAAGGTTTCACACAATCAATAACTTTCTCAGAGCGCTACACATTTTTAGCCCACCCTCACCTCCCATCCTCCCCTCTCTCTCTCTCTCTCTCTCTCTCTCTCTCTCTCTCTCTCTCTCTCTCTCTCTCTCTCTCTATCTCTCTCTCTCTATCCCCCCCCCTCTCTCTCTCTCTCTCTCTCTCTCTCTCTCTCTCTCTCTCTCTCTCTCTCTATCTCTCTCTCTCTCATTCTCCATCATGCTCACGTTTTCACTCTCTGCCTCCTCTTTGTCCTTCCTTTTTCGTTATTTACTAAATTCACCAGCTCCCCTTATCCCATTGTCTGTCTCAGGTCTCCCTCCAATTCTCTCGCCCCCCTTGCGGAATTTTATTCTTTGACTTACCTGCATCAGCAAGCATTGGCACAGACAGATCTAATGTACTGGTTACTCACTGTTTGGCAGATTATATCTGGTCGTCGGTATATCCACGTCATCAAATTGGAACCTGTGGGAAACTATGCCATCAGGTTAGTGCCATAGATGACAGTTGCCTATTATTCTGTGAGCGTACTCAATGCCTGTTTCCTAATATCGTGCTTCTTGGTGCATTTTGTGTCCTTAGGATATTGTTTGATGATATGCACACGAGCGGCATATACACGTGGCAAATGATTCATTCGCTTGGCATAAATAAGTATTCTTTTGCCAAAGCATACATACGGGAATTGCGTTTAAAAGGACTTAGTCGGGATCCTAGGCGATTGCAACATAATGTTTGATCGAATATAATTTCCACTGCTGAATGTGTTTTAGGCTTGCTCTAAGCGCGTCTGTAACAAAATGGAAGCTGAACATTGTCTCTGCGACTGTTGAATGGCTTGCGACGAGATGAGGGTGGTCTGTGTGTCCACGACATCGCTGGCGGATCAGACCTCCGCATCCATTCCCACTCGTTACAGAGATCTTCACAGCCTTCAGCACGAAGCTTGTCCACGTGGCATCCAGGTGGATCATTCCGTGTCAGGAGTGAACGATCACCACCAGATTCGACCCTCTACACCCCTCCGTAATCTCCTGCGACGAAAGTCAGTGGCGGCTGGCTATGGTCCAGATTCTTCGTCCCATCACAATTCCTTTCCATGACCATCTCCAATTTCAAAAGCATTTCTTGATCAGAGATTCAGAGGCATTTTCTGAACCTTAGGAATTCCGTGAAGGCTGTTGGTCCAAACCGTAGTTCAGCATTGAGCAGCCAGCTTTCCAGTGAGCGAGTTTCTCACTCAGGGAAAATGGGTTCCCTGGCAGCAGCCAATGCTACGCTTGTAGCCATAGGCCAAGTAACCCTAAATGCTCTGCATAGCAGCGCGAATGAGAAGGTGCTTTTAAAGTCCACCTATGGTGGCTATCTCAGCCTCGCTGACTCACTGAAGGGTCAGCGAGCACTTGCTGTGAGATCTGCCCGACCAGTCGTTGCCTGCCGTGCGAGATTCGGAGGTAGGTCTCAACGAGCACGCGAGGCCCTCGTAGTTACGTCCTCAAACACTCACAACCATTTTGTGTACGCTTTCAGGCCTCTTCTCTCCGAAGAAAAAGGATGATGAGGAGGAGGAACCTGCAGAGGCTGAACCTGCCGCAGCGTCAGAGGGAACGTTGAAGCTCCCATGGAGTTTTAGAGGAGACAAGGGTACTCAGAAAGTAACAGAGGAAATTGAGGAGGTCGAAGAGAAGGGGACCCAGAAATTCGTGTTTTCACCCTTCAATTTATTCGGTGCTGCCAAGTCTAACAGCAATTCCCGTGACGACAATGTTGTGTTTATTGCCGGGGCAACTGGCAGAGTTGGCTCTCGTGTGGTCAGGTAAACACTACATTCACACGTTGGTAGTAATTAGCTTTGATGCAACCAGATTGGAACCTCAAAATATATACTTTCTGATACAGGGAGGCTATCAAGGCTGGATTCAAGGTCCGAGCCGGAGTGCGTAGCCTTACCAAGGCAGACGAGGTCCTCACTGATGTAAGTTGCAGTTTTGTTAAGCCGTTCTCGTTGCCAATTATCGCTTAATGTAGTGCTTACCTTCCAGTCGTACCTCGATCTTGGTGTTTGCAGCTTCCTTCACCGCCTAGAAAGGGACTTTTCGATGTAAGTGGCAATCTTATGTGCAAATCCCTTAGACACTTGCATAGCAATTCCAACGGACTGTTTTTGTCTTTTGCAGCTGTTTTTTGGGAAAGAGGCCGATGTGGAGCTTGTGGAGTTCGACATTTTTGACCCGGAGTCCGTTGAGGAAGCTATTGGCAACGCTGGAAAAGTTGTGTGCGCCATTGGTGCATCCGAGAATCTGCTCAATGTCTCCGGGCCGTACAGCGTGGACAAGGTTGCAACGGAGAATTTGATAAACGCATGTAAGTCGTCTTAATTCCGTTATTTATCGGTCGTGGGCTGGCTGTGTATTACATACCTTGACGCATTTTTTTGTCATCTCAGCTGCCGAGCTTGGAGTGAACCAGTTTATCATGATTTCGTCAATCGGCACTGGAAAGTTTGGATTCCCTGCATCGCTACTGAAGTAAGAACTGTCTTCTGTCGTCCTCTTTTTTTCTTCGAAAATTGACTGAATTCTCACACAAGTTATGGTTCTCCCTTCAGCTTGTTCTGGGGCGTCCTCTTCTGGAAGGCGCAGGCTGAGAAGACCTTGAAAGCGAGCGGCGTTCCGTATTTGGTACGTCACTGTAGCTAAGCATGTTACGAACCTCGCGAGGTTTTGTCCTTGTAATGCTGATTTTGTTGGCACCTGGTGTTTGACAGATCATTCGTCCTGGTGGAATGGAGAGGCCGACTGATTCCTTCAAGGAAACACATAACCTGAAGCTAGAGGAGGGTGGCACTTTAACGGGTGGACAAGTGTCCACCTTGCAGGTATGCCAAGTATTTGAGCTTACAAACCGTTAACGCTTTCGTAGTGATGTGCAATGTAGTTAACCCGTGGGCACGTTGATGCAGATTGCCGAGTTGGTTGCGGTTGCGTTGAACAAGCCAAATCTTGCAGCCAACAAGGTTGTGGAAGCGGTTGCTGAGACGACAGCCCCCGAAGAATCTATTGAGAGCCTCTTGGCGGCCATTCCTTCAGATGATGTGGTGGAGGATGATGACGAATACGAAGTGGTGAGCTTTTCGTTGTGATTAGTGATTTTGCAATTCAACTGTTGGAGTTTATTTTCTCGTCCCACATTTATCTGTGCTATTTGCTTGCAGGAGGAAGTTGTTGTAGTGGACACAAGGAAGCAGAAACAGAAGGAGGCTGCGGTTTCAGAACGGGAAAGGCAGAAGCAGGCAGAGGCGTCAGAGGCAGCTGAGCGTAAGGCTGCCGAAGCAAGGGCTAAATTGGCCGAGCAACTTGAGCTTGCTCGTCAGCAAAAAGAAGAAGCTCTTGCTGAGGCCCAATCCGTTGCTGCTGAGAAGGCTGCTCTCGAGCAGAAGCGTCAAGAGATTGAATCACGAGCCGCTGCAGCTTCTCAAGCTGCTAAAGAGGCTAAGGTTGTGGAGGAGGCCGTTTTGGCTGCAGCCGCAGAAGGTCGAATGTAAGTATTTCTGCAACATCATGACTTGCTTATAAAATCTGATGGAGGATTTCTAGGATACATGGGCATTGGCGCAACTTCGTTTTTGTCTTTGTGTACATTGTGCAGCTTGAGCCAGCGTGAGAAGGACCGTCTAATCCGAGAATTGCGTGAAAAGGAGGCTGCTGCAGCTGCTGCCGCTGAACTGGCGAAGGCAAGAGCAGAAGCTGAAGCTCGAGCTAAGGCAGAGGCAGAAGCCAAGGCTAAGGCGGATGCCGAGGCGTTGGCTAAGGCCAGGGAACAGGCTGTTGCGAAGGCAAAGGCTGAAGCTGCAGCCAAGGCAAAGGCAGAGGCCGAGGCTAAGGCGAAGGCTGAGGCTAAGGCCAAGGCTGAGGCCGAAGCTAAGGCGAAGGCGGAGGAAGAGGCTAAGGCCAAGGCGGAGGCAGAGGCTAAGGCCAAGGCGGAGGCTAAGGCCAAGGCGGAGGCGGAGGCCAAGGCCAAGGCGGAGGAGGAGGCCAAGGCCAAGGCGGAGGCGGAGGCGGAGGCTAAGGCCAAGGCGGAGGCGGAGGCTAAGGCCAAGGCGGAGGCGGAGGCTAAGGCCAAGGCTGAAGCAGAGGCGAAGGCAAAGGCTGAGGCTGCGGCTAAGGCAAAGGCTGCAGCAAGTGGAGGTGGATTTCGTTGGCCGTGGCAGGTGGAGCAGCCCAAGTCATCCACCGACCTCCCACCAAGCCCGACTCCCCTTTCTCCCTACACCATGTGAGTTCTTACATATAGAATGTTGGGAAAACAGTGGTTAGTATCATATGAACAAAAAAGGAACAGTTCGAAGTGCAGGGCCTACAAAATCTGAGCATTATATACTTCACACAATAACATCCATTCATCCCGATGCCATGTTTCAGGTATCCGGATCTGAAGCCCCCTACTTCTCCCACTCCATCTCCTCCTAAGCCTAGCCCTGAAGCAATTGCTGCCAAGGCCAAGGCAGAGGCTGAGGCTGAAGCTAAGGCAGAAGCTGATGCCAAGGCGAAGGCTGCGGCAGAGGCCAAAGCAAAAGCTGAGGCTGAGGCCAAAGCAAAGGCCGAGGCTGAGGCGAAGGCCAAGGCTGAAGCTGAAGCCAAGGCCAAGGCTGAGGCTGAGGCTAAGGCCAAAGCTGACGCAGCTGCTAAGGCTAAGGCTGAAGCAGAGGCGAAGTCCAAAAGCAGTGGCGGGGGTTTGACGTTCCGCTGGCCGTGGCAAGTTGCTGAGGTGAAGAGTTCAACTGATCTGCCTCCTAGTCCAACCCCACTCTCTCCGTACACGATGTAAGCTACTGGTTTTTTCTCTGGGTCGACAGTGTGTGCTTTCCTTACCAATCTCCTTATAACGCATGCTCTTTTGCTCCTTGTTTGATTTCCAGGTACCCTGATCTGAAGCCCCCAACTTCTCCTACTCCATCTCCTCCCAAGCCTGATCCTCAGGCCAAGGCTGCCGCTGAGGCTAAGGCCAAGGCCGAGGCAGAAGCTAAGGCCAAGGCTGAGGCAGAAGCTAAGGCCGAGGCTGAGGCAGAAGCTAAGGCCAAGGCTGAGGCGGAGGCTAAGGCCAAGGCTGAGGCAGAGGCTAAGGCCAAAGCTGAGGCAGAGGCTAAGGCCAAGGCGGAGGCCGAAGCTAAGGCCAAGGCAGATGCAGAAGCCAAGGCTAAGGCTGATGCAGAAAAGAAGGCAAAGGAGGCTGCTCCGGAGGCACAGGCCAGTGCTGGCGGCCTCAACTTCCGCTGGCCATGGCAGGTTGCAGAGGAGGAGAAAAAATCCTCCACTGACCTTCCGCCCAGCCCAACCCCTCTGTCTCCCTACACACAGTAAGGATTGGGTCATGGTGTCGATGTGTATTTGTTTATTGTGCTTCTGAATGCGCATTCCTGAATCCTAAATCGTGTTTTGTTTCCTCTTGTCAGGTATGAGGACCTGAAGCCTCCGACCTCCCCGACTCCATCCCCTCCAACTCCTGTCGCTGCCAAGGTAACATCAGAGCCACCACCTGCTCCTGCAGCACCTGCACCGCCAAAGGCAGAACCAGCCCCAGCACCTGCAAAGCCTGAGGTGGCAGCAACAGCTGTGGCTCCTGCTGCTGATGCTCCTGCTGATTCGAAGAGAGTGTGGGTTAAAACTTCAGGTGAGCCCAAGGGCCTTGAGCTGAAGTGGCCATGGGAGGTTGCCGGTGACTCCGGAAATGGCAGCAGCAGCGGCAAATCCGACCTGCCCTATGCCAACCGGCCCCTCAGCCCTTACACCATGTTCCCTGATCTTCGGCCACCTTCATCCCCGATTCCGTTGAGGTCCACAGATACGGAGAGCTAAGCAGCTGCTTGTATGCGTGAACATCAAGTGTGATTTTGTCTCTGCATTGAAGGATTTATTCGTTTTGGGCTAGTGGCTTGTTTTTTTGGGGGGTGTTTTGTCCATCAAGCTTTGCAATGCTCGTTACTGGAATTTATGGGTTGCATGCACACAAAGGATGCATGCCCACTGGGTAGTAAGGTTTGTGTCGTCAGGTAAACGTTTTCTGACACATTCACAGTATGTAATCAAGCTTTGTTGACTTCAGTGTTATAGAGAGTAGCAAGCATAGCACCATAGTTTACTTCACTGTTGTTGAGGGACTAGTATAGCACCAGAATTCACCAGATTTTGTTTTGAAAATTGTACCAGTTGTATCATGTCATGCTAAATTGTGATAAAGCCTGCACTAGTCATAACATCATAATGATTAAAGCCAGCAGCTAAAATAGTGACCCCCCCCTTCTAGTTGGGTCCACTTGAAAACACAAGTTTGTTACGAACGTTTGAAAAGTTGACGTGCTGTGCATTTTTATTTTTTTTCATGCCAGACGAGTATTGATGTGAATGGGAAACATGTGGAACTTGTTTACCAATCTGATTGGTGGCGACTTTCACCCACATTCGTATGCGAATTTGGCGCAAGGCGGCAATCCCACATTCACCAGAGCAGCCGTCGTAACTTCACAAGAATCCCCATATGCAAAAAACCAGCGCACACACAGGCAAAATCCAGCGCGCACACAGGCAAAAACAGGCAAAATCCTGCGTGAACACAGGCATGATCAAGAAAAAATAATGGCACACACACGTGAAATCAGGCGAAGAAGATATAAATAAAGAAATGACTGATGAACGAAAAGAAGGCGTGGCGTCGGGACGGTTGATTGGTCGACAGCGAAGATGAAGAGAAGGGACTGGGGACAAGGGGGGCGACGGGAGAGGAGGGGAGAGAGGGAAAACGACGGGATGGGAGGGAACAGAGGAGGAACAACGGGATGGGAGGGGAGAGAGGTGGAACGACGGGATGGGAGGGGAGAGAGGAAGAACGACGGGATGCGGGGAGGGAAGACAGATTGTGAGGGGAGGGAGGAAGGGCGCGGAGAGGGCATTACAGAGCAAGAGCGAGAAGGGAGAGGAGAAGGCGATTGGTTCAGGAAAGGGAGCGGCGAGAGAGAGAGAGCGCCGGGAAAAACACGAGGGTGATTGGAGGAGAGGGGTAACGGAGATGACGGCAGGAGGGCGACGGGACGGCGACGGGACGGGTGATAGGATCGCGACACGACGGTCGACGGGACGACGCCAGGACGGACGGAGCGTGGGCGATTGGAACGGGAGGACGAGCGAGAGGGCATCCGAAACGGCACAAAGTACTACACATCTGTGGCAGTTTCACTACGCGTCTAAATTGAAACAACAACGGCCTAAGTTGAAGGTTCGATGGCTAGACATGCTACAAATAACTAGGAAGCAAAGAGTGGTGATCGGAAGAACTAGTAGTTGTTCACCCAGACCCAACTTGAACCCTAAGCTGGGCCCAAAATCGCAAGGACGTGCATGAGCGATTGCAGTTCGAGCTTCCCAAACTGATATGCGACGCCTGACGTGCTGTGTTCCTTCTTTTGGTTTTGGCGGGAACCAAGCAGATGTGTTCGATCTGCTAAAAACGCCCTCAATGAAACACTGGAAACTTGTCGGTTTGGTTCGAAAATTGTTTCGCACGGCAAGCCCTCTTTCAAGCTGGCCCCGGGTTCACTATTTTGCATTTCGGTTTTAACAAAGAATTTCCATGGTTCTGAAATCCGTATACACATTACTAGCAGAAACAGTACCCTAATCAAAACGGCAGAATACAATTCTTCCTGCACCTGTCATTGTCCTGAACTTGTGTACATTCACCAATGCATATTCAAACTCTTTCTGCACCAGTCACTCCTGGGATTGTGCAGTACGCTCCTGTACGCCACCTGTTGCAATTACACATGGTTCCGATATGAAAGAGAGCCATGATATGATGAACCTGAGAATGGACTACACATGCTCAGCACAACAATGTGAATGTCAGAGCACGAACCGCACAACAAACACAATCACATCCACATGCAATTACACCCTGCCAGCACACTCCGCACGAAGATCTTAGTGCACATGAGATCACACCAACGCACAAGATCATAACCATCACACCCCCCACCCCCATGCCACAAAAAGGCATTGCATACCCACCACATCATCACACCAGCAGCACCAGTCCGTCACAGTCACTCCTCTTATAAGCAAAGCCCTAATCCCCAGCCCCTCCTACACCTGTGCACATACCTGAGCCTCGGGCAGCATTGGCAGGCACTTCGGTACTGGTGGGTGCGAATCCAGTAAGGGAACCCAGCACCTGCAAGGCAACGGGAGTAGTGGGGATGGGATGGGAGCACACACGGAACGACCCCCCACTTCATGCACTGGTAGGGGCGAAACCAATGAGAGAAGCCAGAACCTGAAGCCAGAACCTGAAGGCAGAACCTGAAGGCAATGGGAACAGTGGGAATGAGGATAGGATGGGAGCACACAGGGATCAAACCCGCACTACATGAATGGGTGGAGGCGAATTCAGTGCGCGGAGCCCAAAACCTGAGAGTGATCCCAGTGGGTGAGAGAAGGGTTGGGGATGGGAGCACACATGCAGCACGTTGTCAGAGCTACAATTAAACAAAACGGAAGAAAGATCTCTCCTGCCAAGTGAATTTTTGAAACAATAAGGTCTGCGGAACAAAACTGTTGATACAAGGCTCAAAAGTCACCTTGACAGTATCTGCAATTGCTCCAGTGGTGCTGGTCCAAGCTGACGTGGCAACATCCTGTGCCCTCTCCACAGGCCCTCCACCCGCCACAACCCGAACACCACCTTCTGCCTCGCCCACCTCCGCCCCACCGCCCTCCTTCCCCCTCTCCTTCCGTTCCTCCCCACCACTCTCCCCGCCTTGACCAGACACTGCCAGCCTCCTCATTCCCTGCTCCACCCCTTCCACCTCGGGCTGCTCCTCAGGCGTTCCAGAAACCCCTCCCTCTCCACCCTTCCCCTTCGCCATTAAATTCCCTGCCTTTTCACCCTCCCCCTTCCCCATTACCTTCCCTCCCTCCCCACCCTGCGCGCCTTCCACTGTCTTCTCCCCCTCCCCTCCGCGCCCTCTCATCCCCACCACGTCCGAAACCGTCAGCCTCTGCAGCCCCTCTTCCACTCCGCGCATCCCCTTTCCCCCACCCCTTCCCCTTCCGCCCCTTTACCAGTCGCCGTTTCCCCCTTGCTCTGCTGCGCCCCCTTCTCCCCCAGGGACAGCTTCCCCACCCCCTCCTCCAGCCGCCTCACCTCCTCGCCTCCCCTCTCCGCCTGCCACCCACCAGTCTCCTGCGCCTCAATCCCCCCTTCCGCCCCCCCAGCGCCAGTGCGCCGCCCCCCAGCTTCCCCCTCATCCACCCCGCGCATGAAAGCAGATTCCGCCCCTGGCTCCTCTTCTTTCGTTACCCCAACCCCTTCTTTCTCCTTAATCCCTGCTCCCTCCTTCCTCTCCGCCCCCGCCCCTTCTTTCCCCTCCGCCCCTGCCCTCTCTTTCTCCCCAGCCAGAGGTCCCCGCTCTTGCTCTGCTCCTGCTTCCCCCTTCGGCATCTCTCCAGCCTTCTCCGAAGCTTCCTTCGCAACTCCAGGAGCACGCTCATGCGCTTTCCCTCCTGTCTTGGTCTCACGAGCTGCAGATCCTTCCTCCTCGGCCAATCCCTGCACGCCACGTGCTTCCAGCTCCACTGGCTCCCCTTTGTCACCCCCTTTGACCTTCCCACCCTTTCCAACCACTCTGAACTCCTCCAAAGATTCTAATTTCTCTCTAGCAGGAGCTGCGAGGCCGGAATACCCACCTTCACTGGGTAAACCACCCTCAGATACACCGCCCTCAGATAAGCCTGCCTCAGACGAGCCGTGGCCGGCAGATTCAGCGGACTGGGCGGGCAGGGCGATCTTTCCGGGTTGCTTCTCCAGAAAAGGCGCGACGCTTTCGCCTTCCACCACCACTCGCCCGGGCCGCTCTGACGTGGCATGAGTGGCAGGGAGCTCGTGATGCGCCTCGTGCCGCGTGTGCTGCTGTTGCGCTTGGCTCTGCTGCTGCTGCTGCTGCTGCTGCTGCTGCTGCTGCTGCTGCTGCTGCTGCTGCTGCTGCTGTGGCTGCTGCGGCTGCTGCTGCTGCTCCTGCATGATTGCACTCTTAGTAGGCTGCCGATAACGCGTATGAAGTTAACAAAGGAGCACGAAAGATTTCACACTATCGCGGGTGGGAAGCCGACGAAATGAGGTCCGAAAGATTCGCGGTTTTACGTGCGACCGTGGGAAGGACGGGAGGAAAGGGAATGAATTTCTGAACCAGAACCGCGACCCGGAGACGGAACCCGACTCGCGATGCGAGAGGAGTCGTTGTGGGTAAGAAACCGCGGCGCCATCCGTGACGGACTCGGTGCTTCTTTCTCGAGGCGCCATGGTGTGGGGTGAGAGGTCGAGCTGGTGATCAGCCAGCTGACATGTGTCCCTAACCTGGAACGTGGCAGCAATACTAAACTCCATCGCAACAAATGTTTCGTTAAAAGCTCCTTCAAGGCCACATGTGAAGTAATTTGTCTGCACTACCATGCTTCCATTCCTTGGCATTAGACTTTTGCTTTTTGCCACCATTCCGTTTTCCTTTCCTGATTCGTGCGTGTATGAACTACACGGGAGGCCCCGTTCTTGAAACGAGTAACGGGGGCTGGCTGCGAAATTAGCAATCACACACCCGCAGTACGGGCTTCATTACGGATTTCGGCTCGTCAACTTACAGCGAATGGAAGTTTATAAAGACACGAGGGCTGTTCACGAGTTTGTTTCGTTGTCGCACCTTGACACGCATTGACACCAAAAACAGCGCCTGACGGGGCCTCGGGATGTCGCGCTGCTCCTCGTCCGCCATGTGTGTGTCGTATTTGACAGCAGGTGAGTCTAGCAGTGCTCTAGAAGAGAGCAGTCACCCGAGGATTCTAGAACGTACCGTGGCCGTCGGCCCGTCAGGTATTTTTTCGTACGAAGGGTGCGCTACGTTGCCTCTTGAGTCGACGCCGGTGTGCGTCGGACTTTAGTTTTTTTCCTCCTCCTTTTTTCGCCTCGGTGACTCCTCGATGGCGGCGTGGCGAGCGCTAGCAGCGCAAGGAGCGGCCGTGAATGGTGCTCTCGTCACGTGCACCGCTCGGCGACAAGCAATCGCTTGCCTCGTCACCCGTCGCACGCAGTCGCCAGGCTTTTCGCTACGTCGCCAACCTCACTGCTCAAATTGTCCCGGATTCGCGAATTCCTCGCGAGAATCGACTTCGCAATTGCGGAATCAGCTCGTTCCCGGCCTTCCGAAACGACTTAGACGAAGGAGCGCCGGTATTGACGGCGGGGATTGCGGCAGACACGGCCAGCGAGGGCTAGCGGGAGTCGCGCAGGCGAGTGTGGACTTTGTCGAATTCACTGCATCGCTCGACACCAACATCCCTCTCCGGGAACGACCAGAGGTAGGCCTCCGATTTTTGGGGCGTCTCAACAACGCAAATTGCTCTGCAAAAAAGTAGAGGTAGGCTGTTGAGGTGCCTCAGATGGCGAGTGTCGACTTCGTGGACTTCACCGCGTCGCTCAACACCAACATCCCCCTCCGGGAACGACCAGAGGTAGGCCTCTAGATCTCGACACGTTCAGAACAACATTCCACTCGGCGGATGACTCGAGATAAGCTGTTGAGGCGTGTCGAAAGGCGGGTTTCCACTACATGGCATTCTATCCATAGCATCGCGCTCGACACTAACATTCCATCCCGGGAGCGACCTGAGGTTGTCCGCTCCGCACTATCTGCCGTTCTCTCGCCTTCCGGTCCTGGTCTTTCCAATCTCAAGCAGGTTTACCCCCTCTCCCTCACCAGGCGCCATTCCACGCGTATTAAAAAGTATCCCATTCATCTTAGTACCCCCAGGTACCGTTACACGACTACCCTGAGAATCCCAACAGAGTCTTATGCCGCCCTTATGGTTCGACTCGAATTCGCATATAATTTTCACCCTCCTGCCCCACTCCCTCCCTCTCACTGCACTCGCCAGCCACCAGGCGCCCTTCCATGCGTACCTGGAGAACCTCAGCTGGGTCCCAGCTATGTTGAAATCACTTTTGAGAATTCTCAAAAGCGATTTCAACCCAGCTGGGCCCCAGGTGAGAACCCCGTCGCACACCTTTTTGAGTCAACTGGATAATGGTTTCCCTCCTTTTCTTTCTCGTCGCACCCGTCACCAGGCGCCGTTTCACGAGTACCTGAAGAACCCCAACCGAGTCTTTGACGCATTCTTCCCGGACAAGCAGCGCTCTGAAAAGCTCTCCGAGGTGGGGGAGTGCCCAGCGCTGATCGGTGCCATTCTCTACTAGGCTGTCGATTTTGCTCTCATGTGGCGATTCATAGGAGTGGTGTGGTGCGTGCTGCTGGCTTGGGGCAAGCAGGTGTGGTGCGTGCTTCTGGCTTGGGGCAAGCAGGTGTGGTGCGTGCTGCTGGCTTGGGCCAAGCAGGCGACGCGTCGAATCAAATGAGTTCGTTCCACAAGAGATGGCATGTTCAGGAAAAGTGTTGCTTTGGTCTTGTTTTTCAGTACCCATTTCTAAAAGCCGAAGAGCATATAATTACAACCACTGTCACGGGAACATGCGCGTACTGCTCGGCATGTTTTCTGCTCCCTTGTTCAGGACGAATGGCGGATCCACATGCTGCCAATCACCTTCTTCCTCGTCACAGCGCGGCCAATAGTGGACATGCGAATATTCCTCGACCAACCCTCCCCTCTACTCGACCGAGTGCGAGATGCCTCCTCCGTGAAGCATGTCATGCGCCTGCAAGCGGTGAGACTCATCATCATGGCTACATCCATGAATGTTCTCTCATTTTTTCTCACCAACAAGGGTGTGCTGCTCTTCACTGCAAACCCCTCTCCTTCCCTATCCCTGCGTCCGCCCTCGTCCAATTTAGACCAGCTGGGAGTTCAAGGGTGTGGACTACGACCCCGCCAATTTCTCTCTCGAAATGCACCGGTGGCTTTTCAGTCCACTCAAAAGGTATCTCCTTCCCTATCGCCTCGTGCGCCCTCTTCCAAGCCAGACCAACTGGGAGCTCAAAGGAGTGGATTACGACCCTGCCAACTTCTCTCTCGATGTGCGCGGATCTCTCTTTGCCCAGTCTGCCGCCCGGCCAAACCAGCCCACCGTTATCACAAGCTACGCCAGCAGCAGCAGGCAAGCGAAGGGGAACGGCTCCAGCTTCAGCTTCAGCAGCAGCAGCAGCAGCAGCAGCTGTTTCTGGTGGCGGTACCACCATGACTGCTTACACCAGTACCAGCGGATCTAGCAGTAGCAGCAGCAGTAGTAGCAGCAGTAGTAGCATGAGCTACAGCGGGCGGCAGGGTGCCACTCGGAGTGTGCTGCGGGGGCAGATGGCGGTGACAGTTGGCATGCAGGTGCCGCCCAACCTCTTCCTCGTGCCCCGCCAGTCTATTGAGGCCGTTGGCAGTGCGGTGAGTTGGCGAGCAGTGCGGTGAGTAAGCAGCACGCTGAGTTGGCAACAGGTTGAGTTGGCGTGCAGCCCAACCTCTTCTTCGTGCCTCGGCAGTCCATCGAGGCCGTCGGTAGCACAGTGAGTGTGCAGTGGGCTGAGTTGACAACGGGGTGAGTTGACAACGGGGTGAGTTGACAACGGGGTGAGTTGACAACGGGGTGAGTTGACAACGGGGTGAGTTGACAACGGGGTGAGTTGACAACGGGGTGAGTTGACAACGGGGTGAGTTGACAACGGGGTGAGTTGACAACGGGGTGAGTTGACAACGGGGTGAGTTGACAACGGGGTGAGTTGGCAGCGCGGTGCGCTTGCTAGTCACTTGGAATGTTGAGATGTCCACGACTTGGAACTGCGTTTGTCCATCTTCCCTCCATTCCCTTTATTCGCTTTCAGGTGTTGCAGGCAGTTGCTAGCATTAATGAAGAACAACTACAACAAGTAGTTTCATGTCCTTCCCTCCTTCCGTTGTGTTTACTTCCAGGTATTGCAGCAGTTGTTAGGATCAATTAAAGACCAGGTGAGCAACCGAGTTCTCAGCAATTGTAGCAACCGCACTCGTCGCCTTGCCCTTCCCTCCTCCCATCATGTTTGCATCAGGTGTTGCAGCAGCTGCTGGCATCAATGAAGGACAAGGTGAACAACCGAGTCCTGAGCGACTATGCCAAGTTCTCTGCTGAGCGTGCCCGCTCCGCTGCCAGCTCCAGGCGCCTCCCCAACTCCAACGCCTGACGCGTTGGCGCACTGCATATCACGTCAACTAACTACATCAACCATGTCTCCTTGCCACATCAGCTTAGCACATCAGCTTGCCGCATCAGCCTATCACATCAGCCGCTCAAGGTGGCCTTTCGAACCGGACTGCAAGCCCATCAGTGTCGTGTGCATGCCACACTTGTCTGTACAGATGACCAGGGAGGGAGGGAGCGCGATAAGAGAGACATCTAGGTATACTCCACAGACTTGCCACTGGGCTTATTGGACTCGTCTAATTTTGTTGGTAGATAGGAGGAATAAAAACAGTTCGACAGGTCATAAGGCTCACAATAAGGCTGTGATGGTGACATACAGCTGTGAATATACCATTTGAACCCTCCCATCAGTTGCCAAGGCAAAAAACATCAGTTCAAACCCAACACTTCAGATAACGAGTGAGAAAAATGAACAGCTCTCACGTAAACAAACCCACTCTGCTGCTCCATGGCCCCTTCATCTTCGATTCCTCCAAACCCTCAAGTCTCCAAAGCTTCAATGAATCAGAGAGTTGTCAATCTTGCAGCAGCACAGCACCAACCTGCAAAAGCCACTGCTCCCTTGGGTTGAACCACAAAGCATCCGTCCCCAGCTCGGCTAAAGAAGCACCACTACAACTCTCCTCTACACCCGCCCACCCCCCTGCCTCCCACGATTACGCTTCTCTTGCTCAGCCGCCGCGCATTAGGCTCATGGTACCAATCACACAGTGGGTCAATGCACTGCCTATACGGCTCACAAGGCACCGCAATGCCGCCTCCTCAGCCCCAAACCGCCCCACCTGCCCCACCTACTCACCCTCCCATGCCTATGCTCTCCTCCTCTTGCTCAGCCACCATGCATTAGGCTCATGATACCGGTCATACAGCGACTCGATCCGCTCCTGATACAGCGTATAGCGCACCCCACCACGTCCTCCTCACCGCCCACCCACCCCCACCGTCCCCACCTGCCCCACCTCCCCTCATTAAGCCCTTCTCTTGCTCAGCCGCCACACATTAGGCTCATGGTACTGGTCATACAGCGGCTCGATCCGCTCCCGAGGCCACTCAGATGGCACCCCAACACCACCGCCTCACATCCCCCCCTCCCCGTCTCCCCCCTTAAGCCCTTCTCTTGCTCAGCCGCCACGCGTTGGGCTCGTGATACCGATCATAAAGGGGTTCAATGCGCTCCCGAGGCCACAGAGATGGCACCCCAACACCACCTCCTCACATCCCCCCCTCCCCGTCTCCCCCCTTAAGCCCTTCTCTTGCTCAGCCGCCACGCGTTGGGCTCGTGATACCGGTCATACAGCGGCTCAATCCGCTCCTGCCGCTTGCGCTTGCTCAGCTTGGTGGGGTCCGCCTGTCTGAAGAACCTCGGCGCCAACTCCACCAGCCAGCGCGGGTCGATCAGCGTGCATTCCCTCATGTACTCTTTGGTCGTCATCACCAGCTCGTGGTAGATCACCCAGTCGGGTTGGCGCTGGAAGAGCGCGGAGGAGGGGTGGATGTACACCGGCTGGTTCTCCACTATGCTGCGGTAGCCCTCTTGGGGATCTTTGCGCGCCGCATGGAAGAAGAAGCCCGAGCAGAGCGCCTTGCGGATCTTGATGAAGTTGCGCCCAGCAGAGACGACGTCTAGCTTGTACCTGCATATGTTCACAGGAGGGCGGAGCAAGGAGGAAAGAAGAGAGGCAAGGGGAAGGAGAAAAGGGGAGAACGAGACACATGAGAGGAGAGGAGGTGTGTGTGAAGAAGAGCGCGGAGGAGGGGTGGATGTACACGGGCTGGTTCTCCACTATGCTGCGGGAGCCCTCCTGTGGGTCCTTGCGGGCCGCGTGGAAGAAGAATTCCGAACAGAGGGCTTTGCGGATTTAGATAAAGCTGCAACCGGCAGAGACCACGTCTAGCTTGTACCTGGGGGGTTAGGAGGGGCGTGGAGGGCACGAAGAGGGCAAAATAAGGAAAAGGAAGCACGAAAGAGGAGTTGGGTGGTGATAGCAGGAGGCAGTGTGACCACTGTGATAGCAGGAGGCAGTGTGACCGCTCGGTGCGGTGCGTGGAAGAAGCAGCCCAGCAGAGCGCGTTGCGGATTCTAATAAAGTTGGGCCCCGCTGACACCATGTCTAGCTTGTACCTGCATGCGTGCAAGGGAAGGGGAGAGGAAGGCAAAGGGGCACAAGGAGGGAGCAAGGGGGGGGCGAGGAGGGGCGAGGAGAGGGGGAAGCGGGGAGCATGTGAGAGGAGTTGGGTGGTGAGACAGTGCCACCCCACAGTGCACAGCGCGTGGGAGGAGAGGAGAGGCCCAAACAGAGTGCCTCGCTGATCTACATCAAGTTGCGACTAGCAGAGAGAGTTCACGTCCAGCTTGTACCTGGTTGGGTTGGGGCAAAGGGGGTTAAGGAGAGGCAAGAAGGGCGGGGAGGACAGCCACCCACCCATCCATCCACCCATCCACACGCACACACCCAACCACCGGTGCTCATACCCCTCCCCCCGCACGCACTGGACCATTATGGTGAGCAGCTGCTTGTGAACTCCTCCCACCCACCAGTCCTGTTGCCATCCATCACCCACCCACCCACACCCCCCACCACAACCCTCCCCCCCCCCCCTCTCAAAACGCACCGGTCCATGATGGTGAGGAGCTGTTTCCTCACGTCCTGAGCGCGCCTCAACGACCGGCTCTGCACAAAGTTTTCATAACACCACGGCCCCGAGAAGTTCTTGGCCTTCCACGCCTCGTACACGGCCAGCAGCGTCAGATGGTCCCCCTCGGGTTGAAAAAACTTGGCCTTCTTCTGATCCGCCTGCGCCTGCTTCTCCCGCGGCCGATAAAAGATATTCTGCGCCTGAAGCATCGCAATGATCGTCAGAATCTCCTCAGAACACCCCAGATCCACACTAGCAATGAGCGTTTTCGACAGTGGCGGCTCGAGCGGGAACTCCGCCATTTTCCGCCCGAGTTTCGTCAGCAACCCTTCCTCGTCCAGCGCTCCGAGATTATACAGTTGTTCCATGGCGGAGATTAAAGCCTGGGGCGGCGGCGGGTCCATGAAGTCAAACGCGAGCAGGTCGTTGATTCCCATGGCTTTAAGTGTGAGAGTTGTCATGCCCAGGTTGGTGCGCTGGATTTCCGGCACTGTGGTCGGCAGCATTTCGTTTCGGTACGCGCTTTCCGTGTACAGCCGGTAGCACTTCCCCGGACCTGTGCGCCCGGCTCGGCCGGCCCTCTGCCGCGCTGAGGCTTGGGAGATGGGCGTGATGACGAGCGAGTCGAGACCCAGCTTCGGGTTGTACACTTTTTGCTTTGCGAAGCCCGGATCAACCACGAAGTAGATTCCGTCAATGGTGAGAGATGCTTCTGCGATGTTAGTGGCCACAACGACTTTTCGGGTGCCCGGCGGGGCAGGGTCAAAAATTCTGGTCTGCATTTCGCTGGGCAGGGAACTGTACACGGGCAGGATGATAAGCTCCGGGACTGACGGCCCGAGCCCTTTGATTCGCTCATAGAGGATCTGGCACGACGTGTCGATCTCCTCCTGCCCGGTCAGAAACAAAAGGATGTCGCCCTCCGGTTCGGTCAGGTGAATCTGCATCACTGTAATCAGGGCAGCATCCAAATAATCCGTCTCGGGCGCCTTGGTATACAAAATCTCCACCGGGAAAGTCCTGCCTGGGATCGTAAAAATCGGGCACTGAAAAAAGTAATTCGAGAACTTCTCCGCATCCAGAGTCGCCGACGTAACAATCAGCCGCATATCCTTCCTCCTGCCCAGCAAATCTTTCAACAGCCCGAACAGCACGTCCGTATGAATCGTCCTCTCGTGCGCCTCGTCCAACATGATCACCGAATAAGAACTTAAATCCTCATCTACCAGAATCTCCCTCAGAAGCATGCCATCAGTCATGTACTTGATCACCGTCTCAGGACTCGTGCAATCCTCAAACCGGATCGCATACCCCACCTCTTCCCCCAGCCGGCACCCAAACTCCTCTGCTACACGCTTAGCAACAGACATAGCCGCCACACGTCTGGGCTGCGTACACCCGATCCTTCCCTTGCTCGTATACCCCGCTTCCGCCAAATACTGCGTCATCTGCGTCGTTTTCCCCGACCCTGTTTCACCAATCACCACCAGCACCTGGTTCTCGTTCACAGCCTGGATCAGCTCGTTTTTCAGCTTGTAGATTGGTAGGCTCTGCCGCTGCTCCTGCATCGAAAGTTTCGACCGCTGCCCGAACGTGGGCGCCTTGCCGAACGCGTCTTTTTTCCACTCAGGCATGTCATACGCGGCAAGCCCCACGCCTCTCAGCTCCTGCGCCAGATGCCTCTCGCCGGATTCCGGCATCGGATCTTCCCACGGACGGTTCAGATCTTTCGGGATGCTGTCCAGCATGCTGCGCTGCTGCTGCTCGCGCAGCTCGCGCCGCTCCTTGGCGAGCGCGGACTGCGTCATGGCGGCGCGCTGCAGCGACCCGTCAGGATTCTTAACAATCTTAACAGGCGACACGTCAATACTCGCGCGCGTCTGCCCTCGCAAAAACGCCGGCTCGTCTTCGTTCAACTCAATCTCCACCTCCTGCTCCTCGCCTTCGTCCTGATACAGCAACCCCCGCCTTCCTCGTCGTACTGAGGGTAATCTGTTACGTCTAGGACCCCCGAGGCTACTAACTGCTGCGCCTCCCATCGCTCGGGCGACGACATCCGACGGCCAGGACGCCGCCCCGTGGCGTTATCCTCTTCGACGATGCGGATCCCGGATAATCCGCGCGTGCCCGGGCCGGCTGGGTTGCTGCGGTCGTCGCCGTCCCCGTCCTCCCCCCCCGCGGATGGTTTTTTTTTCATGGGCAGGAGGTCCTTGCCCGTTTTCTGGTCCACGTCACGGATGCTGAGAGAGAGTTTCTGCCCGGACATGCTGATCACCTTCACCCACACCTCTTGATCCCTCTCCACCGCGTCCTTTGCGCTGTTAATCCGCCGCGACGCGATCTGCGACACGTGCACCAACCCTTCCTTTTTTTCGTGGCTGCCCGGAAGGTCTATTTGCACAAAACACCCGAATTCCATGATGCGGGAAACCTTGCCCTTGTAAATGCCATACACCTCCAACTCGCTACTTCTGGGCGGCGGGGGAGGGGGAAGAGCCGGTCGAGGCGGTAGCCGATCCCTCCCGTCGTCTCCCCTTCGCCTCTCATCCCTATCTCTCCCTCTATCTCTATCTCTGTCTCTATCCCTGTCCCTGTCGCCGTCCCTGTCCCTCTCTCTACCCCTGTCTCTGTCCCTGTCTCGGTCCCGATGCCTATCGCTCCCATCGTCATCCCACCGTCGCCGTCTCTCTCTCCCGTCATCCCTGTCCCTGTCTCGGTCCCGGTCGCGATCCCTGTCATCGTGGAAACCGTCCCCGTCTCTTCGCCCGTCTCGCGACGCTTCGCCAAGCAGCTCCCGCTCTAAAGCTTTTGCACGCTCCCTGTCATCCGGAACCGCCAGGCCGGGAAACTTCGAGCTGCCCGCGCCGTCTCCCGCTTTCTTTCCTGAGCCCTTGGATTTGGATTTCGGAGGAAGGACGGCGTGGATAATCGTCAGAAGCGTGCCAACAAAATACTCGGGCAGCTCGGCTCCGTTTTCTTTCAGGGCAGCATCGAAAGCGGCGACAGTGAAATTCTGCTGCCCGAGCTCGATGATGAATTCCGCGAGCGTTTTGTCCGCGATGCCGACGTGCGTCTCTAATTCCGAGCAGACCTTGGAAACGAGTGAAAGGTACTCTAGCTTCTTTAACGGATCCATGCCGACCGGCGGTCAGCTAGCCCGCTAGATCTCTACAGTTACACGAGCAGCAGCTGACTGACTTATGGCGGCGAGGAACCGAAAAGGTACGGAATTCGCTAGAATTTCCACATTAGGCGAGGCACAGAAAGCATTCAATCAAGTATTTAGGGCTAACCTGTGTATACCAAGGAAGAGGGAAGGACGTCAAGGTAGCAGTGAGGCGAGCACGACGATTAGGAATGCATCACAGGGTAGGGAAGATTTTTGCAGAACGGAAGGGAGCCTTGAAGTTGGACAAGAGGTAAGCAGGTGGAACCCTAACTTCGATACTGGAGAACTCGGTAGCAGAGAAAGCAGAAAAGTTGAGGTTTGGTTTGGAATAACGTAGAAGTCTCTACACTGCTCTTCGGTGTCCTCCAAAACCCTGGGATTTCACCGATGATCAACGGCTGGCACAAACCCTCCTGTTGGATCCAATTCACGCAATTCCCCCTTCCGCGCCCATAACGAAATCTTGTGTGTCTGACAATCACCTGTTCAACCAATCAGCGCGCGACAGGCAAGCCCATCTTCCTCTCGAAACTCCCGAGGTCGCGAAATGCTGCCTCGCTGGAATCCCCCCCTCGTTGAATCCCTGCCCAGATTCTGCGTCTGGGCCAGGGCTCATTTTTCGTTTCAAGCCACTCTTCCGAAAAAAAGTGAAATCCGCGTGCCCCTCGGCTGGGCCGAGTGGCGCGCTACAAAATCCGGGTGCAGGCCGGGTAAAATTTCTGCTAACTCTTTCTTGTACAAACTTTCTATGTGCAGTCGCATTTCGAGGACTTAGCCAAATTCTCAAGCTGATCCAATCTTCGACTCTCAATCAAGAACTTAGCCAAATTTGATGTTCACCCATTCTTTGTGACTCGCAGACAAGGACTTGGACTGTTCAGGGTTCGCTATTTTGGCGAAGTACAGAAGAAAATGAGTGGGGATGATTTTGTACTTGCACAGAACGGCCGAGTGGAGAATTCAGGCATCCGGCCACAGCAGCCTAAAAAAAAATCGGACCCTGAAGTTGGCCGAGCCATAATCGTGGCAGCTCGTTTTTTGCCGAGTGGGCCAAAAAATCCACCCGGATTTGAATAGTAGGCCGGGTAAATCCTCCTGCAAAAATAGGCCCTGGTCTGGGCTCCACACACAGCCATGGCCGACGCATAAACACTCACCCGTTCCCTTCCCTCAGTCCTTTTTCACGTTCACAAAAGACGGTCCTTTTCTCGCATTCCTTCGCTTTTGGTTGGTGATTTCTTCTAGGCCTCCAACCAGCTAACGCCGTGGCAGATTCGATACCGATAGGACTTGTCACGCTTGGACTTCACGCTCGTTTTAGTTCGTCGTTCCGGTGCCTGTCCATTCTCTCGGTGCAAATCTCGCAGTCATGGCGCATGCCGGAGTGATGATGACTCGAGCAGTCGTCCCTTCCATGGTACCTCGTTTCGACACCACCAGCACCTCTTCCGTTTCCCGCCAATGTGACCTTCCTAGAGCTTTCTTCGGTCAACAGCTCACCTTCGCCGCCTCTTCCTCCCCATCTCACGCGCAACCGTCGAAGCTCCCGCGAACCTTCCCCTGCGTTCGAAGCAGCGTGAACGGAAACGAGCCCGCGGCGCAGCCGTCCCGTCCCGAGTACATCCCTAACCGCATCGACGACCCTAACTACGTGCGCATCTTCGACACGACGCTGCGCGACGGCGAGCAGTCGCCCGGCGCGACGCTCACCAGCAAGGAGAAGCTCGACATCGCGCGCCAGCTGGCGCGGCTCGGCGTCGACATTATCGAGGCGGGCTTTCCCATCGCGTCGCCCGATGATCTCGAGGCGGTGCGGACGATCGCCAAGGAGGTGGGAAATAACATCGACCCAAAGACGGGGTACGTGCCCGTGATCTGCGGGCTGGCGCGCTGCAACAAGGCGGACATCGACGCGTCGTGGGAGGCGGTGCGGCACGCGGCGCGGCCGCGCATCCACACGTTCATCGCGACGAGCGCGATCCACATGGAGTACAAGCTGCGCAAGACGCCCGACGAGGTGGTCGAGATCGCGCGCAGCATGGTGGCTTATGCGAAGAGCCTCGGGTGTAACGACATCGAGTTCAGCCCCGAGGATGCCGGCAGGTGGGTCGCGGTTTTTGCCGGCAGGTGGGTGAGGGTCATGGGTCGAGCAGGGAAAGCGGTGTCGAGGATGTCCTGTAGTTGATGGGCTGTGGTTGGCGGCAGTATCGGAATGGTGGTGTGACGTTTGAGAATACTCAGGCATGATGGGTGGCGATCCACGTAGAATACAAGCTGCGCGTACACTAAGAGCCTCGGATGCAACGGCATCGAGTTTAGCCCCGAGGATGCCGGCAGGTGGGTGCCGGTGGTGGTTGTGATGCAATGTCATGTCAGCCTGCCGCGTGCTGGTACTGGCGCGCAGCATGGAGGTAACGCTAGAAGCCTCGGGTGCTACGAGGATGCCTTGTTGCCATATGGTTCCAACCACCTCCGTGTCTTCCGATTCCCTCCTCGCAGGTCGGACCCCGAGTTCCTGTACCGCATTCTGGGCGAAGTGATTAAGGCGGGCGCGACGACGCTGAACATCCCCGACACGGTGGGGTACACCATGCCGTCGGAGTTCGGCGAGCTGATCGCCAAGATCCGCCAGAACACGGAGGGCGCTGAGAATGTGATCATCTCCACTCACTGTCAGAACGACCTGGGGCTTGCAACGGCTAACACGCTCGCGGTGAGTGCGTATGAGGGAGGGAGCGAGGGAGGGAGCGAGGGAGCGAGGGAGGGAGCGAAGGAGGGAGGGAGGGAGAGGAGGAGGGAGGGAGGGAGCGAGCGAGGGAGGTAGGGAGCAAGGGAGGTAGGGATAGAGGGAGGGAGGGAGGGAGCGAGGGAGGGTAGGGATGTGATGTTATCTGAGGCGCCTGGGAACACACGGAGGGCGCGGAGAGCTCTATCATCTCCACTCACTGCCAGAATGACCTGGGTCTCGCCACTGCCAACACAACACGCTCGCGGTCAGTGATTGTGAGTAAGGGAGGGAATGAGTGGGGGAGGGAGTGGGTGGGGGGTTGATGATTCTTGAGGCGCCTCAGAAAGCGGAGGTCAGAAGAGGGAGGACAGAACACGGAGGGTGGAAAGGGCGTGTGGAGTGGATCATGTATACGGAGTGTTGAGGCTCCTCGCACTGCCTGCACCACCCGGGACTGGCTTCCACTCCACCACCTCGCTTGCATGCAGCAGGTCGAGAGGGAACGATTAGAAAGAAATCAGATGGAGCTGCTCGTTGTGATCAACGTCCTCCTTTCTCACCTTCCCTCCTCTCCCATTCTCTCCTCCCACTTTCCCCTCCCATCCTCCCCTCCCATCCTCCCCTCCCATTCTCCCCGCTATACTCCCATCCCACTCTCCCTTCTCATTCTTCCCACCCGTTCTCCCATCCTCCTCTCCTCTCCTTCTCTATTCTCTCCCTCTCCACTCGCTCCACTGCACCTCCACCCACGGAGCAGGGAGCCAAGGCAGGAGCGCGGCAGCTGGAGGTAACGATCAACGGGATTGGCGAGCGGGCGGGCAATGCGTCGCTGGAAGAGGTGCGTGTGAGGGTGGGGAGGGGGGGTGTCTATGGCTGTTGTGGCTGGTTGGTGCTGCTGGTGGGGGTCATTTGCCACACGCCACCTGTGGTCAGCTCATAGGAAGGGTGTGAGTGCCATTGAGGCGCCTCAAAAGTTGCCACACGCCACCTGCGGTCAGCTTACAAGACGGGTGTGGGTGCCACTGTCCTATGAAGCCTACGTGGATGAGAAGTACAAGCACGAACCTTTATTTTTTCTGCAGCAGCAGCAGCAGCAGCAGCAGCGCACAGTTACCCGCCCTTGATGTGTTCTTGTTTTCTTCTCCACCCGCCTTAGCAGGCGGTAATGTCGATCCAGTTTGTTTTTTTTGTAGGCGCCCAATGATTTTGCTTTCGTTTCTTGCCCTTCACCCGTGCTCTCGCTCTCATGTTCCTCCCGCGTGAGCAGGTGGTGATGGCGATCCGGTGTCGCGGGCAGGAGCAGTTCGGAGGGCTGTACACGGGCATCAACCCCAAGCACATCGCGCTCTCCAGCCGCATGGTGAGTGTGGTGTGTGGTGGTGTGTGTGTGTGTGTATAGCGTGATGGTGCACGTGTGGCATGTGTTGTGTTACGGTGCATGGTATGTGATGCTGTACACGGGCATCAATCCCCCAAGCACAAGCACATGGCGCTCTCCAGCCGCATGGTGAGTGAACTGCTTGGGCGGTGTGTATGGTGCTCGTATGTGACGCACTGTGTGATTCGAAGCAGATTGCTTATCGCTCCCTGCTGCCACATGGCATGGGCATCAACCCCAAGCGCTATCCCCTCCCCCGCATCCTCCGCGTGCCCCTCTTCCCCCTCATCCCCTCTTCCCCCTCATCCCCTCTTCCCCCTCATCTCCCTTTCCCCCTCATCCTCCTCTTCCCCCTCTTCTCCCTTTTCCCCTCTTCCCCGTCGTCCCATTCACATGCGAGATGGTGCAGCGCAGTGGCACAAGCGAAGCCATAGCAAGTCACAGGAGATGAGCCGCCTGTTTTGAGACGTCTCAAAAGCTGCCTCTACTCTCCATAAGCTGGGACAATTCCCAGTCCCTTTACTTCACCCCCTCGGCTATTTTTGACGTGCCTCAAAAGAAGTCACAGGAAATGAGCTGCCTTTACTCTCCATAAGTTGGGACAATTCCCAGTCCCTTCACCACCGTCGGCTACGTACAAGGCCACCGTGGGCGCCAATGCCATTCTGTAGATTCATGCCTTTCCCCTTTTCCCCTCCACACCCCAAACCCCCCCTTCCCCTCCTCTTCCCCCTTTCTTCTGCCTCGCCCCCCTGCCAGGTGACGGAGTACACGGGCATGCTGGTGCAGCCGCACAAGGCCATCGTGGGCGCCAATGCCTTCCCTTGAACTCATGTCTTTCCCCTTTTCCCCTCCACAACCCCCCCGTCCCCTCTCCTCCCCTCCCCTTTGTTGTGCCCGCCGTTCCAGGTGACGGAGTACACGGGCATGCTGGTGCAGCCGCACAAGGCCATTGTGGGCGCCAATGCCTTCGCGCATGAGAGCGGAATCCACCAGGTGAGGGAGTGCGGCATTCGCCACATGAAGCAGTGAGGCATTTCGCAGGGGTGGGTGTGTGGGTGGATGGGCAGTGGACTGACAGTCAAACGAGAGGAATGCCAGCTGTGGCAAGTGACTTTGTTGGGTTGCCCTTATTTCTTTTGCTCACCTCCCCAACTCACTTTAGATCTCTGCATGTGTATTTCACTTTACCAATCCAACCCCTCCTTTTCCCCCCATCCCTCCTTCTCCCTCCTCTTCTCCCCCCAAACTCCACCAGGACGGCATGCTCAAGTACAAGGGCACGTACGAGATCATGGCGCCAGAGGACGTGGGCATCGTGCGCACTGACGCTGCAGGCATTGTGCTCGGCAAGCACAGCGGCCGCCACGCCCTCAAGACGCGCCTGCAGCAGGTGGGATGAGGGGCGATGAGGGGCAATGAGTGGGAGGAGTGGGATGCGGGGGATGAGAGCGGTGAGGGGAGGAAGGGAAGCAGGGTCGTTCTTGAGTCGACTCAGAGGTCACCTTGCTCGGCAAGCACAGCGGCAGCCACGCCCTCAAGACGCGCCTGCAGCAGGTGTGATGCGGGGTCCAAGGAAGGGTGGATGGGGGGAAAATGACGAGTGGGAGAGGGAAGAAGGGAGCAAAGTGTGTGTTAGCAGTTTCTCTTCCTCGCCCTTCCGATGGCACACTCATTCCAGCCGCGCTTAAAAACTATAGAGTGATCTTTGAGGTGCCTTAAGAGCCCTTCTTTTTAGTCGACTCAAAATTGAGGTGCCTGAAGAGCCCTTCTCTCACTGGCCTGGAACTCAAGGAGCGTTTCTTCAGGCCCTCGGCTATCCTTTCACCTTAGGTTGGGTGGCGCAGTGATGCCCCCCTTGTGCATCCTCGCGCACATGGGTTGTGACTTTGAAAGCATGGTGTCGGAGGGGAGGTGTTTAAGCACTCCATGGGGGTGCCTGCCCGACACGCCCTCTCCCCCCATGCCCAGGTGTTGAAGTGCTTGGACCACTCTTCTCCTCCCCCTTCCGATGGGGTACGACTTTGAGTGTGCCGAGCTGGACGAGGTATTGGAAGCGGTTCAAGGTGGTGCCTGCCACGGACGCCCTCTTCCCCCATGCCCAGGTGTTGAAGCGCTTTCACTACCCTCCTTCCCCCCTTTCTCAGATGGGGTACGACTTTGAGAGCGCGGAGCTGGACGAGGTATTGGAAGCGGTTCAATGCGGTGCCTGCCAGCCACCAAATACTCCACAATTTGCTGTTCTTGCCTTCATTCACACTGCCCCCACCCGCCCTCCTCCCACACCTTCAGATGGGGTATGACTTTGAGAACGCGGAGTTGGACGAGGTGTTCAAGCGGTAGTGGGCTCCTAATCCCCTTTCTGGGCCCCTTGGCATCCATCATTACCCCCTTCTCCCAATCTCTCTGGGGTACGACTTTGAGACCACAGAGCTGGACGAGGTATTCAAGCGGTTCAAGCCTTCCCTGTCTTTAGGTGTTCAAGTTCGTTGCTATCCAACCCCCTCTCCTCTTCCCCCTCTCCTCTTCCCCCTTTCCTCTCCCAATCTCTCCCAATCTCCCTCCTCCCACACCTTCAGATGGGGTACGACTTTGAGAACACAGAGCTGGATGAGGTGTTCAAGCGGTTCAAGTCAGTGGCGGACACGCCTTCCCTCCCTTCAGCTGTTTTAGTTCTTTTATCCCTACACCCCCCCTTTCCACTTCCCCCCCATCAGATGGGGTACGACTTTGAGAACAGAGAGCTCGATGAGGTGTTCAAGCGGGTCAAGTCAGTGGCTGGTACCCAATCCCGCTCTCGCCCCCTCTGTCATCTTTCACACCCAACCCTCCTCCCACACCTTCAGATGGGGTACGACTTTGAGAACGCAGAGTTGGATGAGGTATTCAAGCGGTTCAAAGCGGTGGCGGACAGGAAGAAGATTGTCACGGATGGGGACCTGGAGGCTCTCGTCTCTGACTCGGTGTTCCAGCCCAAGACCATCTGGCAGCTCGCTGACCTGCAGGTGAGCTTGTCAGGGCGCCATGCGTGGGAGGGACCAGACACCATGGAGGTGATTGCTTTCAGGGACCAGACACCATGGAGGTGATTGCTTTCAGGGACCAGACACCATGGAGGTGATTGCTTTCAGGGACCAGACACCATGGAGGTGATTGCTTTCAGGGACCAGACACCATGGAGGTGATTGCTTTCAGGGACCAGACACCATGGAGGTGATTGCTTTCAGGGACCAGACACCATGGAGGTGATTGCTTTCAGGGACCAGACACCATGGAGGTGATTGCTTTCAGGGACCAGACACCATGGAGGTGATTGCTTTCAGGGACCAGACACCATGGAAGTGATTGCTTTCAGGGACCAGACACCATGGAGGTGATTGCTTTCAGGGACCAGACACCATGGAGGTGATTGCTTTCAGGGACCAGACACCATGGAGGTGATTGCTTTCAGGGACCAGACACCATGGAGGTGATTGCTTTCAGGGACCAGACACCATGGAGGTGATTGCTTTCAGGGACCAGACACCATGGAGGTGATTGCTTTCAGGGACCAGACACCATGGAGGTGATTGCTTTCAGGGACCAGACACCATGGAGGTGATTGCTTTCAGGGACCAGACACCATGGAGGTGATTGCTTTCAGGGACCAGACACCATGGAGGTGATTGCTTTCAGGGACCAGACACCATGGAGGTGATTGCTTTCAGGGACCAGACACCATGGAGGTGATTGCTTTCAGGGACCAGACACCATGGAGGTGATTGCTTTCAGGGACCAGACACCATGGAGGTGATTGCTTTCAGGGACCAGACACCATGGAGGTGATTGCTTTCAGGGACCAGACACCATGGAGGTGATTGCTTTCAGGGACCAGACACCATGGAGGTGATTGCTTTCAGGGACCAGACACCATGGAGGTGATTGCTTTCAGGGACCAGACACCATGGAGGTGATTGCTTTCAGGGACCAGACACCATGGAGGTGATTGCTTTCAGGGACCAGACACCATGGAGGTGATTGCTTTCAGGGACCAGACACCATGGAGGTGATTGCTTTCAGGGACCAGACACCATGGAGGTGATTGCTTTCAGGGACCAGACACCATGGAGGTGATTGCTTTCAGGGACCAGACACCATGGAGGTGATTGCTTTCAGGGACCAGACACCATGGAGGTGATTGCTTTCAGGGACCAGACACCATGGAGGTGATTGCTTTCAGGGACCAGACACCATGGAGGTGATTGCTTTCAGGGACCAGACACCATGGAGGTGATTGCTTTCAGGGACCAGACACCATGGAGGTGATTGCTTTCAGGGACCAGACACCATGGAGGTGATTGCTTTCAGGGACCAGACACCATGGAGGTGATTGCTTTCAGGGACCAGACACCATGGAGGTGATTGCTTTCAGGGACCAGACACCATGGAGGTGATTGCTTTCAGGGACCAGACACCATGGAGGTGATTGCTTTCAGTGACCAGACACCATGGAGGTGATTGCTTTCAGGGACCAGACACCATGGAGGTGATTGCTTTCAGGGACCAGACACCATGGAGGTGATTGCTTTCAGGGACCAGACACCATGGAGGTGATTGCTTTCAGGGACCAGACACCATGGAGGTGATTGCTTTCAGGGACCAGACACCATGGAGGTGATTGCTTTCAGGGACCAGACACCATGGAGGTGATTGCTTTCAGGGACCAGACACCATGGAGGTGATTGCTTTCAGTGACCAGACACCATGGAGGTGATTGCTTTCAGGGACCAGACACCATGGAGGTGATTGCTTTCAGGGACCAGACACCATGGAGGTGATTGCTTTCAGGGACCAGACACCATGGAGGTGATTGCTTTCAGGGACCAGACACCATGGAGGTGATTGCTTTCAGGGACCAGACACCATGGAGGTGATTGCTTTCAGGGACCAGACACCATGGAGGTGATTGCTTTCAGGGACCAGACACCATGGAGGTGATTGCTTTCAGGGACCAGACACCATGGAGGTGATTGCTTTCAGGGACCAGACACCATGGAGGTGATTGCTTTCAGGGACCAGACACCATGGAGGTGATTGCTTTCAGGGACCAGACACCATGGAGGTGATTGCTTTCAGGGACCAGACACCATGGAGGTGATTGCTTTCAGGGACCAGACACCATGGAGGTGATTGCTTTCAGTGACCAGACACCATGGAGGTGATTGCTTTCAGGGACCAGACACCATGGAGGTGATTGCTTTCAGGGACCAGACACCATGGAGGTGATTGCTTTCAGGGACCAGACACCATGGAGGTGATTGCTTTCAGGGACCAGACACCATGGAGGTGATTGCTTTCAGGGACCAGACACCATGGAGGTGATTGCTTTCAGGGACCAGACACCATGGAGGTGATTGCTTTCAGGGACCAGACACCATGGAGGTGATTGCTTTCAGGGACCAGACACCATGGAGGTGATTGCTTTCAGGGACCAGACACCATGGAGGTGATTGCTTTCAGGGACCAGACACCATGGAGGTGATTGCTTTCAGGGACCAGACACCATGGAGGTGATTGCTTTCAGGGACCAGACACCATGGAGGTGATTGCTTTCAGGGACCAGACACCATGGAGGTGATTGCTTTCAGGGACCAGACACCATGGAGGTGATTGCTTTCAGGGACCAGACACCATGGAGGTGATTGCTTTCAGGGACCAGACACCATGGAGGTGATTGCTTTCAGGGACCAGACACCATGGAGGTGATTGCTTTCAGGGACCAGACACCATGGAGGTGATTGCTTTCAGGGACCAGACACCATGGAGGTGATTGCTTTCAGGGACCAGACACCATGGAGGTGATTGCTTTCAGGGACCAGACACCATGGAGGTGATTGCTTTCAGGGACCAGACACCATGGAGGTGATTGCTTTCAGGGACCAGACACCATGGAGGTGATTGCTTTCAGGGACCAGACACCATGGAGGTGATTGCTTTCAGGGACCAGACACCATGGAGGTGATTGCTTTCAGGGACCAGACACCATGGAGGTGATTGCTTTCAGGGACCAGACACCATGGAGGTGATTGCTTTCAGGGACCAGACACCATGGAGGTGATTGCTTTCAGGGACCAGACACCATGGAGGTGATTGCTTTCAGGGACCAGACACCATGGAGGTGATTGCTTTCAGGGACCAGACACCATGGAGGTGATTGCTTTCAGGGACCAGACACCATGGAGGTGATTGCTTTCAGGGACCAGACACCATGGAAGTGATTGCTTTCAGGGACCAGACACCATGGAGGTGATTGCTTTCAGGGACCAGACACCATGGAGGTGATTGCTTTCAGGGACCAGACACCATGGAGGTGATTGCTTTCAGGGACCAGACACCATGGAAGTGATTGCTTTCAGGGACCAGACACCATGGAGGTGATTGCTTTCAGGGACCAGACACCATGGAGGTGATTGCTTTCAGGGACCAGACACCATGGAGGTGATTGCTTTCAGGGACCAGACACCATGGAGGTGATTGCTTTCAGGGACCAGACACCATGGAGGTGATTGCTTTCAGGGACCAGACACCATGGAGGTGATTGCTTTCAGGGACCAGACACCATGGAGGTGATTGCTTTCAGGGACCAGACACCATGGAGGTGATTGCTTTCAGGGACCAGACACCATGGAGGTGATTGCTTTCAGGGACCAGACACCATGGAGGTGATTGCTTTCAGGGACCAGACACCATGGAGGTGATTGCTTTCAGGGACCAGACACCATGGAGGTGATTGCTTTCAGGGACCAGACACCATGGAGGTGATTGCTTTCAGGGACCAGACACCATGGAGGTGATTGCTTTCAGGGACCAGACACCATGGAGGTGATTGCTTTCAGGGACCAGACACCATGGAGGTGATTGCTTTCAGGGACCAGACACCATGGAGGTGATTGCTTTCAGGGACCAGACACCATGGAGGTGATTGCTTTCAGGGACCAGACACCATGGAGGTGATTGCTTTCAGGGACCAGACACCATGGAGGTGATTGCTTTCAGGGACCAGACACCATGGAGGTGATTGCTTTCAGGGACCAGACACCATGGAGGTGATTGCTTTCAGGGACCAGACACCATGGAGGTGATTGCTTTCAGGGACCAGACACCATGGAGGTGATTGCTTTCAGGGACCAGACACCATGGAGGTGATTGCTTTCAGGGACCAGACACCATGGAGGTGATTGCTTTCAGGGACCAGACACCATGGAGGTGATTGCTTTCAGGGACCAGACACCATGGAGGTGATTGCTTTCAGGGACCAGACACCATGGAGGTGATTGCTTTCAGGGACCAGACACCATGGAGGTGATTGCTTTCAGGGACCAGACACCATGGAGGTGATTGCTTTCAGGGACCAGACACCATGGAGGTGATTGCTTTCAGGGACCAGACACCATGGAGGTGATTGCTTTCAGGGACCAGACACCATGGAGGTGATTGCTTTCAGGGACCAGACACCATGGAGTGATTGCTTTCAGGGACCAGACACCATGGAGGTGATTGCTTTCAGGGACCAGACACCATGGAGGTGATTGCTTTCAGGGACCAGACACCATGGAGGTGATTGCTTTCAGGGACCAGACACCATGGAGGTGATTGCTTTCAGGGACCAGACACCATGGAGGTGATTGCTTTCAGGGACCAGACACCATGGAGGTGATTGCTTTCAGGGACCAGACACCATGGAGGTGATTGCTTTCAGGGACCAGACACCATGGAGGTGATTGCTTTCAGGGACCAGACACCATGGAGGTGATTGCTTTCAGGGACCAGACACCATGGAGGTGATTGCTTTCAGGGACCAGACACCATGGAGGTGATTGCTTTCAGGGACCAGACACCATGGAGGTGATTGCTTTCAGGGACCAGACACCATGGAGGTGATTGCTTTCAGGGACCAGACACCATGGAGGTGATTGCTTTCAGGGACCAGACACCATGGAGGTGATTGCTTTCAGGGACCAGACACCATGGAGGTGATTGCTTTCAGGGACCAGACACCATGGAGGTGATTGCTTTCAGGGACCAGACACCATGGAGGTGATTGCTTTCAGGGACCAGACACCATGGAGGTGATTGCTTTCAGGGACCAGACACCATGGAGGTGATTGCTTTCAGGGACCAGACACCATGGAGGTGATTGCTTTCAGGGACCAGACACCATGGAGGTGATTGCTTTCAGGGACCAGACACCATGGAGGTGATTGCTTTCAGGGACCAGACACCATGGAGGTGATTGCTTTCAGGGACCAGACACCATGGAGGTGATTGCTTTCAGGGACCAGACACCATGGAGGTGATTGCTTTCAGGGACCAGACACCATGGAGGTGATTGCTTTCAGGGACCAGACACCATGGAGGTGATTGCTTTCAGGGACCAGACACCATGGAGGTGATTGCTTTCAGGGACCAGACACCATGGAGGTGATTGCTTTCAGGGACCAGACACCATGGAGGTGATTGCTTTCAGGGACCAGACACCATGGAGGTGATTGCTTTCAGGGACCAGACACCATGGAGGTGATTGCTTTCAGGGACCAGACACCATGGAGGTGATTGCTTTCAGGGACCAGACACCATGGAGGTGATTGCTTTCAGGGACCAGACACCATGGAGGTGATTGCTTTCAGGGACCAGACACCATGGAGGTGATTGCTTTCAGGGACCAGACACCATGGAGGTGATTGCTTTCAGGGACCAGACACCATGGAGGTGATTGCTTTCAGGGACCAGACACCATGGAGGTGATTGCTTTCAGGGACCAGACACCATGGAGGTGATTGCTTTCAGGGACCAGACACCATGGAGGTGATTGCTTTCAGGGACCAGACACCATGGAGGTGATTGCTTTCAGGGACCAGACACCATGGAGGTGATTGCTTTCAGGGACCAGACACCATGGAGGTGATTGCTTTCAGGGACCAGACACCATGGAGGTGATTGCTTTCAGGGACCAGACACCATGGAGGTGATTGCTTTCAGGGACCAGACACCATGGAGGTGATTGCTTTCAGGGACCAGACACCATGGAGGTGATTGCTTTCAGGGACCAGACACCATGGAGGTGATTGCTTTCAGGGACCAGACACCATGGAGGTGATTGCTTTCAGGGACCAGACACCATGGAGGTGATTGCTTTCAGGGACCAGACACCATGGAGGTGATTGCTTTCAGGGACCAGACACCATGGAGGTGATTGCTTTCAGGGACCAGACACCATGGAGGTGATTGCTTTCAGGGACCAGACACCATGGAGGTGATTGCTTTCAGGGACCAGACACCATGGAGGTGATTGCTTTCAGGGACCAGACACCATGGAGGTGATTGCTTTCAGGGACCAGACACCATGGAGGTGATTGCTTTCAGGGACCAGACACCATGGAGGTGATTGCTTTCAGGGACCAGACACCATGGAGGTGATTGCTTTCAGGGACCAGACACCATGGAGGTGATTGCTTTCAGGGACCAGACACCATGGAGGTGATTGCTTTCAGGGACCAGACACCATGGAGGTGATTGCTTTCAGGGACCAGACACCATGGAGGTGATTGCTTTCAGGGACCAGACACCATGGAGGTGATTGCTTTCAGTGACCAGACACCATGGAGGTGATTGCTTTCAGGGACCAGACACCATGGAGGTGATTGCTTTCAGGGACCAGACACCATGGAGGTGATTGCTTTCAGGGACCAGACACCATGGAGGTGATTGCTTTCAGGGACCAGACACCATGGAGGTGATTGCTTTCAGGGACCAGACACCATGGAGGTGATTGCTTTCAGGGACCAGACACCATGGAGGTGATTGCTTTCAGTGAGGTCTCCCACCCACATGCCTTCCCCTTCTTATGGTGTTGCACACACTTGTGCCGTTCATCTGCTCTTCTGGACCCCCACACACACCTCAACTCTCTCACTCTCACCCTCACGCCCGTGCACCGCAGGTGGTGTGTGGCACCATGGGGCTGCCCCCAGCGATGGCGAAGCTGGTGGTGGGGCCTGATGGGGTGGAGCACATCCAAGCGGCCATGGGCACGAGGCCAGCTCTTCTGCACCCTCTCACCACCCTCTCACCACCCATGCACTTCCGTGTTGCGCACTCTCACTCTCACGCCCTTGCACTGCAGGTGGTGTGTGGAACCATGGGGCTGCCCACAGCGATGGCGAAGCTGGTGGGGCCCGACCCGATGGTGCAGAGCAGATCGGCTTCTCTGCGGTGGCCCATCCACGTGCCCTTCCTCTGCGCTTCTGCACCCTCACACCCTCACTCACACACCTCCACCCTCAAACTCACACTCATGCCCCCCAGGTGGTGTGTGGAACCATGGGGCTGCCCACAGCAACGGTGAAGCTGGTGGGACCTGACGGAGTGGAGCAGATCCAAGCAGCCATGGGCACGGGGCCTGTTGATGCTGCGTACAAGGCCATCAACAACATCATTGATGTAAGTTCAATGAGGCGAGTGAGTGGGTGCAATGTGGTGCAATCAGCTTGTGATCACGGGGCCTGTTGACGCTGCGTACAAGGCTATCAACAACATCATTGATGTTTGTAAGTTCAATGAGGCGAGTGAGTGGGTGCAATGTGGTGCAATCAGCTTGTGATCACGGGGCCTGTTGACGCTGCGTACAAGGCCATCAACAACATCATTGATGTAAGTTCAATGAGGCGAGTGAGTGGGTGCAATGTGGTGCAATCAGCTTGTGATCACGGGGCCTGTTGACGCTGCGTACAAGGCTATCAACAACATCATTGATGTTTGTAAGTTCAATGAAGCGAGTGAGTGGGTGCAATGTGGTGCAATCAGCTTGTGATCACGGGGCCTGTTGACGCTGCATACAAGGCCATCAACAACATCATTGATGTGAGGTGCTGCTTGGCAATATTTGCTTTTTGGAACCCTCTTACTCGCCTCTCCTCACATGCCCGCCCCATATGCTGCCCCCCTGCCCCCCACCATCTGAATGTGGAGCTCACAGAGTGATTCCGTTTGTCCGTCATTATGCGTGAATGTGGTCATTGACGTGCTGCCACGCATGCACGCGCGCGGCCATCTGCTCCACTTGCGGCCCCTCACACACCCCCACATGTGCCTCTGAACTCTGAACCCTATTCGTTTCCCCATGTGTGCCCCCCACCAGCTGAACGCGGAGCTAACAGAGTACTCTCTCTCCTCAGTCACCAAGGGCATTGACACACTGGCATGCACGCACGTTGTGATTGCCCCCTCCCTTGCCTCCATGCACTACCCCCATCCACTACCCCCATCCACTACCCGCTGCACCCAAGCAGCTGAACGTGGAGCTGACGGAGTACTCGCTGTCTTCAGTGACTGAGGGCATTGATGCCCTCGCCTGCACGCGCGTTGCCATTCGCTCTACCGGCGATGCGCACACCGCCACACACTCGCAGCACGGCAGCATTGAGAGGACCTTCAGGTGCGGGGAGGGGAGGAAGTGTTGAGACGCGGGGTGAGGTGAGAGGAAAGGCGGTTCAGGTGTGTAAGCATTCAGGGTGCTCCTCTGAGTGACCCTGAGTTGAGTCAGTTGAGGACCTCACACCTCCACGGGGGATGCGCACACAGCCACGCACTCGCCGCACGGATGTTAGAGAACATGCGAGGGAGCCCTTTCCTTCTGGTGGGTGATTGGTTATGATGGGTGTCTCACTCGGAAATTGATTCCGAGTCTTTTCCTGCTCGCTTCTTTGCTCTCCAATGTCTCTTTGCTAAACATCTTCAGTGGCAGCGGTGCTGACGAGGACATTGTGGTGTCGTCTGCCCGCGCTTACATAAGCGCTGTCAACAAGATGCTGGGCTTTGGTGACTCTGCAGCTTCAATTGCCAGCCGGCACCATGTGAACGTAGCGTGATAGGTTGGTGGGATGTGCCAAAGTCATGATTCATGACATTCTTGAAGGTGGAGTGAGGGATGGGAAGACGAAATGACATTCTTGACATTTCGTCAAGTGAAATGTTTTTGTCTGTGGCGTTCAGTGTGGTCATAAAAAAGCATTGTCAACGAGATGATGGTTGGGAGGATACGGTAAAAGAGAAATGAGGTAGGGAATGAGAGTGGTACATGTGGAGTCAGTGTGCCACTAAGTAGAGGGGCTGATTCTGAATCCAGAAGTACTTCGTTGAGTCTCTTATGTGCAAATTACTATTGACCTCCTTCCTTACCTACCATACATTGGACAACATATCAAGATTCTCATAGTACCTTAATCATTGGTGCCATGTCACCTCATGTCTGTAATTGGCCGGATCACGCAATGCAAATGATGTACGAAACTGTCATTACCGTACTTTCTTGGATAGTACTTAAGACTGTGATTGTTCTTGCTGGTTTATGAGAATACTTTTAGGAACATCAGCACAGAGTGCGAGCAACTTTCTGATGGCTAAGAAGCTAGTAGCGAGTATGAACAATTCACCCACAATGTGTAATTTCACACATACTAACATGACACGTGGCCGTTCACCACCAACTCGTCATCACCCCTTACCCCGCATGTCGCCTCGACGTCCGATTACTCCTCTGTTGGTCGCGAATGGCGGCGATTCGGGAGGTTCCGCTGCCACCCCGGACCGCTCTGATGCCACTTCAATTGCGGGTCGATGGCGAAAGGCGACATTTCGTCGTCCGTGTTGCCTTGCCACCTGCGCTTCGCGCTGTCGCAATTGACGAGCTCGATGTTGAACGCACTGGAAAACGCGGGCCGCATAGAGCCTCTTATTCGGCCCGCATAGACGCATAGTTTCTCTCAACTTGAATTAAAGCCTTCAAGCCGCTGTTTGTCGGTCCGTGCCCTCCAGTTCCCTCACTACCTCCGCGGAGCCGTCCTTTATTCTCCAGTGATCGGCGGTTTTGCCGTTTTCAAAAGCTTTATCGCCTCCGCACAGGCCGTTAACGATCATAACTTCCGTCCCAGCTGCAAATTCCGTTACCATTCAGCGTCTCTCGACCGACTTCTGTATTCCGCGCACTCTCACGATCGTCCCCCCTCACCACCATGCAAGACGTCAAGCCGCAGCAGCAGCAGCGCGAGCAGCAGATCCCACAGCGACCGCAGGAGGCGACGGCAATCCCAGTCGCATCAGCCGCCGCGCACCTTCCGGAACTCCCGGTGGAAGCTGACGTGGACTGGCAGGAGACGGCAGGGCGGCAGGTGGACGCGAGCGTGGAGGGCGGCATCGACGAGGAGGAAACGGCGGGGTGGCAGGCGGCGCTGGGGGCGGACGAGGTGCAGGCGCTGCTGGCGGGGGCGGGGGTGGGGGCGGGGGCGGGGGAGAGTGTGTCGCAAGGGCGGAGGAGGATGGGGGGAGGGGGAAAAGCTTCGGAGGGAGAGGGAGGGCGGAAAGGAGGAGAGGGGGTGGAGGGCGAGGGGGTGGAGGGCGAGGGGAAGCCGTTGGGGATCGAGGGTGAGGCAGCAGTGCTGTTTGGGGGGGAGGAGGGGGAGAGGCAGGGGGAGTGGTAGGGGGAGAGGCAGGGGGAGAGGAAGGGGGAGAGGCAGGGGGAGAGCGATGGGACGTGCCGCTGGTGCCTGACATGCCTGGGGTGCTGTCCATGGGTGATGTGATGGGAGGAGTTGAGCAGATGGCGGCCTCCACTTGGAGCGGTGCCAAGGAGGTGAGCGAGGTGGTGTGCCAAGGAGGTGAGCGAGGTGGTGTGCTAAGGAGGTGAGTGTGGTGGTGTGCTAAGGAGGTGAGTGTGGTGGGATGGAGGGAGTCATGTCGTATTGGGCTTGCTGGAGCGGGGTGCGGTGGAGTTAGTTGGATTGATTGGGGTGGAGTGTGATGGATTTGGGTTGGGAGGAGTGAAGTGCACTCAATGCTACCAGCACTGCGGCATGCCCTTTTCATTTTCTGCTTTCTCCTCGCACCTCGGTGTCTGCTATTAACAATTGCTGCTTCCACTGCTGCTGCCACTGCTGCTGCCACTGCTGCTGCCACTGCTGCTGCCACTGCTGCTGCCACTGCTGCTGCCACTGCTGCTGCCACTGCTGCTGCCACTGCTGCTGCCACTGCTGCTGCCACTGCTGCTGCCACTGCTGCTGCCACTGCTGCTGCCACTGCTGCTGCCACTGCTGCTGCCACTGCTGCTGCCACTGCTGCTGCCACTGCTGCTGCCACTGCTGCTGCCACTGCTGCTGCCACTGCTGCTGCCACTGCTGCTGCCACTGCTGCTGCCACTGCTGCTGCCACTGCTGCTGCCACTGCTGCTGCCACTGCTGCTGCCACTGCTGCTGCCACTGCTGCTGCCACTGCTGCTGCCACTGCTGCTGCCACTGCTGCTGCCACTGCTGCTGCCACTGCTGCTGCCACTGCTGCTGCCACTGCTGCTGCCACTGCTGCTGCCACTGCTGCTGCCACTGCTGCTGCCACTGCTGCTGCCACTGCTGCTGCCACTGCTGCTGCCACTGCTGCTGCCACTGCTGCTGCCACTGCTGCTGCCACTGCTGCTGCCACTGCTGCTGCCACTGCTGCTGCCACTGCTGCTGCCACTGCTGCTGCCACTGCTGCTGCCACTGCTGCTGCCACTGCTGCTGCCACTGCTGCTGCCACTGCTGCTGCCACTGCTGCTGCCACTGCTGCTGCCACTGCTGCTGCCACTGCTGCTGCCACTGCTGCTGCCACTGCTGCTGCCACTGCTGCTGCCACTGCTGCTGCCACTGCTGCTGCCACTGCTGCTGCCACTGCTGCTGCCACTGCTGCTGCCACTGCTGCTGCCACTGCTGCTGCCACTGCTGCTGCCACTGCTGCTGCCACTGCTGCTGCCACTGCTGCTGCCACTGCTGCTGCCACTGCTGCTGCCACTGCTGCTGCCACTGCTGCTGCCACTGCTGCTGCCACTGCTGCTGCCACTGCTGCTGCCACTGCTGCTGCCACTGCTGCTGCCACTGCTGCTGCCACTGCTGCTGCCACTGCTGCTGCCACTGCTGCTGCCACTGCTGCTGCCACTGCTGCTGCCACTGCTGCTGCCACTGCTGCTGCCACTGCTGCTGCCACTGCTGCTGCCACTGCTGCTGCCACTGCTGCTGCCACTGCTGCTGCCACTGCTGCTGCCACTGCTGCTGCCACTGCTGCTGCCACTGCTGCTGCCACTGCTGCTGCCACTGCTGCTGCCACTGCTGCTGCCACTGCTGCTGCCACTGCTGCTGCCACTGCTGCTGCCACTGCTGCTGCCACTGCTGCTGCTGCTGCTACTGCTGCTGTCACTGCTGCTGCCACTGCTGCTTCCACTGCTGCTGTCACTGCATTTCTACCTCACTCACGAACCAGACTCAAACACCTCTCTGCCCGTCCATCGTTGCCAACCCACTGCCACTGCAAGCCATGTCATCTGCTGCTCACACCGCTGCTGATACTGCTGCTGCTGGCACTGCAGCTGCTGGGGGGGCTGCTGCGGGCATGGTGGGTCTAGTCTAGACACCAGTAACACCTTTCCTCCCCTTCATCCTTCCCTCCCTATCCGCCCCTTCATTTTCCCTCCCTAACCGCCCCTGCAGGCCATGACATCTGCTGCTCACACCACTGCTGACACCGCCACTGCCAGCACTGCAGCTTTTGGGAGGGCTGCTGCGGGCATGGTGGGTGTAGACATCAACGCCCCGCCCATTGGCATTCCCCTGGGCTCCTCCTCTCTGCCTGCAGTTACCGATGAGGCACAGATGGGCGCTGCTGCTCTCGTCGCTGGAGAGACAGCGTCTGGCAGGGTTGAGCAACCCAGCTCCCACTGAACTCTTGTACCCTAACTGCCCGAGGGCAAAGAATTTGTCGAGCTGCCCGAGGGCAGCTGGATTTGTCCAGCTTTAGTTGCAACCTTGCAGCTCTTTCGATCAGCTTGAGGCTGATAGCTTAGCTTAGGTTGCATTCCTGGCCTGGACACCATCCGAAGATCGGACACCTTGAGCTGTTTTTTATTTGGTTGCGATTGAAGGTCTAAAAACAGAGTTACCTCGTAGTTTTAGGCTTCATGGATGTGCGCAGCCAACTTTACCCAGAAGCAACCGAGTCTCGAAGAATTTGTAGGGTGGGCTCGGTCAACTGTGCTCACTCACACTTACCTACTCACACATGTGGCGTTGAGTGAACTCACATTGCGGAGAAGTTCGATCCTTCTTTCTCAGCATTTCAAAATTTCGTAGCATGATGTCTAGGTCAAGTTAAACAGGGGGAGTAGGCGTACAGCTTTCAATACCGCTAAAGTGTCCAAACTTTGCATGGTGTTCGGGCCAGGAGTGCAATCTTAGTTCCACCTGAATCCGAAGGTTCCTCCTCTCTGCTGCCAAGCAAGATCAGCTTCTCTTTTTAGCTTCTGAGGTTCCCTTCACTTTAGGGTGTGGGACATCTCGGTTAATTCAAAAAGCCATCTGGAACCGAGATGTTCGGCGCTCTTAAAGCTGCTTCTGATGCTCTTGTTGTGAGTACGGTACTGTATTATAGCAGGAGACAAATCATTGAGGTAAAGTTTTATGTTTTTTCCGCACCCAAACTCATGAGTGGGGAGGTGCAACTGCTTATGCTACTAGATCATTAACATTCATACTGAATCACCTAGGCACCTCTAGTGCGCCTTGCTTGCTGCCTCTTTTTGATGCAGCTAAAAGACTAGCTTTCCTTCTTGACCACCGAGTCACCACTCATGTGCTATATGGCTTGCTGCTGCTTCTCCTGCAGCCGCTGCTCATCATATCTGTCATCCTCGTTCAAAAGGCACTTCCAGTTCTTCACGAATCCGCGGGCGTACGGGCTGTGGAAGTGCTATGACTAACCTAGTCACCTCTTGTGCTATCTGCCTTGCAGCTGCTTCTCCTGCAGCCGCTGCTCATCGTATCTGTCATCCTCTCTCAGAAAGCACATCCAGTTCTTCAGGAATCCACGGTCGTATGGGTTGTGGAAGTGCTTCGTCTGCTCTCCTGATGCTGGTGTAAGCATGATGCATCAGAGATCCAATTGCAACATGCATGCATGCACACGGGAAGCACATGTACAGACACGGCAAAATCATGGCACGAGGATTTCATGGCGCACAAAAGCGGCCAGTCAGATCACATTAGCATGCCATGAGCATGGTTTGGAATCATGACAAATAGAATGTCAAGGAGTTAGAACACGCTAGCATGATATGGAAAGATGAGACGTCAGCACAAGCTGGGATGAGGAGTGTGCAATGGAAAGAAGCAAGCCCAATGGGGCACGGCGACATCCATGACATGTTGTTGCATGTATTCTGTCATGCCATACCATGCCCATGCCATACCATGCCATGCCATGCCACTCCATGCGATGCCACTCACGCAAGATGGGCGGTCCTTCATAGTGCATGTATGGAACCTTCTTCCATCGGGCCTGGTAGGAATAGTGGGAACATGGCGGTGTAGCCATGGATTGGATGGGAAGGGAAATGGGGTGAAATGCATAGGGGTGAAATGCATTGGGGTGAGATGCATAGGGGTGAAATGCATTGGGGTGAGATGCATAGGGGTGAAATGCATAGGGGTGAAATGCATTGGGGTGAGATGCATAGGGGTGAGATGCATAGGACGCCACTGTCACAGGATGTCACCCCTCCCCCTCTTAACCCCCCACTGATGGACCAACCATGTGCAAACACATGCTGTGGAGGTGATGAATCAATGCTTTGGGCTTCAGTTTCTCTTTAGATGTCGATAACAAAAAGGGGAGATTAGGAACGGCTGAGGAGCAGGTAGACAAGTGAGAAAGGGATATGCAATTCACTTACCCACTCGTAGGTGGTAATGTTTTGAGTTATGAAGAAAAGATGGAAGAGGAGAAGGGGAGCCTGCAAGGTGAGAAGGGGCACCGGGAAAAAAGAACCGGAAAAGGGAGTATTCTCAAGAAAGAGAGGCAAAAGGTTTGTTACAGAGAAGGAAGAGGATAAGGGGAGACTGCCTGCAAGGTCATACAGGGCACTGGAGAAAACGAAAAGCGGGAAGGAAGAAGAAAAAAAGTCACCACAAAAACGAAATAGGTCCAAGTAGCAAAGGAAAGTAGCAATGACAAAAAAAAAAAAAAAAAGCTGATTCAGAATAAGAACCACTGACACGAGGGCATGAAGGAAGTGGAAACGGAGAATCTAAACGGGGAAGAAGTGGAATAGGAAAATGAAAACAGGTCGAAGGCAGAGAGGGTGCTTTACCTGCCAGAGGGGTTGGAGGTAGGAGAAGAGCATAAGCAACATCACCCATGGTTGCTCCAATAGAGCCTGCAGCAACAATGGGGGCGCTGAGGCAGATTATTGCTGGGTGGAGGGTGTTTATACATTCGCAGAGTGGGCTGAAACGGCAAAGGGAGCACCTGAATGCGGGAAAGAGGCAATAGAAGTGCAACCGGAATAGCCAGTGAGCGCGTGTGTGCAGTGACAGCGAGTGTAGTGAGCGTGCATGCAGCGAGCATGCAAGCAGCGATCGTGCATACAGAGAGTGCGAGTGCAATGCACCTGGATCGCGATGCGTAAGGTCATCTCAATGCTTCTCAGAGCACTTACTGAAGCACAGCAGCGCATGGGAGGGGGAGAAGGAGAGGGAGAGGGAGTGTGAAGGAGAGTAGGGGAGGGAAAGGGGCATAGGGGAGCAGCAAACATGATGTGGAAGTGGATGGATAACAATGATCCTAAGAACACCTACTGAAGCAGAGCGGAGAAGGGCGAGGGAGAGGGAGAGGGGAACACGGGAGAAGCAGGCATGATGTGGAAATACAGCTCGACGATTCTCAGAGCACCTACTGAAAGACAGCAGCGCATGGGAGAGGAAGGAAGGGAGGGTCACACGAGAATGCATAGGGGCAGCAAGCATGCATGGATGATGTGGAAACAAAGAGGAGAACGGTTGGACGAATGGGCAGGGTGAGGTTGAGAAGGGATCCTCCTTAAAGAGCTCTCAGACACGCATGCAGCACGGTGAGGAGGAGGATGGGCAGGCAGCATGGTGAAGACGATGGGCAGGCAAAATAAATGATGCGGTACAAGATGGCACGCACTGTTGGAGAAGATGAGGGGTTGGGTGGAGGGCAGCTGAAGGAGATGGTGTGAGACTAGGACTGGAGGGAAAGGGGGGAGAGGAGAGGGGAGGCTGGGGGGAGGAGATGGGCAGGCAAAAGAAATGACGTGGATCGATGGCATGCACATACGGTTGGAGAAAATGAGTGGTTGGGTGGAGGGCAGCTGAAGGAGACGATGTGAGGCTAGAACTGGTGGCGAAGGGGGGAAAGGAGGGAAGAGAAAGAGGGGAGGAGAGGCGGGGAAAGGAGGGAAAGAGGTAAGATGCTGATTGATTGGCAGGTGAAGGAGGCGAAGAGGTTAGAGAGGCGGGTGGGGAAGGAGATGGAAGGGAGGGGAGGGGAGGGGAAGGGAGGGGGTTGGCTTGATGTTCACAAGGAGGCTGGGTGTTTGGCAGGTAAAGAGAGGATGAGCAGCTAGGACTGGTGAAGAGGGGAGAGGAGAGGCGATGAGGGGAGGGGAAGAGAGGAGAGGAGATGGAAGCGGAGAGGATTGATGGGAGAGGGGAGAGGCTAAGAGTGGCTTGATGTTCACGAAGAAGCTGGGTGCAGGGCAGGTGAAGCGATGATGGGAGGCATGGTGAGGTGTGGTGGGAAAGAAGGGGGGAGTAAGAAGAGACACAGACATGGAAGAGAGGCGGACAAGGAAGAGAGCTGGACATTTAACTTCTTGTTTGCAACAACTTCAAGAATGGCAGCAATGATGACTTGAAGCGTGAATAGTCGAGAGCTCTTCAGCAGTGATTACAAAGCTGTCTGCAAGCAAGTGCCAGGTTTCGAGACTGGCAACAGCTAGCCTGAAACTGCTACCTTGTCGCAATCCTAAGCCTGCCAGCGCACGAGCTCCTGCTGTGAACTTCGTTGCTTCGGAGGAGAAGAAGGTTATGATTCCATGCGTGTGCTTTGAAAATGGCAAGAAGACAAACCATGGTCCAGAAAGCAAGGAAGAGTTGTCAGTGTAAGTTTGAAGAGATGAAAGGCCGTGTGAGGATGGCAAGAGAGAGTGCAGTGAGGCCTCCATGTCGGTCTTGAAGACTGTCGGGTGGAGATAGTAAGAACGGTCAGAGCATGTGGTGCAACTGAATTCTCTGGTGTGACTGGCAACATTGTTTGTTTATGTGTTGCACCACATACTCTGACCACTTAGTCAACGCTGCCAGCCATACCAAAAGCATTCACTTGCACCACATACTTGGGCCACTCCTACTGCTTCACTCGACAGTCTTCAAGGCCGCCACGAAGGCCTCACTGCACTTTCCTTTGCCATCCTCACACCGTCTTTCCTCCATTCCAACTTTCTCCAAACAACTCTTTCCTGCCTCTGGGACCATGGTTTGCCTTTCTTGTCATGTTCAAAACACACGAAGGAAACCAGAACCTTCTTTCTCCTCCGTAGCAACAAGGTTCTTCACAGCAGGTTCTTTCTCCTCCTCCTCCAGAATCTTCACAGCAGGTTCTCGTGCGCTGCCAGTCATGGGAATGCAACAAGGCAGTAGCTTCAGGCTAGTTGCTGCCAGTCTCGAGACGTAGCACTTGCTTGCAGGCAGCTTTGTAGTCACTGCTGAAGAGTTCAGGACTCTGATGATTTTTCGCACTTCAGATCAACATTGCAGGCATTTCTGCAGTTGTTGCGAACATGCTATCATTCTCAAATGTGCTAACTTATGCTGCACTATTCATTAATACAATCGACATTGCTCATTGGCCAGGGTCAAGCACAAGCAGACAATGACCATTAAAGTCGTACAACAGCTAGAATCACATACGCCATTCATGCACTCACAGGCAGCAAACTCAGAGGCACGGCAACACTCACAGGCATGGCAGCACTCACATGCAAGGCAGCACTCACATGCAAGGCAGCACTCACATGCGTGGCTGCACTCACATGAATGGTTGCACTCACATGAATGGTTGCACTCACATGAATGGTTGCACTCACATGCATGGTTGCACTTACATGCATGGTTGCACTCACATGCATGGTTGCACTCACATGCGTGGTTGCACTTACATGCATGGTTGCACTCACATGCATGGTTGCACTCACGTGCATGGTTGCACTCACGTGCATGGTTGCACTCACGTGCATGGTTGCACTCACCTGCATGGTTGCACTCACATGCATGGTTGCACTCACGTGCATGGTTGCACTCACGTGCATGGTTGCACTCCGTGCATGGTTGCACTCACGTGCATGGTCGCACTCACGTGCATGGTCGCACTCACGTGCATGGTCGCACTCACGTGCATGGTCGCACTCACGTGCATGGTCGCACTCACGTGCATGGTCGCACTCACGTGCATGGTCGCACTCACGTGCATGGTCGCACTCACGTGCATGGTCGCACTCACGTGCATGGTCGCACTCACGTGCATGGTCGCACTCACGTGCATGGTTGCACTCACGTGCATGGTTGCACTCACGTGCATGGTTGCACTCACGTGCATGGTTGCACTCACATGCATGGTTGCACTCACGTGCATGGTTGCACTCACGTGCATGGTTGCACTCACGTGCATGGTTGCACTCACGTGCATGGTTGCACTCACGTGCATGGTTGCACTCACATGCATGGTTGCACTCACATGCATGGTTGCAATCACAGGCACGGCTGCACTCACAGGCACACAAGTGTTCAAATCATATACATCACTCATGCACTCACAGGCACGGCAGCACGCTGCGAAGGTGAGTTCACCAGCAATGAACACAAGGATGAGGAGGAGGAAAAGCCGGTGGTTGCGACGACCTGAAATAGTGTCAGAGAATGTTCATCATCGAGACAATGTTTGCCCCAAAAAAAAAAAAAAAAAAGGATGAACGGTTGTATGCCGCAGAATGTGGGTCAAAGGATTTTATGTCGAAAGATTGTGTCTAAAAAAAACTCTACTTGAAAGTGAAAGAATGTACGGAGAGTCAAGAATGTTGGGGCTCGCAACTTGTGATCATGAGCGCATTAAGTCTAAAAGGGGAAGGAGTCACAGTCGCCATGGTATGCCTAAACCCTAAACCCAAGAAATACACAACTAAATATACAATTAGATCATGTGTGACAGTCGTCAAGGCAATCACAACCGTAATGCACGCACAGAGCATACAGTGGCATTTGAATATGCACAAACAGCAATCACGAACATCTCCAGAAACACTCGTCACATGCACATGGGAATAGACCAACTTGGTACCAACCATGCTTCGTGCGTGCTTATAACGAGTCATACCCACACATGTGCCTATAGCGGGGCAGTGGTGATCGTATCGGTCCACACAGCGATGGCACTTCCAGCAGTGCCGAGACCGTGCCCACCGCCACACCTGCACACAGTGAGGGGAGTGTGGACGGGTGAAGGAGCACAGGGAGAGAGAGAGGTGAGCCGATCGAATGTCATGTGGCGATGTGTGTCTGTAGCAGTCCACACCCCAATGACACTTCCAGCAGTGCCGCGCCCATGCCCACCGCCGCACCTGCACGCCGAGAGGGGGTGTGAAGACGGATGGAGGAAAGGGCAGGGGGAGAGCGGTGTCATGTCATGTGTCATGTGGCATGTGTCATGTGGCATGTGTCATGTGTCATGTGTCATGTGTTATGTGTCATGTGTCATGTGTGCCCATGGTGGTCCACACATCGATGGCACTTCCAGCAATGCCGCGACCATGCCCACCGCCACACCTGCATAACGTTGTAATGCGCAGCAGAGCTTTATCAAGTTTACTTGCGATTCCACCTCATCCACCTTCTCCTTTTCGCTGCAACCTTTTCATGCATCTCTCTCTCTCTCCTTTCCGAATCTTCCCATGCGCTTGTCCATTGTTCTGATATTCTCACAAACTCCCATGAACTATGCTAAGACATGGCTCTAACTTTGAGGCGCCTCAAAACTAAACTCCCATGAACTATGCTAAGACATGGCTCTAACTTTGAGGCGCCTCAAAACTAAACTCCCATGAACTATGCTAAGACATGGCTCTAACTTTGAGACGCCTCAAAACTAAACTCCCATGAACTATGCTAAGACATGGCTCTAACTAATACCACTAGATCCTGTCCTGGGTGGCAAATTTCTAATCACCACAGATAAGTGTTGTATCCCACCCGCCTTTCAGCAATAGGGGTAGCAGTCATGATGTGTGAACCGACTTGCTTCGACACGTGGTTTTTCTTGTCTTTTCTTTCCGTTTGTTTTCTGTTCTCCTTTACATTACGCCCAACTAAAGAGCAATTTCGCCTGCCCGACCAATGTTACGTGCTCACATGGCACTCGTGGCAGTAATTGCTGGGTTGCCAGAACCACGACCACCACCACGCCTGCTGCTGCTGCTGCTGCTGCTGCTGCTGCTGTTGCTGCTGCGGCTGCAGCTCCTGCTTCCGTTGGATTAGCGGCACCTCCTCTTGCTCCTCCCCCCGCCTCTCTCCTTGCAGCAGCGGCTGCATTTGCACATGGTCTCCCAGTTGGACCCTTGTGTCACCTGACCCTGGGTGCTGAACCGTCACACGGCTGTTGCTGCATGACTCAGGCTGCTTGGCAGCTGATAATGACACACAGCCAATGCCGTCCTGAAGAGGGTGAAATCAGGGATAGCACAGCACAGGCGTGGGAGGAGGGGAGGAGGGCACGGGGGGTAAAGGGGGGTGAGGGGGAGGGATGGGATTGTGTGTGAACCAACTCAGCATCTTGCCTTTGCCTTTTTTTGAGTAGAAAGGGGTGTGACGCGCAGGAACACAACACAACACAACCAAGCAACCAACGAAGCTGAGACATGGTGCCTTGCGAACTTGCTCTGGTGCCTTGCGAACTTGCTCTGGTGCCTTGCGAACTTGCTCTGGTGCCTTGCGAACATGCTCTGGTCTGGTGCATGGAAGGGCACATCGATGATGGATGAGAGTTCGGTGTGCATTGAAGCATGCAAAAAAGGTTTTTGAGAATTCTCAAAGGTGTGACAACAAGAAATCGCGCATGCAAATACACCGCCACTCCACTCCCTTCACCCTCTCACCTTCCCTCCCACACACACACACACACGTGCACACACACACACGTGCACACACACACACGCACAATACCCCCCTCCCGTCTCCCCCTCCCACCCCCCTCTCCCCCGTCACACTCACATCGTATCGTACGTCATCTAAAGGTGCTGCACGCACAACGAACCCCCCTTGCTACAAGGTGACTTTTGAGTCGACTCAAAAGTCACCTCGTTACAATGGCACACGACACTTTTTCTACACGGAGAGCGCTTATTGCTTGGAGACTACCAAAAAGAGTTGGAAACTTTTTAATTTCTGCTAAGAAGTGCTAGGTACAGTAGATTTCACTGTAGCCTTTATTGCATTCGCTTGTACAATGTTCACCAGACCCCGTGAGGATTCTCCCGCGTTTTGGGTCTTGCGTGACATTTCCTAGGCCTATAAGTAGTGCCTTTACACGTAGACTAGCTTGTGGTCTGAAGAAGGCGTCTGACGCCGGAACCGGTTACCATCAAATTTACACAAGCGTGTTCCTACACACCAACACTCTACCTACTCTAGGTGTCATACTCTAATCACTTGCTGCCACGTATTGAACCATGGCCTCTAAATGGGGCTCGATTGGACTTCACATTGACACTACTGCGATGGCCAAGTACAGATTCGTTGCTAATGCAACAGACACCAACACCAACACAGACAACACCAAGGAAAATCCCACTCGTCAAATCACGCGACTCTCGAGGAAGCCAAGCCCGAGAACTAATCGCGAAGATAAAGAGCAGGCTGGCTCCAAAGCCAATCCACAGTCTCCAGTTTCTCGACCGAGCAAGAGGAAAGCTTGTGAATTTCCACCTGCTATTCCGTCCGAAGCTATCCCAGCACCAGCCGTTCAGCGATCTTCTTTTGCTACCATGGCTGCGCCGCGACAGGAAGCTGCTCATGAGATTCATGACACCGTCATGCTGGATTCTTTTGATTTCCTTGGTGACATTAATCACGCTTTTCTTGACAAGCAGGCTACTCCTACATGCCTGAACGACTTCAAGCTGCAAGCGATCAAGGACTTTAAGAAGAGCTTTCGTAAATACCGGACTTTGCAGCTGCAGTACAATTTCATGGAGGAGCAGAAAGCGGCGGGGATTATCCCGCACAGCATTCGCATCAAGCCTTTCGGCTTCGTATGCAACTCCGAAGAACTTCGTCAAGAAGCTGACAAGGATCTCCAGGCGGCCTGCGAGGTGTATTGCAAGCAAGCGCAAGGAATCCTTATCGCGATGAAGAAGGCAGCAGAACAAGCTCGCAACGACACTGCTGCAGTTTTTCAGAAGCTCCAGGACCAGGTCGATAACTACATCAATCTGGCCAAGAAGACCGACATCGGGACCAAGAACTCGAAGCTGACCGACAATTTGAATTTTTTCAAGCATCGCGTCGTTTCTGAATTCAAGGAAGCAATGTCTATTTTCGTTATGGAGGCTAACCTTTCTGAAATTCATTTGAAGGAAAAGAAGTGGGAGATTGACGAGAAGAAGGCTGCTGCGACAGAAGAAGCTGAAAACCTTCCGGTCGATCCCACTGTTCGCGAGATCGCCAAACAGGAGGCTGAAAAAGCAGTCGCTAAGCTCAAGCCGAAGTTTAAGTCTACTCCCAACGACAATCGTCCTTCTGTTAACAACGGCAAGAAGAAAGCATCAGCTGGCAAAAGGAAGACCTTCCCTGTCAACAACAGCAAGAAGGCTACCACGATCGCGACGAAAAGGAACAAGAAGGCGCAGCCGAGGCAGAATAGCAACGGCATGAAACGTCAGAATGGTTCCGGCAAGAAGGAGGATGTCGGCACTCACCATGCGACAAAGACGATGGGACGAGCCTACACCAAGACGGCTGGACGCAGTGCGACTTACCCCAAGAACCGTAACGCAGCGGCAAAAAATGGGGGAGGAGCCGTCCGCGGAAAAACAGGTCGACAGTAGCAGCCGATGTTCACTCCTACGCGCTCATCCTCTTCGGCCGACAAACCGAGAGTCAGCTGCGTTGCAGAGTGACCAACCGCGGCATCCACAACTTCAGTGACCATGTTTTTACGCGTGAAGAGCTCAATTTACTTAGCCTGGGTCTTAAATTCATCCCTTTCCCTGCCATCCGCAACATCGCTAGCCTAGAAGCCGAATTGTACTCTTTCTTTAGGAGTGTGCGTACGATGTATCTGTTTGGGGGAACTGATATCGTTTCTGATTATCCAGGCTACAAGCTCCCAAGACGGGAGAACTGGGATCCGCCATTGGCTTCCTCCGAGATCGAAACGGCCCTTGCTGTCTTTAAAGACTCGGTGATGAAGGACATCAATGGTCAAACGATTCGCTCACACCGACGGAAAAACGTCATTCCTACGCTCCAACGGCTTGCTAGAAACCCTGAACTAATTTTCAAACCTGCAGATAAGAATCTCGGCCTTACGGTGATGAGCAGAGACTTCTATCAAGAAAAATGCCTTCAACATCTTCTTAATAAGAAAGTCCACAGAGAATACTCTGCCGTTCCGACCGACGACATTCTACACGATCTACATTCTATTCATAATGACTATCAACCGCTCCTACCTAAGAAGATCTGGAATTCTTTCTTCAGTCAACCCAATGGCGGATGGAAAATTCCCGCCTTTTACGTCTTACTGAAGATAAATAAGAAAGTTCCTGCCGGACGACCGATTGCGGCCTGTCATTCGTGGATAACCTCCAACGTTTCTCGCTGGCTAGACACGGTTTTACGTCCGTTGGTCCTTCAACAACCTACCTATGTCAAGGATTCTCAGAGTCTTATTCTTGAGCTGGAGCGACGGACGGTATTGACGCTGTTTCGTATTTTCTCCAGAAGGCAAGACACCCATTAGCTCCACTCATCACTCGCCTACTTCGTTGGGTGATGTTCAACAGCTATGTCTCCTTCAATGGCAGATTCTTTTGCCAGATTCACGGCACCGCCATGGGAACGTCAGTAGCTGTTTGCTTCGCGGTTCTTTTCATGAGCTTTTTGGACATTCAACTCCATTCCCTGCTTCCGTCACCTCCCCCTCTTCACCTTCGCTTCATAGACGACGGTTTGATTCTATGGGAAGGGACGCGGGAAGAATTTCAACGGTTGAAAGCGCGGTTTGATACGCTTCATCCCTCCATTCGCTTGACTTGGGTCATTTCGGAGACTTCCATTGATTTTCTGGATGTTACTTTTTTCAAGGGCAGACGCTTCAACACCTCCGGTTTACTGGATTTAAAGCTGTTCCAGAAACCCATGAATCGTTACTTATATTTACCTTTCAAGTCATATCACACTCGCAAGACGAAGGTGGGATTCATTCGCAGTGAATTACACAGATTTCTACTGCGCTCATCCTCTCGACCTGACTTCCTCAACTCCCGGGCTCTTTTCTTTGCTCGACTACGGGCACGGGGGTATCCGGAGAAATTTCTCCTGCCGATCTTCAAATCGGTCTCCTTTCCTCTCGGTCAGAACTCCTCGCTCGCGCGTTTTCGACACATGCCTCTCCGAAACGTGGCCCCCTTGTGCTGAAATGCCTACTCAACCCCTTGGTTGACCATTCGCACCTGGGGAAACTTTTGAGTCGACTCAAAAGTCACCTCGTTACAATGGCACACGACACTTTTTCTACACGGAGAGCGCTTATTGCTTGGAGACTACCAAAAAGAGTTGGAAACTTTTTAATTTCTGCTAAGAAGTGCTAGGTACAGTAGATTTCACTGTAGCCTTTATTGCATTCGCTTGTACAATGTTCACCAGACCCCGTGAGGATTCTCCCGCGTTTTGGGTCTTGCGTGACATTTCCTAGGCCTATAAGTAGTGCCTTTACACGTAGACTAGCTTGTGGTCTGAAGAAGGCGTCTGACGCCGAAACCGGTTACCATCAAATTTACACAAGCGTGTTCCTACACACCAACACTCTACCTACTCTAGGTGTCATACTCTAATCACTTGCTGCCACGGATTGAACCATGGCCTCTAAATGGGGCTCGATTGGTCCCCCTCCCACCCCCCTCTCCCCCGTCACACACACATCGTATCGTACGTCATCTAAAGGTGCTGCACGCACAACGAACCCCCCTTGCTACACACACACACACACACACACGCACGCACGCACGCACGCACGCCCCCCCCCCCTCCCCTCCAAACACACACACACACACACACACACACCGTACGTCATCTAGAGGTGGTGCTCCAGTCTCATTCCCTCGCACAACAACCCCTCCAGTCTCATTCCCTCGCACAACAACCACTCCAGTCTCATTCCCTCGCACAACAACCCCTCCAGTCTCATTCCCTCGCACAACAACCCCTCCAGTCTCATTCCCTCGCACAACAACCCCTCCAGTCTCATTCCCTCGCACAACAACCCCTCCAGTCTCATTCCCTCGCACAACAACCCCTCCAGTCTCATTCCCTCGCACAACAACCCCTCCAGTCTCATTCCCTCGCACAACAACCCCTCCAGTCTCATTCCCTCGCACAACAACCCCTCCAGTCTCATTCCCTCGCACAACAACCCCTCCAGTCTCATTCCCTCGCACAACAACCCCTCCAGTCTCATTCCCTCGCACAACAACCCCTCCAGTCTCATTCCCTCGCACAACAACCCCTCCAGTCTCATTCCCTCGCACAACAACCCCTCCAGTCTCATTCCCTCGCACAACAACCCCTCCAGTCTCATTCCCTCGCACAACAACCCCTCCAGTCTCATTCCCTCGCACAACAACCCCTCCAGTCTCATTCCCTCGCACAACAACCCCTCCAGTCTCATTCCCTCGCACAACAACCCCTCCAGTCTCATTCCCTCGCACAGCAACCCCTCCAGTCTCATTCCCTCGCACAACAACCCCTCCAGTCTCATTCCCTCGCACAACAACCCCTCCAGTCTCATTCCCTCGCACAACAACCCCTCCAGTCTCATTCCCTCGCACAACAACCCCTCCAGTCTCATTCCCTCGCACAACAACCCCTCCAGTCTCATTCCCTCGCACAACAACCCCTCCAGTCTCATTCCCTCGCACAACAACCCCTCCAGTCTCATTCCCTCGCACAACAACCCCTCCAGTCTCATTCCCTCGCACAACAACCCCTCCAGTCTCATTCCCTCGCACAACAACCCCTCCAGTCTCATTCCCTCGCACAACAACCCCTCCAGTCTCATTCCCTCGCACAACAACCCCTCCAGTCTCATTCCCTCGCACAACAACCCCTCCAGTCTCATTCCCTCGCACAACAACCCCTCCAGTCTCATTCCCTCGCACAACAACCCCTCCAGTCTCATTCCCTCGCACAACAACCCCTCCAGTCTCATTCCCTCGCACAACAACCCCTCCAGTCTCATTCCCTCGCACAACAACCCCTCCTTGCTGCTCATGCTTCACCTGCTGCTGCTGCTGCTGCTGCTGCTGCTGCTGCTGCTGTTCCTCCCACTCCCTCACTTGCTTATACCAGCTTTGCCACTGCTCCTCATTTGCCTGCCCCTGCCCCTGCCCCTGCCCCTGCCCCTGCCCCTGCCCCTGCCCCTGCCCCTGCCCCTGCCCCTGCCCCTGCCCCTGCCCCTGCCCCTGCCCCTGCCCCTGCCCCTGCTCCTGCCCCAACTCCTGCCTCCCTTGCTGCAGAACCTGCTTCTCCTGCTGCTGCGCTGTGCCCTCATCTCCTCCCCTTCTCACCCCTCCACCGCCCACCATCCCAGATCCACCGTGTTGCATTCCACTCGCGTCCTCCCCACACTGCCCGTCACTGCTGGAAGCCTGTGCCCCATAACCCGATGGAGCCTCGCCCTTGGGAATGAATCCAGGATCTGTGTGGTAGGTGCTGAGAGGGTTGGGGGGAAAAGAAGGCAGGGACAGGGGGAGAAGAGATTGAATTCATCTCGCCTCCTCCTCCCCACACCACTACCCCTTACTGATGGAGACCAGCGCCCCATAACTCGGTTGGGGCTCAACCTTGGGAATGAATCCAGGATCTGTGTGGTAGGTGCTGAGGGAAAAGGCAGAGAAACCTGGCTGGAGACTGGGAGAAGGGAAAGGGGGAGAAGGGAAAGGGGGAGAAGGGAAAGGGGGAAGGGAAGGGAAAGGGGGAGAAGGGAAAGGGGGAGAAAGAGGGTGGAGAAGGAGAGCATGTGAAGGAAGGAGCAGGTGCGACTTAGCTTTGATCTATGAATCTGTCCCAGCCGAGAAAGAACGCTGTTCCGCAAAGGCTTCATCGATCTGGCACAGGGCCAGATACGACGGATTACTACTTGGCGTCTTGCTAGAGCAACTTCCGAGGCGCCTCAACAAGGACCAGACCAGATACGAGACGCCATTCAACTCCCTCCCTCCCGAGCCGAGGCACGAAATAGAAGGGAATTGAATGGAAAGGAAGGGCATAGGCTCACAGGAAGTAGAGTGGGAAGACGACAGCAACACAGGCGTGAACCAATGCAGAGAGGAAAGCTGAAATGCCTGGATGATAAGGGGGGAAGAGGGCGTGGGGGAGCCGGAGGGAGGCGTGGAGGGGAGGGAGGGGAGGGGAGGAGGGGGAGAGAGGCGAGCTGGGCTCAGATTGTTCAGCTGGGCTCACAGCAAGTGGAGTGGGACGACGAGAGCGACAGTGGCGTGCGTGAGAGAAGAGAGGACGGGTGACACACCTGAATGGAATCGGAACAAGGGGAAGGAGGGAGGGAGGAAGGGCGGGGGAGTGTGTGGAAAAGGATTGTAATTTGGATTGAGCAGTGGAGTGAGCGACAGGGTTGAGCAGCAGGGAAGTGAAAGACAGCATGAGAGCATGGGAATCAGCAAGGCGAGGAGAGTGCCTGGATGGAATGGGTGGGTGGGAGGGAGGGAGGCAGCAAGCGTTGTGTCGCAGGAAGAACGTTCCGTAAACGAACGAGGACGTTGATTGCGGAAACGACGGGGAAACACAGGCTGCCAGTGACCCGGTCATCCGGGCATTGCGCATTGGCATGCTGATAGTGCGTGCATGCGTGCATGCATGCGCGTGCACGTGTGCGTGCGTCCATGTGCATGCGTGTGCGTGCGTGCATGTGCATGCGTGTGTGCCACTCACGGTAGCGGAGGAGCACCAGGAAGGTTCCATAGGCGAGGAGGTTGATGGCGGAAATGACAGACGGGAAGAAGGGCCGTGAGTTGATGATGGTGAACGTTAGCGTTCTGCCCAGCAGCACCCAAATGGTTATGGGCGCGACTGGGATGGTGGAGAGAAGATGAGGGAGGGAAGGAGGGTCGTGAAGAGATGATGGTGCACGTGAGCGTTCTACCCAGCAGCACCCAGATGGTGATTGGCGTGACTGCCATGGGATGGTGGAAAGGAGATGAACATGCATGCATGCATGGCATGGCATGGCATGGAATTCACAGACCGACACATGCATGGCGGTGGCATGGATAGACGCATGCATGCATGCATGGCATGACATGCAGGGGCAGGCACGTGCATGTGAAGACGCATGCAAGCACGCAGGCAACGACATGTGCAACCATGGACACATGCACACATACATGAAGGTACGCCACATGGATGCATGGACACATACATGCACGCACATATGAAGGCACGCACATAAACGCATGGATGCATGGACACATACATGCACACACACATGAAGGCACGCACATAAACGCATGGATGCATGGACACATACATGCACACACACATGAAGGCACGCACATAAACGCATGGATGCATGGACACATACATGCACACACACATGAAGGCACGCACATAAACGCATGGATGCATGGACACATACATGCACACACACATGAAGGCACGCACATAAACGCATGGATGCATGGACACATACATGCACACACACATGAAGGCACGCACATAAACGCATGGATGCATGGACACATACATGCACACACACATGAAGGCACGCACATAAACGCATGGATGCATGGACACATACATGCACACACACATGAAGGCACACACATAAACGCATGGATGCATGCGCATACACGCACGGGGACACAGACACGTAAGCATGGCCACGTTTGCAGGTTTCATGTCAACACGACCCGGGAGAGAAAAACGGGAGAAGGGAGGGGGTGAGCTCTCTGACTAGAGCGGAACCGCAAATACCATGCACGTGCGTGTCCATTACATTCCATGCCATGCCATGCCTACAGTCACACGAGCAAACTGACGTGAAATGGTGCTTAGAATTATGATCTTTATAAGCACGAATTCCAGCGGCCAGATGTAGCATTGATCCGCTAACAGCAGCTTCGTTCCGTTACCAGCAAACAGTAGCGTCTCGGAAACGGTTCCTCGTTTGCATGCCTCTACAATCCCCGTCAGCATCAGAAAAAAACACGCCGGCAGGATCCATGGCAGCACGAACGGCCATACAGCTCGCAACGAGGCCGGCAATATCGAGGACAGCGGCCTCCCCATCCTTGCAAAAAGGTTATACGGTGAATTTGAGTGACTAGGGCAACTTGCGCATTCGCAGCGTCATTCCAGTGGTTGATTGGCAGAATGAAGCTGCTTCCGAACCGTGACGGTGCTGTTGTGAGGACCGGCGACGGGGTTGAAACGGATAGTGCGATTCGGAAGGAGGCTTGTTTGCTAATCACAAATATACCTACAATCCCAAATTTGAAAAAAATTGTTCACTGAACCCAGAAATAGGTTATTTCTCTGTACGCGCTCTTGACGTCCTCGCGAATCACCTACACTGCACGAAAGAGTATGGAAAACAAAAATCACAAGGCCCACTGTCTTCGCGTCATAGAGTTCATCTGGCCTCAACCCGGCTTCCAGACTCCAGAGTGGTGATCTGCCGGCGTCGGGAAACAAACGGGTGCAAGATGGTTTGAGTAGTTTCGGAGAGTTTCCATGCGTTACACACACAGTGATTTGAAATGTTATCCACATCTGATAACCACCACCTCCACTCCACCCCTCGGCCGGCGGTTGGACTGCCTGCCTGCCGGGTTTCCCGTCGATTTTCTTTCCAAGAACACGGGAAGTAGATAACTTACCAAGGCGTTGCACATCTGTTCAAGTACAAACGGTTACCGTACCACAAATAACCGTACGGTCGTGGCACCGTGCTCATCATGTGCTCCTTGTTGTGCCGTGCACAGCGACTTAGTACAGTATTGAGTTCTTAATCAGCACTTTAGTATTAAGTTCTTAATCATCGCTTTTAGTATTCAGTTCTAAATCAGCGCTTTAGAAATAAGTTCTTACGCAGAAGGTCTTGTACGCTATCTGTTGTTGCACTTCGGTTTGGAACAAACACCGCTGAAAGTAGCGTGTCCACAACATTGTCTGTCGACAGAGCGGCAGCGGTGCGACGACTTCGCGAAATACTAGGAGTAACACGCGAGCTACGGACCGCTCCCTATGGCGCCGCTTTGTTCGTCAGAGCGAGCGAGCCTTGCTTTGCTGAGCAAATCTTGCGACGGACCTGAAGGCGCTGCGGCAAAACCTCGGAAATGGCAAGCTGATAAATTACTTACTATTCACGCCCGAGCCGCCATCGCTCTCGCCGTTTTGTTCGCTCTCATTGGGCTATACACATACTTTATTTCCTTTCTCCTCATTAGGTATACAAGAATCGCCTCCGTTGCTGCTTCGTGTCATCCTGACGTGCCCGCGGCCACGTCAGAAACATCGGGAAAAGCAGCAGCTGGACGCGACGAGTTACTCGCTGAAGTACAGAAGCCACGTGAGCCGAATGAGTTGCGGTTCGATCCCTCCGACAGCAATCAACCTGACGGGAAACAACCACTGTCAGGCGTCGATCAGCCCTCTCCTAACAATCAACCGTCTGCCGTCGATCAACCGTCCGCCGGAGACCAGTTAGTTGCCGCAGTAGCCGGTTCTTCTCGCCTTCCAGTCGCAGACCCTTCGCCTGTAAACAGCACAACGGCATTCCTATCAGACCTCACTACCTCAAACTCTAACTCAGGCACAGCAGTCCTCGAGGCGCCAAAAGAGTCATTCTCAGCAGATTCAGGCGTCACTTCATCCACACAGGCGTCACCCCGGGATTCGGTTCTGGCATTGCGATCGTCCCATGATCCCAGTGTCGGATCTCCTCCTCCCACCAATCCTCCTACCGAACCTCCCATCGATCATCAACCTACCAAACCTCCTTCCGATCCTCCTCCCACCGAACCTGCAACAGAACCTCCTACCAACTCTTCCACCAAACCTCCTCTCAAACCTCCTACACAACCTCTTACGAGTCCTCCTACCAACCTTCCTGCCGAACCTCCTCCATCCGAACCTGCACCAAGCCTCTGGACCCGCATCCCAGGCTCCCAGCTAGATTCCCCCGAGAAGATCCTATCCTTTCGAGAGAGATTCGATTGCATAGGCCGCGAGGGCAAATGGTCCAGCTTCGTCTCACCACGACTGCTGCCATGGCCGGACGAGATGAGCAAATGCGACGAGTACCACCTAGGAAAGCACTCGCGGAACGTGGCGTTGCAAGACGCGGATCGGATGGTGGGACAGTTTCAGGAGGTTGCGAGTCAAGTAGAGGAGATTATTGGGAGAGGAGACGTGATTCCTGTGCAACAGGTTAGCCAGCTGAAGAAGCTGAAGCGACGGAAGGATGTTCTTACGCGTCAGTGGGCCGTAAGGGATTCTCTAAAGTACTTCTGGAAGGTTTCTGGAAGCGACGCAGAGGGGCAGGATGGGGTAGCATCAGGAGCTACCAACGGGAGCAGATGCGGTGCACCTTGGAATCCGTTCTCCCCGGAAAAGTTCTGCGAAATCATGGATAAGAAAACCATGCTTATAGTGGGTGACTCTTTGAACCTGCTTTTAGCCGACGCCATCCGATTCAACGTAAGACTAGGCGCCGAGGACCAGAACTCTCGCGCCCGATGGGGCGAGCCGACAGGGTATTGCGAGCGGTATCGAAACGCGACCAAGAATAAAGACCCGCGCTGCTGGACCCTTGATCTCTGCGCTGATCTCGGCTTCTCCGTGCGAATTCTCTTCGTCCGTGACTATTACCTCAACTCCACGGAAGACGTGAACGACTTCCTGCTGGATAAGACCTTCGACGAGTCGTGGATGGACGAGATCGCACCGCAGAACGTATCGATAGTTGTGATGAACCGGGGGGCTCACTACATTGAAGATGACCGGTTTGAGCGGCAATTGCAGTCCACTCTGGTGGCCCTCCGGAAGGCCTACCCTGAGCTGCTCATTATCGCCCGAAACACCCCCGCCGGCCACCCGCAGTGCTGGCTGCACCGAAAGCCGCTTTCCAAGAAGCTTCTGGCGCTGCCGCATGATGATTGGCACTGGGACGGGTTTGCGGCGCAGAATGGGATTGTGAAGCGGTTGGTGGAGGGCGTGGGGGGGGTGTACATGGATGTGAATGCGTCGACCGTGTGGCGACCCGATGGGCATGTGGGGCGCTGGGACTGCCTTCATTATTGTCACCCGGGACCCGTGGACACGTGGGTGCAGCTGCTCTTTAATCTGCTGCTGGGGCTGCTCGTGCCGACTGGCTGAGATGCTGCTGAGTATAGGATTTCTGAGGCGACCTCATGGGCATGTGGGGCGGTGGGATTGCCTGCACTACCATAGAGTCGACTCAAAAGAATGAGATGGTGAGGCGGTTGGTGGAGGGCGTGGGGGGGGTGTACATGGATGTGAATGCGTCGGCGGTGTGGCGGCCCGATGGGCATGTGAGACGCAGGGACTGCCTGCACTACTGCCACCCGGGACCTGTGGACACGTGGGTGCAGCTTCTATTTAAACTGCTGCTCGGGCTGCTCGTGCCTATCGGTTGAGGGTGTAGGGTAGCTCTTTCGAGGCGGCTCGTAAGGTGTGTGGGGCGCTGGGACTGCCTGCACTACTGCCACCCGGGACCTGTGGACACGTGGGTGCAGCTGCTTTTTATTCTTCTGCTGGGGCTGCTCGTGCCATCTGGCTGAGATGCTGAGAGTATACCTGAGAGAATAATTTATGGGACCTCAGAAGGCATGTGAGGTGGTGGGTGACTGACTGACTGTACTGCTGCCGCCCGGGGTCACTGGGTAAGTGGTTGCTCTCTTAACCTGCTGTTGGGGCTGCTGGTAACCATCGACTAGGGCGAAGCACTTGTGAGGTGCCTCAGAAGCCATGTGACTGACTTGCCTGCACTGCTGTTACTGGGTTCACTGGGCACGTGGTTGCAGTTGCCAGTATCCAACCTGTTGCAGGGGTCGCTGCTTTGCACCTGCAAGGTGTAAAAACAAACTGAACATACCGTAGTGCAATAGCTTATCAAAGAGACGGTATTCCCTGGTGGCCAGAATCAACAGGGAAATGGATGAATTTGTCAGGCGATCCAGCAACATGATGTACAGTCCTTGCATCAATGCATCTCACCATTCGCAAGCAGAGACTTGATCAGCTCTTTTACTTGTTCCCAGTGCTCCCAGCTGTTGGTGTGGGCAGTGGGGGAGCCGCAGCGACAGCAGTGTGGTGTGGACTGCACTGCATATGCGGCTCAAACTGCTATTGGAGATGAAGTGCGCCCCTCGGTTCATCACATAACCACTATCTACACGCCCTGCCCTGCTCCTCCCTCTCTCACGCAAACTGCTTCTTTTTTAGAGATCTCAAAAACAGCACATCGCCTTCTCTGCTAGCAGCGATCACCCTCTCACACCCCTCTACACTTAGTTGGGAATCGGCTTTCACAGCCTCGAGATTGCTGAAACTGCAACTTCTTCCCCTATGCTGCTTCTCCTGCTTGTATTCCTGGCTCTTCTCCTGTTGTTGCTGCTGCGAATCCGCCTGTGTTGCGCTAGTCCGCACCTTGCTTCTCTTCCCTCTTTCGTCCAACCCCTTTCCGGCCCTTCAGGCTCAAAGACGAGGTCCAATCTGGACCGTTCGTTCCCCATGGCTACCTGAACCAGGAACGGACCCGTCCGAACCGTTATGATCCGCACGGTATATGCACGCGAATTTCTTCCGAAATTGCCGGATCTGATCCTGAGAATAGTGCAGATCCCGGAATCCGGATCGCCCTGTTCAAGTGTTCTGCATCGCCCGATTCGGCAGGATCAGAGCCCCCATAGTAGTTCCTGCTGCTGTCTACAAAATGGCGATTCTGGATTAAGATTCGTCAAATTTCGAACCTCCCGAAAGTACCGGGGGGTTTCATTTGGCCCATAATCCGTAGACGATGACGATTCCCGCAGAAAATGAAATCCTGCTTTCGAAAATAACGAAACAAGCGACGTGCAGTGGAGAATAACGACTGTGACGATGAACAAACAGACCGACAGGATCTCGCCTCGATTCGCTGCCTCGGGGTAACGATCGCCGCTTTCCAGAAAACCTGGTGCGTGGATGCATAATAATGAAGCTGGAGGACTCCTCTCATTTTCCCGTAAGGCAAAGAAACTGATTTGATCTGAGCTGAAACTGACATGTTAGCGTAATACACGCGAATTTGCTCTGCACCGGATGGAAACGCTGCACCCGAGGTCTTTTCCTCAGCCTGTTGCACCCACGTTACAAGCGCGTCGCGTGGTTATGAACCAATAGTAACGAACAGACCGAAGTCAAACTGAAGAGACTGAAGTCAAAATGTCAACGGATAAGGTTACAGATCCTTTATATAAGCACCTGCGAGTCCTTTTTAGCTAGCTGCGAATTGACGAAACTTATGCGAAATGCTCGATACAGCTTATACGCCCCCTTCACAAGGCAACCGGGAGGGGCTCAATCAGGCATCAGGTGTATTAGCCGAGAACCTACTAATCTAAACAGTAAATCCCAACACCTTACTCAATACAACCGTTAGAGCGTGCTCCTACGGCCTCATATCAGGCAACCTCGTATCAGATTCGCGTCGAACCGCACTAAAACGCATCCAAATCTAGTCGAACACACTGAAACGTATTTCACCACGCGAAGCTGATACGAGGTGTTTCTGATACGAGGTGTAGGAACACGCTCTCAGTCCTCGAGTTTGCCTACAACCCAGGGAAAGAAATTCAGTAATTCGAGAGAATTCCAAAAACACAGTGGCTGGCGGAATGCAACATTGACGGAAATCGGCAGCATTTTACACACGGAAAATGCCACGCCGCAGCTTTTCATTGGCTGTCAGCCCAAATCCCAACAAGACGAGAACGGAAAAAAAAATATCGCCACTCCCCACAAGCATTCCAAGACAGCATTTCGTGGCCTCTTTTTTCCACCGTTCCAGCCACCCTTAGGACAGCTTCCGCTGAAGCTTGCTCCCATTTCGCTTCACGCGACCCGACTTCGCCACGAGCTGCTAACCTTACGACCTTTTATATCCTAGAAAACGATTTTTTTTTTTTTTTCGGCATTTGATGCAAGTCGCGAGCTTTAAGGCATCCGTAACGTATACCGTATACGTTTAGCAACTGTATACACCGCAGCGCGCGTACTTTCCCGTCTTTATTCTCCTTGGCGCCATGACTTTGGCCCTCCCAACGGTCTCAGCCGCGTCGTCGAGCAATGTCTGCTTCGATTCACGGCGGTACACTAGTAAAGGTTTCGCACCATCTGCGAAAGAGCAAGTACCATCCACGCCCGTCGCCCTGTTTTGCACGCCGTCCTGGACCCCTCAGTTCCGCCTTCCCTCTCCGCGCTTTGCCTTGCAGCGCGCATCACACCACCCGCGCGCGAGCAGCCAACTTCGCGGCCGCGCGCCTCGCCACCGGAGGGCGTCATGCGCGCATGCTTCCGCCTCGCGCGGCGGAGGTGAAAGCGCGGAAGGTGCTCATAGCGCGGCCAGCAGCCCGTCGCAGGGGAATGTGACAGTAGTGAAGGAGAGGGAGGGGGAGCAGAGCAGCGGAAGGGGCACAGGAGCGGAAGCGGAGGCGGGAAGCAGAGGGGCAGTGGCGGAAAACAGAGGGAGAGAGAGTGAGGGAGGGAGCGAGAGAGTGAGTGAGGGAGGGAGTGAGGGAGGGAGTGAGGGAGGGAGTGAGGGAGAGGGGGCTGTACACGGAGTTTGCGGAGCACTGTGTGGAGGCCATGGGTCAGCACATGCCGCTCTCGCCCATCCCCATTCGGGTATGGTATGCGTGCCCTCAGTCCCCTTTCCTACATTACCTTCACCACGTTCGCCTCTCTCTGTATTAACTAGTTCCTTCCCACCCCCTCTTTTCTCAAGTACGTTCGATCTCTCTTTCCCACCGCCTCCCCACTTCTCTCTCCTCCCCACTCCCCCTCCCCCTTCCTCCCCCTCTTTCCCCACTCCCAGCTGGATGACAGGCGCTGGAGGGAGGTTAGAGACGATAGGAACGCCTCGTGTTTCCTTCTGTCTCCCCACCCCCTCACCTCTCTTCACACCAGCAGGACTGGCGGGTGTTCGAGGGCAGTGCTGGTGATGGGGGGGGGGGGGGGGGGGGGGGGGGGGGATCAGCTCAAATATTCTCCTTCTCGCCCCCTCTCCCCGCTTTCCCCCGCCAGGCGGACTGGCAGGTGTTGGAGGGCAGAGACGGCGAGGGGGATATTCAAGACGTCCCAAGTTTCCTTCTCTTCGCCACTCATCCCCCTCTTCCCCCGCTCCCCTCTTCCCCCGCTCCCCTCTTCCCCCGCTCCCCTCTTCCCCCGCTCCCCTCTCCCCCCGCTCCCCTCTTCCCCCGCTCCCCTCTTCCCCCGCTCCCCTCTCCCCGCTTTCCCCCGCCAGGCGGACTGGCAGGTGTTGGAGGGCAGAGACGGCGAGGGGGATATTCAAGACGTCCCAAGTTTCCTTCTCTTCGCCACTCATCCCCCTCTTCCCCCGCTCCCCTCTTCCCCCGCTCCCCTCTTCCCCCGCTCCCCTCTTCCCCCGCTCCCCTCTCCCCCCGCTCCCCTCTTCCCCCGCTCCCCTCTTCCCCCGCTCCCCTCTCCCCGCTTTCCCCCGCCAGGCGGACTGGCAGGTGTTGGAGGGCAGTGACGGCGAGGGGGGGAAGGCGTTCTGTCGCAGTGTGGCAGTGAGTGCGCCCAAGATCCGCCTCATGCGCTCCGCTGATATCAGCGCTGGACGCACATTACAGGTGTGTGCAGGTGTGTGCAGGTGTGTGCAGGTGTGTGCAGGTGCGTCTAGGTGGATGGGGAGCAGAGCAATGAGGGGGGTTGTGGCATGCCAGTGTGGCAGTGAGTGCGCCCAAGATCCGATCCGCCTCATGCGCTCCGCTGACATCAGCGCTGGGCGAACCCTTCAGGTGGGTATGGGAGCTTGTGCAGGGAGCAGGGCCGGAAGTCAGTTGTGGTGACGGCAGCGCGGCAGTGGGGGTAGGTGGGTGGGTGGGCGGGCGGGTGGGTGGGCGGGTGGGTGGGTGGGTGGGTGGGATGAATGACAAGGAGCAGGCTGCAGGGCAGTGAGAGGGTTGTTGTTGAGGATCGTGGCAGTGAGTGCGCCCAAGGTCCGCCTCATGCTCTCTGCTGACATCAGCGCTGGGTGAACCCTGCAAGTGCGTGCAGGGGTAGGTGGGTAGGTGGGTGGGTGGGAGGCAGTGCAGGGAGCAGAGCGGGGATCTGCAATTGCATGTGTTGGTAGTAAGCTGCAAAGCAGTTCTAGCAGCGTGGCAGGGATTGAGTGTAGGTTGGTGGGTGGGTGGGTGGGACCCTTTGAGAATTCTCAAAAGTGAAACGCATGGGGGCGAAGGTCAGTGACAGGAGTCGACTCAAAATACACCTGGACAGGATTGTGGTACTAGCATCGTGATCCATGATAGCAAGGGCACTAGCACGAAGGGCTATAAAACCCATGGGCACTAGCATCGTGATCATCTTATAGCCCTCCCCCTAACTAGCATCGTGATCATCTTACAGCCCTCCCCCTAACTAGCATCGTGATCATCTTACAGCCCTCCCCCTAACTAGCATCGTGATCATCTTACAGCCCTCCCCCTAACTAGCATCGTGATCATCTTACAGCCCTCCCCCTAACTAGCATCGTGATCATCTTACAGCCCTCCCCCTAACTAGCATCGTGATCATCTTACAGCCCTCCCCCTAACTAGCATCGTGATCATCTTACAGCCCTCCCCCTAACTAGCATCGTGATCATCTTACAGCCCTCCCCCTAACTAGCATCGTGATCATCTTACAGCCCTCCCCCTAACTAGCATCGTGATCATCTTACAGCCCTCCCCCTAACTAGCATCGTGATCATCTTACAGCCCTCCCCCTAACTAGCATCGTGATCATCTTACAGCCCTCCCCCTAACTAGCATCGTGATCATCTTACAGCCCTCCCCCTAACTAGCATCGTGATCATCTTACAGCCCTCCCCCTAACTAGCATCGTGATCATCTTACAGCCCTCCCCCTAACTAGCATCGTGATCATCTTACAGCCCTCCCCCTAACTAGCATCGTGATCATCTTACAGCCCTCCCCCTAACTAGCATCGTGATCATCTTACAGCCCTCCCCCTAACTAGCATCGTGATCATCTTACAGCCCTCCCCCTAACTAGCATCGTGATCATCTTACAGCCCTCCCCCTAACTAGCATCGTGATCATCTTACAGCCCTCCCCCTAACTAGCATCGTGATCATCTTACAGCCCTCCCCCGCTCTGAGTAAGATCTGCCCTACTTCGGTCTTGAGGGACTTGTGACGTTTCTTTTGACCTCCCCTATTTTTAACCCTCTCCTCCCCCCTCCCCCCCCCCCCCCCCCCTTTTCCCCACCCCCCTCTTCTCCCCCACAACGCACACATGAGAGATCCAGGTACTGAATTTGAAAGCCTTCCCCTGCCGCGGATATGACTTGCCATACTTCTGTTGTGAGGGCCCTGTGGCATCCCATCCATCCCATCCCGCTTTTCTATGCCTCCCTTTCCCCCTGCCTAACACACATGTTGAGAAAGTAGGTGCTGAACCTGATAGCCTTCCCCTGCCCTGCCCTGACATAAGATCTGCCATATTTCCATTGTGGGGCTTCTAACATCCCATCCCTTGGCCTCCCCCATTCCCCTCTCACGCACACACACACGTTGCACACACAGATGCTGAATCTGATAGCCTTCCCCCGCCCAAAGTACTACCTGCCATACTTCTCTTGGGGGGGCCCTCTAACTTCCTATCCCTCCCTTTCATGCCCTCTCCTCCACCCCTCCCAACACGCACAGGTGCTGAATCTCATCGCTTTCCCCCGCCGCGAGTACGACCTGCCATACTTCTGTTTCAAGGGCCCTGTAACATCCCATCCCATCCCTCCCTTTTATGCCCTCCCCTCCCCCCCTCCCAACACGCAAAGGTGCTGAATCTCATCGCCTTCCCCCGCCCCGAGTACGACCTGCCATACTTCTGTGCCGACCTCGTCACCTTCCCCCGGGGCCACCTCATTGTGCTGTGAGTGTTCTGTGCGGTGCTTAAAGGTTGTCAGCGGTACTGAGCGGTATTTCAGCATTATTCATCGGTTTTTCTGTGCCGACCTCGTCACCTTCCCCCGGGGCCATCTCATTGTGCTGTGAGTATCCAGTGCGATGCTCCACGGTAGCCAGCGGTACCGCGTGGTGCCTCAGTGTTTAGTCAGCGGTACTTCTTTCCTGACCTGGTCACCTTCCCCCGGAGCCACCTCGTCGTGCTGTGAGTAATCAGCGCGGTGCTCAACGGTGGTGAGCGGTGCGGTGTAGTACCTCAGTGGCACCTCGATGTTCCTGCCAGGCCAGCCACCTGTTTGCGTTCAGATCTATTCAGGTGCTGTGTCTCCTCTCCGCTATTCATTTCTCTACTTGCTGTCTTGTCCTCTGTTGGTATATCTCATCTCTATCCAACAACATTTCTGTATTTCCCCTCCCTCCCTTTCTGCCTTCCAGGGATCTGAACCCTTTGCATCAGAGTGAGGAGCACTTTAACAAGTACATTGCGCCCATCATGCCCATCGCCAACAAGTACATCGAGGTAGTGCTATGAGATAGAGGGCAGTTCTGTGCGGTGCTGTGGGGTGCTGTGTTGTGCTGTGTCTTTTGAACATTTCAGCAAGAACATTGCGCCCATCATGCCCCTCGCCAGCAAGTATATTGAGGTACTGCCGTGAGGTAGTGGGCGGTGCTGTGCGGTGCTTTGTGGTGCTGCGTGGTGTGGTATATTGTTGTGTGATGCGATTCTGTGTGATGCTGTTCTGTGTGAAAAGCATTATCAGCAAGTACATTGAATTGAATTGAAACCCATCATTGCCGATCGCCGACAAGTATGTGGAGGTGGTGTTCTGAGGTGCAGTGGTACTGTGCTGTGCGGTGCTGTCTGGCTGGTGTGCATGTGTGGGTTACAAGCACTTCAGCAAGGACGTCGCACCCATCATGCTCAGTTATATTCAGGTAGTAGAGCAGTGAGGTAGTGGGCGGTCCTGTGCGGTGCTGTGCACCTGCTGCGGAGGGGCGAGTTCACCACCATCACCTCCATCACCTCCATCACCTCCATCACCTCCATCACCGCCAGCACCTCCAGCACCGCCAGCACCGCCAGCACCGCCAGCACCGCCAGCACCACCAGCACCGCCAGCACCTTCAGCACCTCCAGCACCGCCAGCACCGCCAGCACCGCCAGCACCGCCAGCACCACCAGCACCGCCAGCACCGCCAGCACCGCCAGCACCGCCAGCACCACCAGCACCGCCAGCACCGCCAGCACCGCCAGCACCGCCAGACCCCCAGCACCGCCAGCACCCCAGCACCGCCAGCACCGCCAGCACCGCCAGCACCGCCAGCACCGCCAGCACCGCCAGCACCGCCAGCACCGCCAGCACCGCCAGCACCGCCAGCACCGCCAGCACCGCCAGCACCGCCAGCACCGCCAGCACCGCCAGCACCGCCAGCACCGCCAGCACCGCCAGCACCGCCAGCACCACCAGCACCGCCAGCACCGCCAGCACCGCCAGCACCACCAGCACCGCCAGCACCGCCATCACCACCAGCACCGCCAGCACCGCCAGCACCACCAGCACCGCCAGCACCGCCAGCACCGCCAGCACCGCCAGCACCGCCAGCACCGCCAGCACCGCCAGCACCGCCAGCACCACCAGCACCGCCAGCACCGCCAGCACCGCCAGCACCGCCAGCACCGCCAGCACCGCCAGCACCGCCAGCACCGCCAGCACCGCCAGCACCGCCAGCACCGCCAGCACCGCCAGCACCGCCAGCACCGCCAGCACCGCCAGCACCGCCAGCACCGCCAGCACCGCCAGCACCGCCAGCACCGCCAGCACCGCAGCACCGCCAGCACCGCCAGCACCGCCAGCACCACCAGCACCACCAGCACCACCAGCACCACCAGCACCACCAGCACCACCAGCACCACCAGCACCACCAGCACCACCAGCACCGCCAAGCACCCCCAGCACCCCCAGCACCGCCAGCACCGCCAGCACCGCCAGCACCGCCAGCACCGCCAGCACCGCCAGACCCCCAGCACCGCCAGCACCGCCAGCACCGCCAGCACCGCCAGCACCGCCAGCACCGCCAGCACCGCCAGCACCGCCAGCACCGCCAGCACCGCCAGCACCGCCAGCACCGCCAGCACCGCCAGCACCACCAGCACCCCAGCACCGCCAGCACCGCCAGCCTCCATCACCTCCATCACCTCCATCACCTCCATCACCTCCATCACCTCCATCACCTCCATCACCTCCATCACCTCCATCACCTCCATCACCTCCATCACCTCCATCACCTCCATCACCTCCATCACCTCCATCACCTCCAGCACTCCATCACCTCCATCACCTCCATCACCTCCATCACCTCCATCACCTCCATCACCACCTCATCCATCACCTCCATCACCACCTCCATCACACCATCACCTCCGCACCTCTCCATCACCACACCACACCACCATCACCTCCATCACCACCATCACCTCCATCACCTCTCACCCTCCATCACCACCATCACCTCCATCACCTCCATCACCTCCATCACCTCCATCACCTCCATCACCTCCATCACCTCCATCACCTCCATCACCTCCATCACCTCCATCACCTCCATCCCCCCATCACCCTCCAGCACCTCCGCACTCCATCACCTCCATCACCTCCATCACCTCCATCACCTCCATCACCTCCATCATCATCACCTCCATCACCTCCATCACCTCCATCACCTCCATCACCTCCATCACCTCCATCACCTCCATCACCTCCATCACCTCCATCACCTCCATCACCTCCATCACCTCCATCACCTCCATCACCTCCATCACCTCCATCACCTCCATCACCTCCATCACCTCCATCACCTCCATCACCTCCATCACCTCCATCACCCCCCTCACCCCCTCCATCACCTCCATCACATCACCTCCATCACCTCCATCACCTCCATCACCTCCATCACCTCCATCACCTCCATCACCTCCATCACCTCCATCACCTCCATCACCTCCATCACCTCCATCACCTCCATCACCTCCATCACCTCCATCACCTCCATCACCTCCATCACCTCCATCACCTCCATCACCTCCATCACCTCCATCACCTCCATCACCTCCATCACCTCCATCACCTCCATCACCTCCATCACCTCCATCACCTCCATCACCTCCATCACCTCCATCACCTCCATCACCTCCATCACCTCCATCACCTCCATCACCTCCATCACCTCCATCACCTCCATCACCTCCATCACCTCCATCACCTCCATCACCTCCATCACCTCCATCACCTCCATCACCTCCATCACCTCCATCACCTCCATCACCTCCATCACCTCCATCACCTCCATCACCTCCATCACCTCCATCACCTCCATCACCTCCATCACCCACCATCACCTCCATCACCTCCATCACCTCCATCACCTCCATCACCTCCATCACCTCCATCACCTCCATCACCTCCATCACCTCCATCACCTCCATCACCTCCATCACCTCCATCACCTCCATCACCTCCATCACCTCCATCACCTCCATCACCTCCATCACCTCCATCACCTCCATCACCTCCATCACCTCCATCACCTCCATCACCTCCATCACCTCCATCACCTCCATCACCTCCATCACCTCCATCACCTCCATCACCTCCATCACCTCCATCACCTCCATCACCTCCATCACCTCCATCACCTCCATCACCTCCATCACCTCCATCACCTCCATCACCTCCATCACCTCCATCACCTCCATCACCACCATCATCACCTCCATCACCTCCATCACCTCCATCACCTCCATCACCTCCATCACCTCCATCACCTCCATCACCTCCATCACCTCCATCACCTCCATCACCTCCATCACCTCCATCACCTCCATCACCTCCATCACCTCCATCACCTCCATCACCTCCATCACCTCCATCACCTCCATCACCTCCATCACCTCCATCACCTCCATCACCTCCATCACCTCCATCACCTCCATCACCTCCATCACCAGCACCTGCCATGGGGCAGCGAGTTCACAGCCGAGTCCCTTCAGTTCTTCTCCCAGGCACTCCGCTGGGCCAAGCTGCATTGAAAGACCCCTCGAATCGTTTCCTACCTCTCTCCCCTCACAACCTCCACACCTTCGATACCCTCCCCCCCACCAGCACCTGCCATGGGGGGGCGAGTTCACATCAGAGTCGCTGCAGTTCTTCTCCCCGGCACTCATCTGGGCCAAGCTGCCCCTAGATGCTGACGTCACCGCGCATGTGCTGCCCGCTTTCAAGGAGTACCTGCAGGTGCGTGGCTGACTCGGGAATGTTCCCTGTGTGAATGACGGTAGAGAGAGCGTGATTGCAGGAAGTGTGATTGCACTGGGTGCGATGCTTACCAGCGACCCAGCAGTGGCGACCCCTCTGCCCTCTTCTCTCGGTTGCATGCAGCCGTGGCTGTGCATGGTAGAGGCATGTGAGCGTGCGCCCACCAGCGACCCAGCAGTGTTGACTGCTGCCTTGCCTGCCTTGCTCCTCCCCCCTTTCCCCTTCCCCCTTCCCCTTAACCCCCCCCCACCCTCTGCCCTCTTCTCTCGGTTGCATGCAGCCGTGGCTGTGCATGGTAGAGGCATGTGAGCGTGCGCCCACCAGCGACCCAGCAGTGTTGACTGCTGCCTTGCCTGCCTTGCTCCTCCCCCCTTTCCCCTTCCCCCTTCCCCTTAACCCCCCCCACCCTCTGCCCTCTTCTCTCGGTTGCATGCAGCCGTGGCTGTGCATGGTAGAGGCATGTGAGCGTGCGCCCACCAGCGACCCAGCAGTGTTGACTGCTGCCTTGCCTGCCTTGCTCCTCCCCCCTTCCCCTTCCCCCTTCCCCTTAACCCCCCCCACCCTCTGCCCCTTCTCTCGGTTGCATGCAGCCGTGGCTGTGCATGGTAGAGGCATGTGAGCGTGCGCCCACCAGCGACCCAGCAGTGTTGACTGCTGCCTTGCCTGCCTTGCTCCTCCCCCCTTTCCCCTTCCCCTTCCCCTTAACCCCCCCCACCCTCTGCCCTCTTCTCTCGGTTGCATGCAGCCGTGGCTGTGCATGGTAGAGGCATGTGAGCGTGCGCCCACCAGCGACCCAGCAGTGTTGACTGCTGCCTTGCCTGCCTTGCTCCTCCCCCCTTTCCCCTTCCCCCTTCCCCTTAACCCCCCCCCACCCTCTGCCCTCTTCTCTCGGTTGCATGCAGCCGTGGCTGTGCATGGTAGAGGCATGTGAGCGTGCGCCCACCAGCGACCCAGCAGTGTTGACTGCTGCCTTGCCTGCCTTGCTCCTCCCCCCTTTCCCCTTCCCCCTTCCCCTTAACCCCCCCCCACCCTCTGCCCTCTTCTCTCGGTTGCATGCAGCCGTGGCTGTGCATGGTAGAGGCATGTGAGCGTGCGCCCACCAGCGACCCAGCAGTGTTGACTGCTGCCTTGCCTGCCTTGCTCCTCCCCCCTTTCCCCTTCCCCCTTCCCCTTAACCCCCCCCCACCCTCTGCCCTCTTCTCTCGGTTGCATGCAGCCGTGGCTGTGCATGGTAGAGGCATGTGAGCGTGCGCCCACCAGCGACCCAGCAGTGTTGACTGCTGCCTTGCCTGCCTTGCTCCTCCCCCCTTTCCCCTTCCCCCTTCCCCTTAACCCCCCCCCACCCTCTGCCCTCTTCTCTCGGTTGCATGCAGCCGTGGCTGTGCATGGTAGAGGCATGTGAGCGTGCGCCCACCAGCGACCCAGCAGTGTTGACTGCTGCCTTGCCTGCCTTGCTCCTCCCCCCTTTCCCCTTCCCCCTTCCCCTTAACCCCCCCCCCCCCCTGCCCTCTTCTCTCGGTTGCATGCAGCCGTGGCTGTGCATGGTAGAGGCATGTGAGCGTGCGCCCACCAGCGACCCAGCAGTGTTGACTGCTGCCTTGCCTGCCTTGCTCCTCGCCCTCTTCTCTCGGTTGCATGCAGCCGTGGCTGTGCATGGTAGAGGCATGTGAGCGTGCGCCCACCAGCGACCCAGCAGTGTTGACTGCTGCCCTGCTCCGCTCCTCCCCCCTTTCCGCTTCCCCTCTTTCCGCCCTACCCCACTCTCATGCGCAGGCGTGGTTGCGCATGGTGGAAGCATGTGAGCCCACGAGTGACCCAGCGGTGATGGCTCACAACATGGAGTCACAGCATCGCTACATCTGCTGGCGCTCCGTCAAGGTATGGGTGTTGCTGCTTGCTTGTTTTATGCTTGCATTCGTGCATCGGGGTTTGCTGTAAATTTTGCGATTTTGTTGCTTCTGTTGTGCTGTTACTGTGTTTTTCCTTTGGTGGATACCTGTGTGACCCACATCTCATCGGTCTTCCTTTACCCGTTTTATTCCCTCTCTTCTCGCTCCCTTTCGTCACTATGTATGTCTCTCCCGCTCACCTCTCTCTATCGTTCCTCCACCTGTCCACACACAAACACTTATCCATGATTGACACACTCACGCATTCACACACTCGCTCACTCACTGAATCACACACTAACTCATTCGCCCATTCACCCATTTCCATCCAGGACCCCGGCCGGCCTCTTTTAACACGCCTGTTTGGCTCTGAGAGATGTGAGGTGAGCTGCCCAGTTGATTGGGGAATATAGGTGCCTCTGATTTCTGACACATGTGAGGTGAGGGGGGATCTCCCCCAGCCAATCCACTTGTGCCTTTCTGCCTCCTGCCTCCTGCCTCCTGCCTCCTGCCTCCTGCCTCCTGCCTCCTGCCTTCTGCCTTCTGCCTTCTGCCTCCTGCCTCCTGCCTCCTGCCTTCTGCCTTCTGCCTTCTGCCTCCTGCCTCCTGCCTCCTGCCTCCTGCCTCCTGCCTCCTGCCTTCTGCCTTCTGCCTTCTGCCTCCTGCCTCCTGCCTCCTGCCTCCTGCCTCCTGCCTCCTGCCTCCTGCCTCCTGCCTCCTGCCTCCTGCCTCCTGCCTCCTGCCTTCTGCCTTCTGCCTCCTGCCTTCTGCCTTCTGCCTTCTGCCTTCTGCCTTCTGCCTCCTGCCTCCTGCCTCCTGCCTCCTGCCTCCTGCCTCCTGCCTCCTGCCTCCTGCCTCCTGCCTCCTGCCTCCTGCCTCCTGCCTCCTGCCTCCTGCCTCCTGCCTCCTGCCTTCTGCCTTCTGCCTTCTGCCTTCTGCCTTCTGCCTTCTGCCTCCTGCCTCCTGCCTCCTGCCTCCTGCCTTCTGCCTTCTGCCTTCTGCCTTCTGCCTCCTGCCTCCTGCCTCCTGCCTCCTGCCTTCTGCCTTCTGCCTTCTGCCTTCTGCCTCCTGCCTCCTGCCTCCTGCCTCCTGCCTCCTGCCTCCTGCCTCCTGCCTCCTGCCTCCTGCCTCCTGCCTCCTGCCTCCTGCCTCCTGCCTTCTGCCTTCTGCCTTCTGCCTTCTGCCTCCTGCCTTCTGCCTTCTGCCTTCTGCCTCCTGCCTCCTGCCTCCTGCCTCCTGCCTCCTGCCTCCTGCCTCCTGCCTCCTGCCTCCTGCCTCCTGCCTCCTGCCTCCTGCCTCCTGCCTCCTGCCTCCTGCCTCCTGCCTCCTGCCTCCTGCCTCCTGCCTTCTGCCTTCTGCCTCCTGCCTCCTGCCTCCTGCCTTCTGCCTTCTGCCTTCTGCCTCCTGCCTCCTGCCTCCTGCCTCCTGCCTCCTGCCTCCTGCCTCCTGCCTTCTGCCTTCTGCCTTCTGCCTTCTGCCTCCTGCCTTCTGCCTCCTGCCTCCTGCCTCCTGCCTCCTGCCTCCTGCCTCCTGCCTCCTGCCTCCTGCCTCCTGCCTCCTGCCTCCTGCCTCCTGCCTCCTGCCTCCTGCCTCCTGCCTCCTGCCTCCTGCCTCCTGCCTCCTGCCTCCTGCCTCCTGCCTTCTGCCTTATGCCTCCTGCCTCCTGCCTCCTGCCTTCTGCCTTCTGCCTTCTGCCTTCTGCCTCCTGCCTCCTGCCTCCTGCCTCCTGCCTTCTGCCTTCTGCCTCCTGCCTCCTGCCTCCTGCCTTCTGCCTTCTGCCTTCTGCCTTCTGCCTTCTGCCTTCTGCCTTCTGCCTTCTGCCGTCTGCCTTCTGCCTTCTGCCTTCTGCCTCCTGCCTCCTTCCATTCCTCCTGCAACTCTTGACGGTTCACTGCACCTTCTTCCTTGTGTGGTGTTCACTGCACCCTCTTCACTGCACCCTCTTCACTGCACCCTCTTCTGTTTTTTTTTTCCAATTTCTCTGACTCACCATACCGAAATGCCTATTTCTTTCGATTGGAAAGGCACTGCTACAGCATCGCTTTCGTGCTGTCGGAATCATTCTCCTCTTGCTCAGACTATCCATGCTCAGACTATCCATGCTCAGACTATCCATGCTCAGACTATCCATGCTCAGACTATCCATGCTTATACTATCCATGCTTATACTATCCATGCTTATACTATCCATGCTCACCGTCTCTCTGTTGACAATTTTGTCTGCGACCTTCTCCTTTTGCTTTTACCCGCTCTCCTGCTGCCAGGAGTTCATCTAGGGATTCCTGTTTACAGGGCCGCACGAGCTGGGCAGAAAGGGCTTCCTTGGCTATTCTGCCCCTTCCCTTCCTCTCCCTTCCCCCGCACCCCTTCCCCACCCGCTCGTCCAGGAGTTCATCTAGGGATTCCTGTTTACAGGCTCGCACGAGCTGGGCAGCAAGGGCTTCCTTGGCTATTCTGCTGCAACCCCACCCACCACCACCCAACCTCCTACCCCCTTCCCACCCGCCCTGCCAGGAGTTCATCGAGGGGTTTCTGTTCGCGGGGTCCCACAAGCTGGGAAGGGAACCAAGGGCTTCCTGGACTATTGCTGCTTCCCCCACCCCCACTCCCCCCCTTTCCCTGCTGCCAGAAGTTCATCAAAGGGTTTCTGTCTGCGGGGTCTCACGAGCTGGGCAGCAAGGGGTTTCTGGTCTATTTCCCCGACTACCCTTCAACACCGCAACCCCCCATCCCCCTTCCCCCTGCTGCCAGGAGTTCGTCGAGGGGTTTCTGTTTGCGGGGTCCCATGGGCTGGGCAGCAAGGGCTTCCTGGACTATTCCCCGACTACCCTTCAACCCCGCAACCCCCCATCCCCCATCCCCGCCTTGCCAGGAGTTTATCGAGGGGTTTCTGTTTGCGGGGTCCCATGAGCTGGGCAGCAAGGGCTTCCTGGACTATTTCCCAGACTACCGGCAGGAGGATGGCAGCATCGCCAAGAAGCGATCCATGAAGGGCAAGGCGTACAGTAGTCGACCCTGGGATGAAAATGGCAAGCTTATATTGTAACGAGGTGACAATGAGTCGACTCAAAGTACCGCACTACTGGCAGGAGGATGGGAGCATCGCCAAGAAGCGATCCATGAAGGGCAGGGCGTACAGCAGTAGAGCCTGGGATGCAAATGGCCGGCTTATCTTGTGAGATAAATAACATAATCCCATAGATGTTTTTGTCAAATATGGCTCTCAAGTACTGGTAGTTGGGTGCACTGCGCATGCTGTAAATGCAACGCATTTCTTGTCAGGGTGACATGGCATTGCGAGGACGAGCCCTGTGTTGGTGCATTGGCTTGTGCAATCCTGACGTTTTGTCGCCACCACTCAATAGCACGGTACCATCACCACTGGTGTCACTTCCATCTTTACATGATCAAAACGATTGTGAATTGCCAGTATAATGCTGTGCATTACTGATTCTGGAAGCTGAAGTATCCACTGGACACCACAGCCGCTTGCAAATCAAGTGCGAAGTACATATTATAAAAGTGAAATATATAAATATATATATTAGAAGCAAACAACACCAGCATCTCTTAGCTATGGAAAAAAAGATCAAAAAACAAAACAAAACAAAACAAAACAAAACAAAAAAACAATCAGCAAACAAAAAAATGTGGTACAAAAATGGCAGATGCAAGATACTGTCACACTTGCTCATCTGTTCCTTCTCACTTGGTCGCAGCTGCTGCCCTTGCAGCCTCCCTCTCCTTCCTAGCCTCTATCGCAGCCGCCTTCTCAGCTTGCTTCTTCTTCTTAGCCTCAAGTGCAGCCTCCTTCTCAGCTTGCTTCCTCTTCTTTTCCGCAATTGCAGCAGCTTTCTCCTCCTGTTTCTTCTTCTTCTCAGCAATAGCAGCAGCCTTAACTTCCTGCAGCCTCTTTTTCTCAGCAATAGCAGCAGCTTTTTCCTCCTGCTTCCTTTTCTTCTCAGCGATAGCAGCAGCCTTAGCTTCCTGAAGCCTCTTCTTCTCAGCAATAGCAGCTGCCTTCTCCTCCTGCTTCTGCTTCTTCTCAGCAATCGCAGCAGCTTTCGCCTCCTGCTTCGCGCGCCGTGCCTCCACAGCAGCTTGCTTAGCAGCAGCAGCCTGCTTCTTGGCAGCAACGGCAGCCGCCCTCCTAGCTGCTGCGTCCTTCCGCTGCCTCGCCACCTCCTCTGGACTCAGCACAACAACAGTGCCACCGCTGCCACCGGGGGTAGCAGTAGGAGTAGGAGGGGGAGGAGCACCAGGAGGAGTGGTAGCGCCGCTTCCAGCTGAACCAGATCCAGTCTCAGCAGGAGGAGGAGGAGGAGGAGGAGGAGGAGGAGTATTAACCCCGCCTGTTCCACCACCAGCAGGGGGGTTCACAGCACACGTGGCCGCCCCTTCGTCACTCCCATCATTGCAATTCACCGTCCCGTCGCAAAACAACCCCTCTGCAACGCACTGCAACCCATCTGCACACTTCTTAAAACCCTCGGGGCAGCTATACCCCCTGCAAAAAGCCTTATCCTCATCCTCCGCCTCAGCAGTCGCAACACAGTCCTGCACGCCGTCACACAGCGTCCCCCACGCGCAGTAGAACGTCTTGGGGCACTGAATCATCCCGAACGAGCACACGAAGCTCTCGCAATTCGCCTCGTCGTAACCACCGTAACACGTCTGGTAACCATCGCAGAAATCCTGCTGCTGCAGGCACGCGTAGCGGTCGTAGGGGCACCGCTCCATGCCCTGGTCGCCGCAGTAGTTGCTGTCGTCCTGGTAGCCCTGCTGGCACTGCCGCCCCTCGTCGCTGCCGTCCGCACAATCCGCCACGCCGTTGCACTCGCTGCCTGGGGGCATGCAGCCGGTGAGAGAGGGGCAGGACACCTGCCAGTGGTGCAAGGGGGGGCAAAAGAAAAGGCAGACGGTTGGTGAGCAGGGGGGCAGGGTACCTGGTGTCCGTCCGCGCAGTCCGCCACGCCGTTGCACTCGCTGCCAGGGGGCATGCAGCCGGTTAGTGTGGGGCAGGAAACCTGGAGCGTGGGGGAGGGGAAAGAGGGCAAGAAAAAGGGCATGTTTCTGGTAAGCATGGGAGCAGTGAGGCACGCGTAGCAGCGCTGGGGAACTGCTGGAGGCCATGGTCGCCGCAGTAGCTGCTGTCGTCCTGGTAGCCCTGCCAGCACTGCCGCCCCTCGTCACTGCCGTCCGCACAGTCCGCCACGCCGTTGCATTCGCCTCCTGGCCTGTGAGCGTGGGGCAGGACACCTGGCGGACGAAGTGGGGACACAAGGGAAAGGGGGAAGATTCACTGCCGCCCCTCGTTTGCTGCCGTCCGCGCAGTCCGCCACCCCGTTGCACTCGGCCCCCGCGGGCATGCACCCCGTGAGAGTGGGGCAGGACACCTGGTGGGGGAAGGGTGGGAAACAGCAGGAAAGGGGAGGGAAGGAGTGGGAAGGAGTTGCGGCTTTGAGCCTGACTTTGAAACACCATATTTCTCAGGCGGGCGCCTCAACAATGGGCATGCGGCCAGTGAGCATTGGGCAGGACACTTGGTGACCCCAGCGCTGAGCAGGCGAACAGGGAAACAGGGGGCGTGAAAAATTTGCTTAAAGCCTGAGACTCGGAAGCACTGCCTTCGAGCCCCTGTTTCTCCGAGAAATCCGAAGTTTGTCGAGTTAGAAAGCGAGGAAGGAAAGCGTTCAGGAAGCGGCGGTGCCACCGAGGTTCGAAGTTTGAAGCAGCACGCACCTTGCGAACGAGCTCGCAGTCGAATTCGCGGCAGAAGTCGGGCGACTCGTCGCCGCCGTCGGAGCAATGCGGCTTGCCGTCGCACACCTGCGACTCGAGCATGCACCCGCCGCCACTGGGGCACTTCAACTCCCCCTGCTCCTCATGGCATTCCTCAGGTGGTTCCACCCACGGCTCGTAGTCGGAGTAGTCTTGAAGGGCCCGTCGCGCGAGATTCTCGGCGCGGCCGGCCGCGCCGCCTACGAGGCGCGCCGCTGGTCCAGTGACTGCGAGGAGAGCGCTGATGGTGGGTCGAGCTGCGGCGTCCGTCGACGCTGAAAGGATGAGGAGGAGGAGGAAGGGCAGGGCAGCCGCCGCGGCGTTGCTGCGGAGACTGCGACGGCCGCATGCCGAACGTTTTCTTATCGCCATTCTTACCGGGTGGTGATCCGCGGCGGCAGCGTTTAAGAACTGGACGTCTGAGAAGAAATTCGTAACAAAACTTTAGCTTTATCGATCTTTCGGCAGGTAACTAGGACTCCGGCCCGTTGTCCTAATGATGGAGGCACTCTGAACTGAGTCACACAAGCGGCGGAGTTGCGAAACAAGGATGGCCCACGCAAAATGGTGGCGTGGCGTGGCAATGGCGAGGCGAGGTGACGGGAGATTCCGACCTTGCTCCATGTTTCGCGCAACTCTCCGCACATATTCCGCCGCGAGAAAGCAGGCCCGATTCGATCCGCGCTGGCAGAAATAGGAAACCCTGGTTTCGGCCGGATGGGATGCAGCCTGACTAGATTTGATCATATGCGACGGAATGCGATTGTGCGATGCCTTACGACGGTTATTACTCGTCAAGGAGATGGGCAGACGAGACGGCGGAACGAGACGCACCAGCAGTAACTGTACAAGGGCAGGTTTTTTCCAAAATAGCGGCTCGCAACAGAATAGCAGTTCTAGTCCACATACCACAGGTGTTCATCCAGGTCAAACGACATGGGCTGGTTGCGGTAAGACAACAGAGTTGATGAGCAGAAGGGAGATACGGTACGTTACAGTAGAATGAGCGAAAGAATGAGCTGAAGGAGCGGAAGAGAGAGTGCGAAAAAGGATGGGCGGAAAGATGAGTGAGTGAGGAGAGGTGGAAGAATGGGCGGAAGCCAAATGCCCTGCACAGTACAGGTGGACTGCAGGTGGACCAGACCTGGCCAGATGGAACGTGTGGTTTATCGATACTGACAGTTTAGGTGCGAACCTCGTTTCAAGCTACACCTATGTGGTGTGCAAGGGCTACCTGCCAGCTTGCAAAACCAGGTTTTGTATAGAGATGTTCTTTAACAAGGGTGCATAATCTTACAAAAGATATATACCTATCTTACCATACCAACTCTGGAATGGGTGCGGCATGAAATGCGTGACAGACAATAGTTCTTTTTCTAATACCACATTTCCCCCCTCCCGCACCTTATGCGCAGTTATAAATTCATGGGTAAATATCTAGTGAGGGCTGATGACCAGGACACAGCGTTTGCTCGCCTACAGTGGTACGGGTGCTCTCACTACAGTTCAAAGAGGGAAGCTATGGTGGTGAAGATCCAAGCTAGATAAAGATGCAGCAAATACGGTAGTCCATTCAGGAAGGGTGCTGCTCTTGCTCCAATCGGAAGGGTGCTGTACTGGCTTCTCATCCGTTGGCATGTTATTTGCCATATAATGCTGACAAACTACATGCGCTCTCTCGACATCTAAAACCCATATTCTTAACAGAGTCAGAGTAGCAATGCACTGCAGAGGGTCCACAAGGGACCTTTATTATGGGGGGGAAAAAAAATCATTTTTTCTGACAAAGCCAAGCGCTCGCCTACTGCCTAATGCTTAATGCCTACTGCCTAATGCTTAATGTCTACTGCCTAATGCTTAATGTCTACTGCCTAATGCTTAATGTCTACTGCCTTCTAGTCATCCTCGCGCCACCCCAAACAGCAACCTCACAAAATGCGCAGCAAGCAACAAAAACATCTACTCGTCAGCTAATTCTGAGCTAAACCAGGGAAGAATTTCTTAGAAATTCGCTGACTTGAACTAAGTCAGGTCTGCAAAGCAACAATGCTCATTAGGTGCGCGACCAGCCATAGTCCTTCACCAGGTAATTCTTGCGGAACTCATTGCTGCGCGCGATAGCGGCCGCGCTGGGCCTGCGCGTCCAGGGGGCCTTGTTGCCCTGCAGGCTGTTGCACCACGGACGGCCCGTCTGCCCCGACGCCTTGCACGTGCGGCGCACGTCGAAGCGGCGGAAAAGCACTTCCTTGGGCCCATTTCCCCAGTTAGGCTTCAGCTGGCTCCACGAGGAAGCATCCCAAATGGAGCCCTGGAGTGTGTGTGGGGGAGGGGGAGGGGATGTGTTTAAAGTCGACATGTATTTTGAGGCGCCTCAAAAGTTGGGCCCGTTGGGTGCCAGGGTAGGAGTGGGTGAGGAAGGAAGGGGAGGGCGAGATAGTAAGACTAGAAAGCACTTGACAGCATGCCACCTTGAAACGAGAAGCAGGTTCTGGGTGGGGAGAAAAGAAATATAGCAAGTTAAGGAAGCTATCGTACCTCGAACTTGACATTCTCGGACGGGAATGGCCGGCCGCTCTGCTTATAGTGGATGCGGATCGGGGTGTCATCGACGGCCCACATGACGTAATCAGGCGAGTAGACGATGGTGTAGGTGTGGAATGCGGCGGAGGGGTCGAAGGGGAACTTGTACTGCTGCAGGTACACCTGTCCGCCCGTGATGAGATTTGTGTGCAGAATAATATCCCTGGGGGTGTTTCCCCCGATGAATTCCAAATCGATCTCGTCGTGCGGGTCGGTGTATTTTGGGTTGTTGCCCGAAATGAGGTAGATGCAGGGGATCAAACCGCCGGAATACCCCGAAGGGAGCTTCATGTTGACTCTGAAAATGCCGTAGCCGAAGTAGCCCTTAGAGGTGAACTCTGGCGCGTTGGGGAGAGAGGGGGGAAGGAAGGCGTGAAGGGGGGAACGGATGGTGAGGAGAACCGGGCAAGGGTACCTACTCGCGTTGACTCGGAAAGTGCCGTTTCCGACCCTAGGAGATGAAATCTGCCGCATTGAGGGGAGGGACGGAAGGGATCATGAGGAAATCGCAACGTTGGAGACGTTTAGAAAATGGGATGGCGATGGCGCATCGTACTCTGGATCCATGACTCCACCGATGCAATGGCGAAAATGTTGGGAAAATGCGATGGCATTACAAGGAAATAGGGGGCGCGGGCGGTTCGGAGGAAGGGGTGGGGCAACGCAAGAAAAGCATACTGCAGCAGCTGGTTTGGTACCTTCCCAGCGGCCAATTTCGGGATTGTAGGGAGGAACTCAAACGAGGTCGACATTGACTAGACTCTGCGTAACGTTTCGAAAAGTGGATTGAAAATATGGAATATTGAGCACTCACTGCCCATCTTATTTGAGTAAGCGGTGAGCTTCACAGCGCCGTCTGGCTGGCGAGAGCAGCCGCCGTCCCACTTGCAGAAGTCGGGAAGAGCCATGTGCTTGTCAAACGACCCGTCGTACTTTGCCGCCGCCGCCGCCACGCACGCGAGCAGCAGGGCTGAAATCAGCAGGCGGCTCATCGCCATGCCTCTCTGAAAAGAAGTCGCTGAGCCTGTTTGCCGAAAGGGACTTCGTGAGATTCGAATGAGATAAATAACTCGAAGGATGGATTGATGCCGAAGAAGGGATGTTGATTGAAGGAAAGTGGCTTGTTGTTGTGATGAACGGAGAGGCTATTTGAATGGTGGTTTAGTTGCATGGCACTCTGGTCCGCTCTACACACCATCGGATCGGCATCGCAGGCTCGAATCGCGTCGCATTGACCAGGTGAGGGGGTGTTTGGGATAGAGGGGAGGGGGGTGGGGGGGGTGGAATCGGGGGGACAAAGCCTCGCGCAAGCAAAGCAAATGCACAAGAGTTCCGCTCCGCGAGGTGCAAAAGCGCGAACAAAAAGCGGCCCGTCAAGCCAAGTCAATGCGCTTTTGACAACATGGATGGGCTGCGGAGCGCAGTCGCAAATCCGATCCACATTCTCAGCTTCTCCGCTTTTGTGGGCTTGTGGCGAACTGCCTCTTCCGCGTCGCTAGAAATTGCGACACACGATTAGTGATGAGCCTCATATCTTGGCCCCTACTCTCCCTTATAAGGAATATGCCAGCTGGCGTGCATCCTACGGACCGACATCCTACGGTCTGGACGGTGGATATCAATCGAAAGAGGATGTGAAAGCTTCACTTGAATCACCCAGCGTACTTTTCCATCACCAGTTATTTGTCCAGCATCTGCTTTCATAACTGCAATTCAAAAAGAAATACCCTTAAAACCGAGATATAAAATAATGAACCCCGTCCCATCTTGAAAGTGTGCCGCAGGGCTCGGTCCGATACAACACTGTTCCGAACAAAACGACTAGCACTTTGAACAAATGTGATTGGCTCTCACCAATCTTGTGAGCACTTGTTCCCGCCAAAATAATTTTACATGCCGATCTCCTCCGTCGCATGTCTACGTGCGACACCTGCACGACTCTTGCCTAGCGATGGTTTCCGTCGCCAGCACAACGTTGGTTTCAAGTTGGCACGGGGTTGCATGGCTAGCTACTCTCCAACCCGAAGTCTCTAGTATTATTCTTAGCACATTTTAGCTAAACCTAGCCTAGGTGTTTGTGGCCTACGATAGTAACTTTCGACCATGCAGGAATGCTCAAGGCCGTTACGTAGCTTCGAATCGTATTTTTATTCCCTTCCGCAGGCGATCGCTACCCTCTTGTCGCCTTCGTGCTCTCCCTCCCGTCACCTGCGCGTTGGTTCCTCCTCTCCCCTTCCATCCCGTCGTTCGCCATCTCTTTTCTCCCATCCCGTTGATCCTCTCTCTCCCCATCTCAATCGTACTATCCGTTTGTGATTCCTTGTCCAGGTTATTTTTTTCCCTCGTTCTTCGACTCACTAATTTATAACCTCTTTCAGCCTCTCAAATACAAAGGAACGCCTTTTCTCGCAGATATGCTAGGTCGTCGGCCCACATTCACTCTCATCTCTTGCATACTGGTCTGCGCTGGAATTTGCCTAGTGGTTCATTCACGTGATGTTTTGGTCAAGGGACGATCATTGCTCAGAGTGAATACATGCATTGCAGCCTTGCGCCAAAATCGCATACAAGTATGTGTGAGTTGTGTGTGTGTTTCGCTTCCAATCAGAATTGTGCACGTGTTTCGAATATTCACATTCACACGGAGACTCGTCTGGAGTGAAAATTTTTAAAAAGCACATCACTTCCAACTTTACAAACGTTCCAAAAAACTTCAGTTTTCAAGTGGACCCAACTAGAAGGGGGGGTCACTATTTTAGCTGCTGGCTTTAAATTTCAATCACATTTGAAAAGGGTTAGGATAAGTGAAGATAACAATTTTATTATGTAAAATGTTCTTTTTTTCTTTTTATTGTTAAGAAAATGGATTCTGTTTCTAATTTCTTATAGGACAAGAAATATGCCTTTGGGACATCTTCGTACTAACTGAACATATTTTATGTGGTGACATGATTTTTATAAAAACTATTATTTAATTATATTCTGTAATGGTTGTTCATACATAGTACCTCAAATTACATTTGCTCCTCAGCTAGTCTTTTTGTAATATTTGGTCTCATAACCACTCATATTTGTATTTGTATGTTCTGGCTGCAGCTGCGTTCTCTTTGTACTCGCTGGCGTTGCGTGAAATTGAGAAGCGGCGCAGTCGATTGTGGTGCCGGGTTTGGGGCTGCAAAGCGAAGGGGCTGGGTGGGTGGGCGGGTGGGTGGGTGGGTGGGTGGATGGGTGGATGGGTGATTCTTTCCCCGCAAGAAATCTGCCAGTCACCCTCCTCCCCGCCTTGTTCAACTCGAGGCGCGGATAGGGTACTGTAGTGTCCATGCAAAGGCAAGGGGGCAAATAATCCATTCAAATAGTAGTCCCCGTATTCTCGCATTTCAAGATGCCAGCAAGTGCTAGTCCTGGCCTATTTCCTCTAATTATTTTCCCCGCATGTAGTGCTCTCACTTTTGTTAATTTTTTCGTACTTCACAAAAAACGTGAAGTAGCGGAATCCGACATTCCTGGCCTTTTGGCTGCGACGCTTTTGACATGGTTCTAAGAGAAAAGCATTACATAATCAGGTAAAAAAAGGTAACTTGGAGTATCCCATACTCTCGACATTCTTGGCTCCGGCGCTTTTTCCAGAGAGTCATGGCGGAGAGCCGTCTCCTGTTTCTGGTCGCCCTGCTCGCGTGCGCGGCGGCCGCAGCAGCGAAGCACGACGGGTCGTTCGACAAGTACATGACTCTGCCCGACTTCTGCCGGTGGAATGGCGGCTGCTCTCGCCAGAACGACGGCTCCGTGAAGCTCTCCGCGTACTGGAATAAGATGGGCAGTGAGTGCTTACGGGCAAAGGGGGTGGCGGGGGCACTGAGGACAGTGAGAGCATCACGGGCAGTGAGAGCATCACGGGCAGTGAGAGCATCACGGGCAGTGAGAGCATCACGGGCAGTGAGAGCATCACGGGCAGTGAGAGCATCACGGGTAGTGAGAGCATCACGGGTAGTGAGAGCATCACGGGTAGTGAGAGCATCACAGGCAGAGAGCATCACAGGCAGGGGGTGAATTGAGTGCATTGCGGGAAGAGATCGCGTTACGGCCTAGCCATTGAGGTGCCTGTTTGTGACGCCTAAAAAATGTCAATGTAGTGCGCATCATCAACAAAATCACCAACTATGCAGTTGTACTTAATTTCAATACCCTCTCAGTGTCCCCATCTTCCCCCTTGTCCCGTCTTCCTTCTTTCCCACAGCCCAATCTCCACACCCTTTTCCCTTTTTATCTCACATCCCCCTGAGTCGATCCCTTGCCCTGCTCTCCTCACAGTTCGTTCCCTCCCCGCCTCCCCTCCCCTCTCTTCTCCCCAATGCGGCAGAGTTCACCTCTAAGGGTTACTTTAGCTATGGAATCTTCAGAGTCAACATGAAGCTCCCCTCGGGTTATTCCGGCGGTTTAATCCCCTGTATCTACCTTATTTCGGGCAACAACCCAAAATACACCGACCCGCACGACGAGATCGACCTGGAATTTATAGGGGGAAATACCCCCAGGGATATTATTCTGCACACAAATCTCATCACGGGCGGGCAGGTGTACCTGCAGCAGTACAAGTTCCCCTTCGACCCCTCCGCCGCATTCCACACCTACACCATCGTCTACTCGCCGGATTTCGTCATGTGGGCCGTCGATGACATCCCGATCCGCATCCACTATAAGGAGAGCGGCCGCCCCTTCCCGTCCGAGAACGTCAAGTTTGAGGTACGGCGTGATTCTTTAGCATTTTCCGAAGCTTCTTAGCAATTTATAATTCCGTCTTTCTTCTAAAAGCTCTTTCCTCGATTTCCGATTTTCGTAGACCATAAACCGGTTTGGATATGAAATGGGTTGATAGCCCGTGGCTAGCATCGAAGCTCATTATCTCTTCCTCCTCTTTTTCCTACCCCCACCCTAACACTCCAGGGCTCCATTTGGGACGCTTCCGCGTGGAGCAAATTAAAGCCCAACTGGAGCAACGGGCCTACGGAAGTCAAGTTCCGCCGCTTCGACCTGCACTACACGTGCAAGGCGTCGGGGCAGACGGGCACCCCGTGGTGCAACAGCCTGCGCGGAAAGAAGGCCCCTTGGGCGCGCAAGCCCAGCGCGGAGGCAGTTGCGCGCAGCAACGAGTTTCGGAAGAACTACTTGGTGAAAGATTATGGCTGGTCGCGGATATACTAGGAAGCAGGCGGGGAATTCGTGCTCGGAGGTTGGAACTTGAAAGTATAGTTTTCGCTGAACACTGTACAGGGTTTGCGAGGATTCGTTACAAGTGTTTTTTCAGATGGTGTTGTGCGCGATATAACTCACTCGTAAGATGGGTTTTACTTTGCAGGTGAGTCAGTTGTTAGGTCTGTGCTGTGGAATTGATCTACTAAAATTCTGTGTACCTGTATTGTAAGGGCGCGTCATTCTCATATCATTTCCGCTCAATACCCATCTCGACCAGATTAAAGAAAGGCTTGACCGCTGTAAAACGTGAAGCATCGAATTGAGCCGCATCCAAACGAACGAAAAGGACGCGCCCTTATGTTCAAGTTCTATGAAACACGGACCATTCACCACTTGCATCCTTTTTGGGTCTCTGATGTTCACATGTACTGCACAGTGCACACCCCTCTCATGTTCGCTTGTGATTCCAACCATAACACTCCTTTACAAAAAAATGCGTACATATTCACACAAGAATTTTCTAAGAAATTAGCTCCAAGAAACTCGTTGTGTCTGTCATCCTTCAACTCCGTGTGGCAGCAGCAATTGCCTTGGACTGAGCGGATATGATGCTCACTGTCTTGGCATGTGCAGGGTCCGATGCGAAGACTGCTATGCCATCATCCCACGAGCGAAGGTCAGCAGCCATAATCTGCCAGAACATGGTGGCTGGTGCAGGAAGCGAGAGAGAGGAGGGAAGGGGAACGGGAGAGACAGGTGAGGAGAGAAAGGTAGACAGTCAGGCACATGCCCACACACGCAGCGAGTCAACAACTTCACCGACAGCAGCACCACACACACCCACCAGCAGCACCACACCCACCAGCAGCAGAGGCCCTCTTCTCACTCTAACAGATATGGTAAGCGCACTGTACCTTGTTGAGTGAGGCCTCTTATACACGCACACGCACATGGGGGCACGTACCACCACACGCACAGAGTCAGACACACACAGGCAGCAGCACCACACACACGCACCAGCAGCAGAACCCCTCCGCAGCCCACCTGTTCACCATTGACAGCACCTGCACCAGCAGCAGAACCCCTCTTCTTGACTGACTCCCACACCATCTGTTACAGCGCCCTCTACACCTCGTTGCTAGAGGCGCCTTATATAAGCACTGGAGGCAACCACACATGCAGGCAGCATCACACACACACACACACACGTACCACCAGCTGAACCTCTCTTTTTAACCGAATCCAGCACAATCTGGTGGAGCGCACTGCACACCTCGTTGTTGCTAGAGGCGGCTGACACAACGCCACGTGCACCCCCCTTCCCCCTCCACCCTCTCCTCCCCCCACACACAGGCAGCACCAGAAGCACGCAACACCAGCTGAGCCCCTCTTCTTAACCGACTCCAGCACCATCTGATACAGCGCACTGTACACCTCGTTGCTAGAGGCGCCTAATAGAAGCACACACACTCGGAGGCACACACATGCAGGCAGCATCACACACACACACACATACCACCAGCAGAGCCCCTCTTCTTAACCGACTCCAGCACCATCTGGTACAGCGCGCTGTACACCTCGTTGCGCCGCGCCATGCTGCCGTCCGGAAGCTTCTTGATGCTCTCGGGGCCAAACTCGCCGATGAGCACTGGCATGTTGAGCACCCCATCCCCGTCCTCCAAATGGCCCTTCACGAAGTTTGTGAAATATGCCAGCTTGTCGCTCCATGCCGACACAGAGTACCTAAAGAAGAGGAGGAGGCCGGGGGGGAGGAGGGAGGGAGAGAGCGGGGAGGAAGAGGGAAGGAGTTGAGGCAAGCAGCTCGTCTGCTTGAGTGCTGACGGGGGCCAGACTCGCCGATGAGCACCGGCATGTTGCTGAGCGCCCCATCCCCGCCTTCCAAGTGCCCCTTCACATGGGTCCTGAAGTATGACAGCTCGCCACTCCATGGACACACAGAGTACCTGAGGTGTGGGAAGAGATAGAGAAGGAGGGAAGAGGAATCGATGGTTACAACCATTCACTGCCTCCAAGGTCTAAAAGTCCACTGTGAGGATGCTGTGAGGATGCTGTGAGGATGCTGTGAGGATGCTGTGAGGATGCTGTGAGGATGCTGTTACACAAAATGGCTCTCTCTTCGATACCACACCTCAATTCCAGGCTTGACCCCAAGTCTGTACCACGTCCTTACGAGCACAAATCACTCCCCCCTCGCTCCTACTGTCGGCATACGCATGCCCCAACGCAATGTGGAAACCAAAATCCTTACTGTTGCACATCAAGACTGTGCCAACATTCACCATCCCCAACACATCACTTCCTCTCACCTGCTCATCGCTCCTCTCTCACCTCCTGTTGGCATACACATGCACTGAGGCAATGTCAATCCTGGGAGCCTTGTTGTCGCGCACAGCGTCCGACCCCACATTCACCATCCACCACTCTGCATGAAGCACACCCCATACACCCACTTCCCAACACACATGCATGCATTCACAGCCTTGGCCCGATCCCCATTTCCCATCACACCTTACTCTCGCCTGCTCATAACTCCCCCTCACCTGCTGTTTGCATATGCGAGCACCAAGACAATATCAATCCCAGGAACCTTATTGTTCCTGACAAAGTCGGTCCCCACGTTCATCGTCCACCACTCCGCGTTGAGCGCCTTGGGCCACTCCCCCTTCCCACCACACATCACTTCCTCTCACCTGCTGAAGGCATAAGCATGAACTGACGCAATGTCAATTCCGGCAACCATATTGTTCCGCACAAAGTCGGTCCCCACGTTCATCATCCACCACTCCGCGTTCAGAGCCTTGGCCCGATCCGGTGTGGAGGGACCATAAAATCCCTCCGAGCCGATGGAGAGCAGATGGTTGGGGTCGAGGGACTTGACATACGCTGCCATGTCCGTGATCCACGCCTGGGGGAGATGGGAGCGAGAAAGGAGCAGACAGGACTGAGAGATTTGAGGCCTGCGATTCAGTGCCTTGCCTTGCCACACCCAAGTAGTCTGGTGTGGAGGGGCCATAGAAGCCCTCTGAGCCGATGGAGAGCAGATGGTTGGGGTCGAGCGACTTGACATACGCTGCCATGTCCGTGATCCATGCCTGGGGAGGTAGAGCAGAGAAAAGGCAAATACGAAAAAAGACGAGGACGAGAAAAACCATCTAATCTCCATTGGCTCGGAGAATAAGCAAATATAAGCACAAAAACAGATTGACTGAGGGCGAATTCTTTTCCTGGAGTCGTCGACTAAAAAATGAGTATTATGGGCTGGCGGACAGGTGGACAGGTGGGTGCGGGCTGCGGAGGCCTCACCTGGAGGACGTCCCCTGAGGGATCCGCATAGACACGGGGTTCGTTCATGAGCTCCCAGCCAAACTTGCCAGAGGTGTGGAGAGGCAGGGGTGGGCTGCAAATGCCTTACCTGGAGGACGTCCCCAGAGGGATCGGCGTAGACGCGGGGTTCGTTCATGAGCTCCCAGCCGAAGATGGTGGGGTCGTCGCGGTACAGCTGGCCTGTGAGGGTGTTGCGCCTCATGATTACAGCCTGGCGCAGAGCAAAATGAATGGGAATTTCAAGGGGGAAGAGGTACAGGGGAGGTGGGGGAGGTGGGGGGGGGGGTGATCAGATTGTCAGGGAATGATGCGGTATAGCAGGCCTGCGAATGTGTTGTGCCTCAAGAGTACAGCCTGGCGCAAGGAGTGGAACATCAACCCTGCACCACACATCACTCAGTTGCATCATTCTGCACCGCACTGCACTGCACAGCACATGGACACCACCAGCGTTCCAGCATCGCACCTTAATAAAGTTTCTGTAGAACGTGCGGCAGAGAGGGTCAACAAAGAAGGCCGTGTCGTCGCCGGGAGGGGTGCCCCTGGCAGCAGCGCTCTTTTGAGGCGTGTCAAAGGTCATAAGCAGCACCAGCACTAGCATCGCACCTTGATGAAGTTTTTGTAAAACGTCCGGTAGAGAGGGTTGACAAAGAAGGGCGTGTCGTCAGCGGGAGGTGGCCCCAGCAGCAGCTCTCCACACAGCACAGCACACGAACAGCACCAGCACTGGTATTGCACCTTGATAAAGTTTTTGTAGAATGAGCGGCAGAGTGGGTCGACAAAGAAGGCCGTGTCATCCCCGGGAGGGGTGCCCCCGGCTTCAATGCTCCACTTGACGTACTGGTTCTTGCCTCCATAGTCATCCCAGTTGCCGTTCAGCACCATGTGCAACCGAATTCCAAACCTCTTGGCCGTGAAAATCACGTAGTCCAGGGCCTGGGGGGGAGGAGAAGGGGGGAGGAGAGGGAAGAGAAGGAAACAGCGAACTCTAGCAAACGTAAATATTTGTACCATGTGCAGGTGAATGACAAACACCTGAAATGGGGAGAGGGTGTGAACGCATGATAAAAGAGATGTTTTGAGACGTCTCAAAACAGCGAACTCTAGCAAACGTAAATATTTGTATCATGTGCAGGTGAATGACAAATATCTGAAATGGGGAGAGGGTGTGAACGCATGATAAAAGAGATGTTTTGAGACGTCTCAAAACAGCGAACTCTAGCAAACGTAAATATTTGTACCATGTGCAGGTGAATGACAAACATCTGAAATGGGGAGAGGGTGTGGACGCATGGGGAGCGTTCATGGTGCAAGCGCCTGCCTGGCTGGGAGTACTATGGCAGAGGGGTATGTCAAGGACTTTACTAGACCGCCTTGAGCACAGTCCGGAATGTGGTCCGTGGCATTTCCACCTTCAACACTTCATCTGTCTGACGCTTCAAATCACACCACCTGAAATTACAACACTACCCCTTCCCCCCACCCCCCCCTTCCACGGCCACCTGAATTCTCGCTCCCGTCGAGTCAGATGCCTTCAAGTCACACTCCTTAGAGTCACACTCCTTAGAGTCCCACTCCTTAGAGTCCCATACCTTAGAGTCCCACTCCTTAGAGTCCCACTCCTTGGAGTCCCACTCCTTGGAGTCCCACGCACCTTGAACGTGTTCTCGTCGAACACCCCAGGGCTCGTCTGCAGCGCATGCCAGCCAGGGCCGTCAAAAAACGCCCCTGTGCGGCACACCGTGAGGCCCATGGTGCGCCCCTGGCTCAGCGCCTGGTTCACCTGGTAAAGTGCGCGGCAGAAGGAGCGGGCGGCGAAGGGGCGGGCAGAGGAGAAAATCAGGAGAGTTTTAAAATGGGAAGGGACGATGGAGTTTGATGTAACGGATCGTTCATCTCATGGGCGGGGAGAAGGAAGAGGGGTGGCGGAGCGGAAGGGGAGATGAGGACAAATGGGCTGGTAGAGAACGATGCAAGGGGGGTGGGAGGGGGAGGGGGAGGGGAGGAAGAGACGTGGAATAACAGCTAAAGGCGCCTCGCAATGTACTGGATACTTCTTGTCCTTGTACAGAATGCTGGCCACGTACATGACTCATAAGACAGGACGTGTTCCAACCGATCACATGCGTACAGCAAGTGGATTGGACGTTTCAAGTCAGAACAACATGCAGCATACCAGATACTTCTTGTCGGGAATGCTGGCGATATACATGAGCCAGTACGTGTTCCACCCGTTCATATAGAGAGTGGACATCAGTGTGTTTAGAGACGTCTCAACACGCGAAGGCACCCTTGCTACGTACCAGATACTTCTTGTCTGGAATGCTGGCGATATACATGAGCCAGTACGTGTTCCACCCGTTCACATAGAACGGCTTGCCTCGCAGCCACAGCTGCCGCCCCACCCGCCGCACAAACGCATCGCCGGGAGCAGTGGCGTCCACTCTCCACACCGCCTTCCTCCCCCCATTGGCCGCACCAGCGTCTGTGCATGCAGGATCGCTCCTGAAGAAGCGGCACCTCAGGGACGACAGCAGGCCCTGGGAGGCGCGTTGGAGGAGACCGCCCTTGGCAGGGCCTGAGCCAGAGGCACCAGAGGGAGACGCAGAGGTAGAGGTAGAGGCAGAGGCAGAGGCAGAAACATTGCCAGCTGCTGCTGCTTGTGCTTCTGCTGCTACCGCTGCTGGTGCTGCAGCTGCTTCTGTAGTTGGAGCCGTTTCCTCGTCCAATAGAAGAGGTGTAGGTGCGTCTGCTGCTGATGGCTCTTCTGTGTCTGCTGCCGATGCCTCTTCTGCATCTGCTGCTGCTGACTCTTGTGCGTCCGTTGCTGATTGCTGTCCGTCTGCTGGTTCCTCTCCGCTTGTTGCCTCTCCGCTTGCTGCACTCGTGTAGCCGCCGTGATGGAGAATGGAGCTCGGAAGCAGCTCCTCCCTCTTGTACGGGCCCACACCAGGCACGGGGAACTCACCAACAACAGAGGCACTTGGCCCAGCCGCATCAGCAGTAGCAGCAGCATCCCCTGACGAAGCATCAGCGCCAGCAGCAGGCGGAGTGATAGAGACAGCAGCACCACCAGCAGCAGCAGCAGCAGCAGTGCCATTCGTCCCGCATCATACTCATGAAGGGGGTGCGTTTGCCCATGGACCCGGGGAGCCGCACAGCAGCAACGCGAGCAGGACTGCACAGGGCGAGAGCGACAGTCACTGAAAGCAGCAGAGGCGACAAATACACGAAAGAATCGCTCCTCCTCTGGTGAGCAGGGAAACCGCGCTCATAAATAGAACGAGGGTTCGCAACCCTCTTTTTCTTGAAACAGCCTGGCGCGCTTGCTGATAACCACCTCAGGAAAGGGTTCCCGGACGCCATTCTTTTCTAACTTTCCAAATTATCAGCACCCTCAGGAGCTAGGAGGAATCAAAGGCCTTTAAGAGGCCTTTGGAGTTCCTAAGATACTGCTGTCAGAGAATCTCGCGGAGGAACGAGGTTGCTCGTGGGGAACAGGAGCCTGGGACTGGATTGCAACGGGATGACTGAACAGGCTGCGACGGCCTTCATTCGATATTTGAACGGCTTTCGTAAGCTGGCAGCGCAGGGCGTGTAGGTGGTACTAGGGCCGACATCCTTGATGTGGTCGTTGGGTTGGTGGGGGTCGCAGGAGGCGGCTCACAAAGCACGAGGTGGTTGAGGGGGGAGAGGCCAGGTAGGATTGAGGCCAAGATAGGAAGGGAGGAAGTAGGTAGTTACGCCTCGGTTCAACTACACCACCACGTCTTAAGAGACGAAATCATGGCGCTTCGAGAGTGGATCAAGAATTCTTGAAAATGGGTTTTCAACTCCCCAAGATCGAACCCCAGGAACAAGGAACGAAGAGAGACGAGGGGCGTCTCGTTTGCACGCTAGAGTATCGCGTTCGCGTCGAGCTCTTGCATTTCGAAAGCATTTCGTTGGACAAGACGTTGTCTTGCAAGCTGGTTTGGCTTGGCTCGAATGCCTTACGACGGATGACCTCAAGTCGGAGAAACGGGCCATCACATTTCCGTTCGCGGTCAAATCACGCCGCTCGCAACGGCTAAGATCGCGTCAAGCACCTCTCACCGACACCGAAAACCCCCTCGACCGCTTCTGCCGAACCGCTTATAACGAACCGCAGACGAAAATCAAGATGGAGGACTCCTAGCCTAGATCGAAGTGTATGTCTACCATTATAAAACCGCCTTCCCTTCTGGCGACGCAGGTTTTGCGGCTCGCGGTTGATTCGGCCAGATGGACAAATGCTAGCCAATCAGCTACAAGCTGAGGTCTTTCTTGGAAGCCTAGTACCTGAGGGAAACTCGATCCGGAATTCCTGACGGTGGACTCGCTGCGAAGCTGGAAACGCGACTACGAGAGACCGCAACAAACAAGCCAATAGGAGCGGCGGACCTAGCCTGGTTCGGACACCAAGTCTGGCGATGCGAGAACTGCGGAGAAGCAGTCTAGGTGCGGGACGCGCGTGCGAATCTTAGAATACTGGAACGCGCAGGCGAAACAGATACTTGTAAGTGACATGCGAGCCATGTCGGTAAGGACAACCGGCTCGGCGTGAATCCTGAAGTGAGCCTTGGGAACTGAATCTTGAGACGTGAATCCCATCCCAAGGTAAGACTAGCAGGAGATGAGGTGATGGTCAGGCGAGCGACCAAGTCTGGCTCGGAGAAGCGTAAAAGCAGGACAGGCGTAGACGGAGAGGCATGGAAGAAGGGTGCAGGGGTGGATGGAGGCGGCAGAGACCACAGAAATGCGAATGGAGGCAGTGATGGTTGAAGGCATCTCTCGTTTCGATCATCGGCATTGTCGGGGGGACAGAGCAAATCTGAAATCGAGTTTTCCTTTTGCCCCTGATATTGGTACATCAGTTTCTTGGATTAGCCATCTACAGTGACATACAGCCCGAGCTCGGTTAAGACTATGGATGTTTACATTATTTTGTGACACCTAGAAATATTATGCAAGGTAGAACCACAGCCGTGCCAGCTGTGTCTCGTCGAGCAGTAAACTCTGAATCATCTGCTGGTGTGATTCTAACAATATCTCTCGGAAGGATCATGCACACCAATGTCATCAAGCAAAAATCGTATTTTCTAACAACGTCTGGGTGCGTGCGATTCGCACCCGGCACAATAAGAAACAACCATCCATCAAAGTATTGTTCACAATGAGCTCAACTGCTGCACGAGCGAGTGCAGATATGAGCTCCTAAGTTAGCACCCCAACCAAGTGTCAGCAGCATCAGCTATTAAACTCAGGGTCGGCCTTCCATACTTCATAAAACAGATCCACCCAGATGTCAGGAAGCCCTGGCAGGCACGGGTGCAGGCAGTCCTTGCTCTCAGGGGCCTGCGACGCCAGCATGGCATCGCTTCTGTACAGTGACGGGTGTGTGATGTCCACAAAGCGAATGTTCTTGCTGGGGCTTAGCACGTCCCGCTGCACGGGGAACCACTTGCGGCTCTGAGGGTTCCCCCGCACCATGCGCTCGTACTGCTCAGCGATGCCAAGCCACAGGGAGAGGGGAGGGGGGGGGGTGGGGGAAGTTCTTATGAGTCAACTCAGGAATCGCCGCTGAGGGTTCCCCCGCACCATGTGCTCGTACTGCATCGTGCTAAGGCACAGGAAAGGAATCATGGAGGTGCATGGTGTTGTGTGTGGGGTTGTTAAAATGCTGCAGTTGCAGTGATGTGAGCATGTGCGGTGCAAATGCCAGTGATCATAACTCAGAGCACATGCAACTCACCGTGGACCTGTTAGCAGGGGCGTAGGAGCCCTGGCAGTTAACGAGGTGGGGAGGAGTGGAGAGCACATACTGTGCATCACACACACACACACATGTCTAAAGCGTGCCTACCTTGGGTCAGAGCACACGCAACTCACCGTAGACCTGTTGGCAGGGGCGTAGGAGCCCTGGCAGTTAACGAGGCGGGGAGGAGCGGAGAGGAAGTAGGGCACGGGCAGGTCCCAGCGCTTGCTGTTGCCCGCGTTGAACGACTTGCCCAGCTTGTTCAGCGCTTGCCTGGGGAAGGCCGGTGGGTTACAAGAGGGAGAAGGGGTTTTGAGGCACCTCAAATGGTAAGACGGGGAGGAGCAGAGAGGAAGTAGGGCACGGGCAGGTCCCAGCGATAGCTGTTGCCCGCATTGAAAGACATGCGGAGTGGTCCAAGGAAGAGAGAGAGCAGGCAGGCGTGAGACAAACAGAAGCAACTGATTGCACAGGCTGTGAGCGATCGCTTACTCATTAACACTCGATTGCCACCACCCCAACACAGGCACTCCCTTGCGCGCCCCCACAGCGCTGGGGTCAAGGTCGCTCTGCACTGCACCACTTGCACCCATAAAGACTGCCTCAGGCAAGCCTCAATGGGGATTCTCAGTGTGCAATACACATCGAAAAAAACATAACCATGAGTATCCCCATTGCCACTTCTATCTCACATACTCACCCTTCTTTAGCTCACACAAGCGCTCGGCCAACACATGCTCACTTGTACGCGCTCATGGTGTCGGGCTTGAGTCAAATGTCACCTGAGATGAGGGTGTGTTTGAGACGTCTCAATTTTACGCGCTCATGGTGTCGGGCTCGGATCAGACGTCACCGCTCACTTTGTCCCCGTGGCACTCGCTTGGCTCGAAGCAATCACTTACCCACACGCACTACTTGTATGCGCTCATAGTTGCAGACTCGGGGTCAATGCGCCGCCACTTAAGGTCCACAAAGAAGAGCCACAGCCAGCGCGCAGCATGCATAGTCGCTCTTCCTTGAACTCACTCACAAGAGCTCACCCACACGCACTCACCCAGCCGCACGCACTCACTTGTACGCGCTCATGGTGCCAGGCTTGGGGTCGGTGCAGTGCCACTTGCAGTCCACAAAGAAGCACCGCAGCCAGCGCTCAGAGCTACCTGTCAGAGCTACTTGTCAGAGCTACCTCCCAGAGCTACCTCTCAAAGCTGCCTCTCAAAGCTATTTAACCAGCGCACTCACCTGTACGCGCTCATGGTGCCAGGCTCGGGGTCGATGCGGTGCCACTTGCGGTCCACAAAGAAGCGCCTCAACCATCTCTCGGCATGCGGCCAGTGAGTGGCGGACTGGAAGACGATGAGGTCCATGGCCTGCACCTGGTCGAACCACTGCGGGTCAAACGCGCCCAGATTCACCGCTGTGTCGCCCAGCCCTGGATCCTGCACCCTCAGCTTGCGAATGACCTTTGGAGGGGGAAACATGGGAAGAGGGCCAGGTGGAAGGGAGGGAACACGGCAGGGAAGACAGGAGGGAAGAAAGGGGCCAACAATGGGGGGAAAAGGGAGGAGTGGGGGGTAGTGGAGGGGAGGGAAGACGATGAGGTCCATTGTCTGCACCTGGTCGAATCACTGCGGATCAAATGCGCCCAGGCTCACTGCTGTGTCTTCCAGGCCTGGGTCCTGCACTTTCAACTTGCAGGTGACCTGTAGGGACCGCGGGGGGAGGAAGGAGGGGAGGAGGGAGAGGAGAAGGGAGATGCACAACTTGCGAGATACACAGACAAGCACCCACCACTGTGTAAGCAGACGTCCACATGAGGAAGGGGCGCCAGTAGTTGGCCACAGTCATGTTGTGCTAACCCATGCATGCACACACACTTCAATCACATGCCAAGAGCAACCACCACACCATATGACCACCCACCACGGGGTTGGCAGAGGTCCACATGAGGAAGGGGCTCCAGTAGTTGGCGACGGTCACGTTGTGCGAGTCCAGGCGCCACACAAAGTTGCCCAGCGCACTGCCCTCCACGCGGCTCACCGTGCCCACCTGCGCCAACTGGGAGAGGTGGGAGAGGGTGGCGCCGCATGGGGACAGGGGAGGTGCGTGGGGGACGAGGAGATTGAATGCCATGTGGCCCCACCCGGCGCTGGAAAGCAACGAAGCTTTTCAGCGCACTGCCCTCCACGCGGCTCACCGTGCCCACCTGCGCCAACTGCCAGAGGGACAAGGGGTGGTGTGTGGGGACAGTGGGGGTGTATGAGGACAGGGTGCATGGGCAGCGGGCCTACCTGGCAGAGCAGCACTAGCGAGAATTCTGAAACATCGCAGGGAAGCGAGGGCATGAGTTCAAACATAGCTTACCTGCCAGAGCAGCGAGCCTACCTGCCAGAGCAGCGAGCCTACCTGCCAGAGCAGCGAGCCTACCTGCCAGAGCAGCGAGCCTACCTGCCAGAGCATCGAGCCTACCTGCCAGAGCATCGAGCCTACCTGCCAGAGCATCGAGCCTACCTGCCAGAGCAGCGAGCATACCTGCCAGAGCAGCGAGCCTACCTGCCAGAGCAGCGAGCCTACCTGCCAGAGCAGCGAACCTACCTGCCAGAGCATCGAGCCTACCTGCCAGAGCATCGAGCCTACCTGCCAGAGCAGCGAGCCTACCTGCCAGAGCAGTGGATGCGTCACACTTAAGTGATTCTGACATAGCCCACCTGGCAGAGCAGTGGATGCGTCACACTTAAATGATTCTGACATAGCCCACCTGGCAGAGCAGTGGATGCGTCACACTTAAGTGATTCTGACATAGCCCACCTGGCAGAGCAGTGGATGCGTCACACTTAAGTGATTCCGACATAGCCCACCTGGCAGAGCATCGAGGGCATGAAGCCTTCGGTGATGAGTGAGTCGCCCACCAGCGCAATCACCCTGCCACGCACAAGGAAAGAGCAGTGTGTGGTGAATGGTGGAGAGCGGCAGGGAGTCACCAAGCGGTGATAGGGATTCGGCCACCAGAGCAGTCACCCTGCTAGGCAGATCGGATCAGGGAGGGAAACGGAGCGTTGGAGAGATATGGTGGGAGGAGGAGGGGGAGAAATCGGCATGGGTTGGAAGTAGCAACACAGGTCGGACACTTCCCTCCCTCCCTTCCCTGCCCTCCCCCGCATACTATAATGAATTTCCAGTTTATATCCAAGCCTATATTGAGCAATGTAGGCAACCCCTTACTGCACTCCCTTCACTTCCTCCCATCACTGCCCTCCCTGCACTCCCTCCCCTCCCTGCACCCCCTGCCCTCCCCCCCCCCTCAGTCCCTGCACTCCCTCCCCTCCCTGCACTCCCTGCCCTCAGTCCCTGCACTCCCTCCCCTCCCTGCACTCCCTGCCCTCACTCCCTGCACTCCCTCCCCTCCCTGCACTCCCTGCCCTCACTCCCTGCACTCCCTCCCCTCACTCCTCACTTCCTCCTCTCCCTCCCCTCCCCGCACTCCCTGCATTCCCTGCCCTCCATGCCCTCCCTCCCTCCCCTGCGACTCCCTGCCCTCACTATCTCCCTGCACTCGCTGCACTCCCTGCCCTCACTGCCCTCGCTGCCCTCAATGCGACTCACTTGTTCTGCATCTTCTGGGCGAAGTCGGCCGCTTGGAAGCGAAGGATGCTGCCGCCACACTGCTTTGGCTTCCACGAGTAGCGCTGCAGCAAGGGGCAGAGAGGGGCGGAGAGAGGCGGAGAGGGATAGAGAGGAGCAGTGAGGGGAAGAGAGGGGCAGAGATGGGTAGAGAGGGGCAGAGAGGGGCGGAGAGGGGCAGAGAGGGGCAGAGAGAGGCAGAGAGAGGCAGAGAGAGGCAGAGAGAGAGGCAGGGTGGGGCAGCAAAACAAAATGGCAGCATGAGAAGGTGGACGGAGGAGAGCACGCATGCAGGGCCTTCAGACTGATGTTAGCCCACATGAGAAGATGCAGGTCAGAGAGGATTAGCTTAGAGCCTATCTCAGTTCGGGTCATCAGGCTACTTCGGGTCATCACTGTACACTTTGGGTCATGAGAGGACCAATGATATTCCAGTAGAGTAGCGAAAAGGCGCCTTATTGGTCGTCCAAGAATCTCAGATGACCCGAACTTGCCCATGACCCGAACTAAGATACGCCCTTACATGGCTCAGTGGCCTGACTGACTGCTCGGAACGATCTGAAGTGCCATGAGATTCTCAACACTCTCAACTCCCTCACCATCTGTCAGCCCCGCATCGACTCAACACCATGCTCGATCCGTCCTGCTTTTGGCTGTACTTTGTTCTAAGGCGGTTGCGTTTCGTGTTTGACTCGAAATTCGCGTAGTGAAGGCCTTGCAGCGATTCACCTTCCATGACTGGTCCTGCCAAACTGACCTTATTTTTAGGCCGGTTGGGTTCTGAGTTGACTCAAAACACACAAAATAACACAGCAGCGTCCAAGGATAAAGGTTTTGCAGGAACTCAACTCACCATCAATGACTGGTCCTGCCGGTTGTGCTTCTTTCTAGACCGGTTGGGTTCTGAGTTTAGCAAAGCAACACACACTGTGAATGCTCTGCAGCGACTCACCATCCATGAATGGTCCTGCCGGCCGAACTTCTGTCTGAGGCAGTTGGTGGTGGGCGACACCGACTGCCGTGGTGGGGAGGAGGGGGGCAGAGAGCATGGGCGGGGGGCAGAGAGCATGGGCGGGGGGCAGAAATAGCAGGAGGAGGGTGGAAAAGGTAAGAGGGGGGAAAGAAGGCGGGAGGGGGCAAATAATGCAAGAGACGGCGCAGAATGCATAGGAGTGGGCGTAGGGAATGTAGGGTGGCAAGGTGGATAGGCTTTGGGGAAACACACAGCATACAGGAGGGACGTAGATTGGAGTGGCAGGAGGGGGAAGGGACGAGAGGAAGAGAAAGAGAGGGGAGATCCTAGGGAGGAAGAGCGAAGGGGATGTGAGAAGGGATAAAGGCGTACAGGGGAAGGTAAGTGGAAGTTTAGAGTAGCAGGTTGAAGGAGTAGGATCCCACCACTACTATCACCACCGCTACTATCACTACCAGTATCCTCATCAGGGCTGTTCTGCACTTACATTGATGAACGGGCAAGACTCTGAGTTATATGCAGGGCGGTTGTCCTCGTCCCACACCCACTCGCCCTCGTATATGTTGCACGTGGTCGAATCCATTGCCTCGTCCCCTGCCATCGTGGCACCATATGATGGGTTGCTCGTCAGAGGCCCCTCCTCCTCGCCACTGTCACCCCCGCTGCTGTCACTGCTGCTGCTAGAGTCGCCGTCCTCGTCTGACACAAACGAGACGGAACCGTCAATGCCCGAGGAAGCACCTGAGGCGTCGGTAGCACCTGAAGAAGCACCTGAGGTGTCGGCAGCACCTGAAGAAGCAGCCGCGTCAGTGGCAGCTGCAATGTCAGCAGTGTTATCCGCGGTAGCAGCATTAGGGTCAGTTCCGGCACCCCATGCAGGGTCCACAGCAGCACCTGAATCGGTATAAGAGTTAGTATCAGTAGCAGGAGCATCAGTGGATGCAGGGTCGGCAGGAGGAGTGCTTGGGTCAGTGTAAGTGTCAGAAGGAGGGGGAGGGCTGGGTGGGGGTGGGCTTGGGGGAGGTGGGCTCCAGGGAGGTGGGCTTGCTGTCTGGTCCCCGCTGCTTGTTGTTTCATCTGAGATTTCACCTGAGCTGTCACCTGAACCACCCCAGGGCCACCAGCTACCAGAAGACGAGGTGTCTCCCGTCGAATCAGAAGGCGGCGGGGGGGAAGGATTGGACCAATCAGAAGGTGGCGAAGGAGAAGGATTGGACCAATCAGGAGGCGGCGAAGGGGAAGGATTGGACCAATCAGAAGGCGGCGGAGAGGGGTTGCTAGGTGCCTGCCAGTCATTGGCGGATACCCAATCAGAGTTGGACGCTCCGGAGTCAGAGGACCAATCAGAAGGGGGAGGAGGAGAAGGCGTGGTGTTGACGGACCAATCAGGGGACGGGGAGGAGTAGTCGGAGGAAGAGGAGTCAGCTGGTGCTGACCAATCAGATGACGTGTCAGCCGATTCTGACCCATCAGATGACGTGTCAGCTGGTGCTGACCAATCAGATGACGTGTCGGCTGGCGCTAACCCATCAGCAGGTGCTGTCCACTGAGACGATGTGTCAGGAGAGCTCGACCAATCAGAAGAGGACGCCGGGTCAGGGGAGGCCGAGGACCAATCAGAGGAGGAGGAAGAGGACCAATCAGTAGTCGAGGAAGAGTCAGAGGAAGAGCTCCAGGAGTCCTGGAGCTGCCTTCGACTGCCGTCTGTGTGAATGGAGCGGAGGGCGACAGAGAGAAAGGAAGAGAGAGGGGGTTGATTTGGTAAGATGGAGGCGGCATAACCAGGGGAAGAGCTCCAAGAGTCCTGGAGGTGCATTCGACTGGCATCTGCATGCATGGAGCACGGCAGAGAGAAGAGAAGGAGGAGAAATTTTGAGGCGCCTCAAAAATGGTTTTAGGAGTCCTGGAGGTGCATTCGACTGGCGTCTGTGTGCATGGAGCACGGCAGATAAGGGAAGAAAGATGCATGGGAAGGGAGAGAGACGCATTGAGGTAAGATGGAGGGAGGCCTTGAAGAGAGAAATCGGGCAGAGAGGCATCGGGACGCGAGCAACGAGGCAAGGTTGCTCAAATAGCCCCCCAAAGCGCGGGTGAGTCCCAGGCGTAGCCCCATCCCATACCTTGAGCACCGGCTCGGCTTGCGATGCTCCCTTGAGGCGGTGGCAGCAGCAGGAAGGCGCGGGTGCGCCTCACGCCCTGGGCTGCCACGAAGTGGGCGAGGGGCGAGGGGGGCGAGGGGGCGAGCAGCCCGTGCGCGAAGCTCAGCGCGAAGAGCTCCGCCAGCTGGGGGGGAAGGGGTGGGAGGGGGAAGAGAGAGGTAAGAGTGGGGGACACGAGGAAGAAAAGGGTGAGGGGGCAAGCGGCCCGTGCGCGAAGCTCAGAGCGAAGAGCTCCGCCTGCTGGGTGGGAAAGGGTGGGGAGGGACGAGTGATGGAGGAATTGGGGGGGAGAGGGGGGAAGAGTGAGGGGACACAAGGCAGAAGAGGGGTGAGGCAGGCAAAAGGGCGAGCAGGCCGTGCGCGAAGCTCAGAGAGAAGAGCTCCGCCAACTGGGGTGGAAAAGGGGGGAAGGGGACGAGAGGGGAGAAAGAGTAAGGGGCACGAGAAAGAAGACGGGTGACGTGGGCCAGGGGGCGAGCAAGGGGGGTGCGAAGCTGAGGACGAAGAGCTCCGCCAGTTGGGGGGGATGGTGGGGGGGGGTCGAAGGGGAGGGAGGAGAGGGAGCAGCAGTGTGAAGCACCCCAGCTGCCAGTTGGGGAGACAGGAAGGAGAGCAGGAAGAGGAGGCGGAAGACGCAAACGGGAAGCGAGCATCTTGTTGCCACTCGTGGCAACCGCAACCCCTTTCACCCCTCTCTCGCACTCGACACTCTATTTCTGAGCCGCCTGGCCAATCAGCTTTCAACACTCTTATCGAGGCACCTCAACACCCTCCTTCCCAACAGCACGCACCTCCAGGCGAGTGCATTCCAACCTCACGTCCACCGTCGCTCCTCCACCATCTCGCGCATCTCCATCGACACTCCCCAACACTGCCCCACCAGCCTCCGCCCCGCTCTGCTCCTCCTCACCCCCCACAGCCCCTACCGGCTCGCCCACCAAAGACCCGTTCTGCGCTCCGCGCCTCTCATTCCCGCGGCAGCGGGCAGTGCGGGCCTCAGTGGCTCTCAGGGCGAAGGGCGGGCCGTACCCGCCCTCCTCCTCCGCCGCCTCCGCCTGCTCGTTCTCACCCTCCCATCCGCCGTGGCTCAGGTCAAGGCGGGAGGGGGTGATGAGGTAGGGGCTGCTGGGTTGGCTCATGGCGCACGTGCCTGGTGCTGCACCTGCCTGCTGCACGCAGCCCGAAGAGCTGTAATCGAGGCGCGCCTGTAAGGAGGATGGAGGGTTCAGAGGACCGAAAAATGGGGATGGAAATATGGGACAGGAGGAAAATGGGAAGAAGCAGTGCGAGTGGCGATATGGGAGAGCACAAGTTGGGAAAGAGGGGAATTTGCAGGATATTGTGAAAACAAGAAGAACTGTGGCCCAGCTTCGGACCAGGACATATCCCCAGCATGTCCGTGTGCGACATTCATACCTCTGGGAGCACAGCGTGCGACGCGCGGATGCGACTGAGGTTCTCGCGCTCCACCGTCACGGCGACGGCTGGCGACGGATGCAGCGACGCCAGGCACCCCTGCACGGCCCGCTCGTACTCGCACGCTTCCATGGCGTCCTGGTGGAAGGGATATGGGGGATGGGGAGACTTTTAAATTCGACTCAAAGTGTTCTCTCGCTTGCGCGGCCTGCTCGTTCTCACATGAGTCCATGGCGCCATGGTGGGAACGAGGGTGAGCGACGGGGAGCCAATTGGGAAGACAGCACGTTAATGCCATACGCAAAAAGCGGGAAACGGGGAACAACAAGCGAGGAGACGAAAAGCTGCTACAGAATCTCATCACTCACCGCCCTCAACCACGTGTTCACCATTGGACAAGGGAAGAGATCAACGCTGTCCGCAGCACCGCTCAGCACTCACGCCTACCTTGCCACTCGTTTCAAGCACTCACCGCTTTTAACCACGTGTTCGTCTCCGGAGAGAAAAAAATATCAAAAGTGTCCGCAGCATGGTTGTGCATCCCGCCCTCAGTCCTGCTGTGGCTGCACGGTGGTACGGTCACCTGGATGGGGTATTCACGACGACGCAGGTAGCGCAAAGGGTCAGGCATCCGCGATGTAGAGAGGCATGGAAAAGAACCTGCTCGAGTCCGAAAAAGGCGAAGACGCGGATTTCTCGCAAGAGGTTCTCCAATCCACACAGAATCACCCGTCAACTCATCACAATCGAGTCGACGCGACGTGAAAAGTTAGGAAACCGCAGCAGCCACCCACCGTTTCCCTTGCGGGCTCTAGGTGATCCCGCCAGTCGTCAATCGGCCACGAGACGCTGCGCACCCACAGCGAATCCTCGTGGTCTCTTCTTCTGCGCGTGCTGCTCCGACCGGTGCTGTTTTTCGCGACGGCGAAGAGGTCCGCGAAGCGGATGTGCGGCATGTGCTCGTCGCTGGGCCACACGGCGATTGTGGTAACATCCGTGAGATGTGTTACAGCGAAAGCCGTACAAACGGCGTGCAGACGCGAAGCGAGATCGCCCTAATGAGAAGGGGAGATGTGACAACAAATCAAGTAGAGAGGCATGAGTTTTCAATGCTAATAATTGAACGTTTGAACGTGCAACCAAAACTAATCTTTCTTTCTATCTCTCCCCCACTCCCCCACTGTTCCGTTTCTCTGTTATCCGTCACGTGAGATCTTTGCGTCAGCTCGCTTCGTCGCGGTCAGACATACCTCAGCGATCACGAGCGCGTCTGCTCTGTCGCAGATTCCCGCCTTTCCGATCAACTCGCAGTCGTCAAGCGTCGTCTTCCGGAGGCCCCACAGTCCGTGATCTTCGTGAAAATGGTCGTCAGTTAGCTCGTCAAATGTTACAGTTAGTAGTTTAGTGGACGAGATGGATTCCATCTTGTCCGTTGTAACTGAAGCTGTTGAAACGGCGATGAGCATCAGTAGGTAAGATGCCAGTGCCGCTGGCCTCCTCCATGCTGTCATTTGAAACATTGAAGAACGATTTAGGAGAAAACGTCTCAAAACAAAACCGATTTATAGAACGGATATTGGTGTTAGCGTCTCCTCAGGAATAAACAAATATTTGCTGCTTTCTTTGTTTCACTGCAGAATGCTCAACCTGCACAAGATCACGCCAGCATGATGCGGCCCACCGGGAGAAGCTCTGAAAGAACCGTGGCTAACAAGTCTGGCATTTTGCCGGGATAAACCACTTGAGCATAACAAGAAAATGCCCAATCGTGAGATGCAGTGAACGAACCTAAGAAAGGAGTGCGTAGTATAGGGATAAAACAAGGAGCAAAATCCCATAACTAGTGCACGAACAAGCAACAACTCGAAAATCGCACTTGAGGGTGGTGTTGAGTTCCCAATGTGGATTCGAATCAGAAAGCGCGCGAAACCTCGGGATGGTCTGCTTGCTCCGCAGTATCGCGATGCGGCATTGTCCAATCACCGATGTGCGACCGCATTCAAAACAGGCAGGGGGGAGAGGGACAAGCTGCTGTTGGCGCAGGCTGCAGGTGTCAGAACTCGATAATGGCATTCATGATGTTCTGCAACTGTAACTTGACCAAGGGAATGCTAGAAGCAAGACGTAACAAACAATCAAATCAGATAACAAGGCCAATTTAGTTAGCTATTGAAAGCTGCAAACTCTTCCATCTTAGCAAAATATGTTTCCAACACACAATTCACAGGAGAATATCCTAAGCCTATCCAAATCAATCATAAGAGGTGCAAGGCCTAGCTAGTTCTGTGCTAAGCAATCTAATATAAAAGCAACTACCGTAGCTTACACCTACATCATCCTACCCTAAGAACTTCAAGCTACGAGCATACATCCTCTGTGCCCTCACTTGGTGATAATGAGAGGCCGCATCATGTCATTCTCCTCGTGCTCCAGCATGTGGCAATGCCACACATAGCCCGGCCCGCTGCTCGCGTCAAACTCGAAGGTCTTCACCCCCGACTGCTGGTAGAACGGAGTGTAAATCGTGAGCACCTGGCCGGGCTGTGACAGGGTCGTGTCCTTCCACCCGCGCTCATTCGCGTTCACCTCAACAGCGGGGCCAGTGTAGCAGCTGGGCTTGCTCTTGTCCTTGAACGAGCACTTGCCCGCCTGGAACTTGGCAATGTCGAAGGGGCGGCGCGAGATGGGGCGGTGCTGGATGAGGTGCAGGTGCATGGCGTGCGCGTCCGCGCTGAGGTTGATGATGTTCCACAGCTCCGCCGTGCCCTCCTTGGCGATCTCGGTGGCGCGGTCGTGGTGCATCTTGCCGTCGATGGTCACGCGGATGGGCAGCTGCGTCGCGGGATCCATGATTTCCACCAGCGTGTTGAACCGCACACGCGCCACGCTGCCCATATCCACCCGAGGAATGCTCTGCTCATGCTCGGGAAGGTATTTGGGGGAATAGGAGCTTAGCACCGCACCGAGAACCACACAGCAGCGCAGCGATGAGCACAAAGTGACACCGCGCTAGCAAGATCCACCGCTCTGCTCCGTTTCAGGTGGATGCGGGAGGAAGGCAAATCAGCAATGCACCGACCGTGTTCACCAAAGCTTCAACGACGCCGAATAACGAACAAAGCATGCAAAAGATGGTCGGGATGGGCGGTGGGGAATAAAGACGTACGACGAGGGAGCTAGGCATGGGCGGGGCGGGGATCGCGGTGCGCTTGGTGAGCACGAAGCGCATGACGACGCCCGTGTTGGCGTCAGCGGGCTCGCCAGCGGGGTAGGGGGCGCGCGCGTCGTTGGTGAGAATGACGTCCTTGCAGTGCCCGGGCGCGCCGTTGAAGTCCACCAGAATGTCCATCCGCTCGCCCGGCATCACCAGCAGCGACGACATCCGCACCGGCGCCGCCAGGTACCCACCATCCGAACCGATCTGAACCGCGGAAACAGAATGGGAAAAAAATGATGATATGGGAAAACGAAAAGCAGATGGGATGGAATGTACACTAAAAGCAGTGGAAATCCAGACGACCTAGTGGACAGCGCTTCACACATGATCGGTTTACCTGGATAATCTCGAGGCTGGGGCCCTTGAGAGGGGGGGTGAAGTTGGGGTAGTCTCCGCGTCCCGCGCACGTGAACTTGAGGTTGTAGAAGCGCGCGTTCGACCCGCCCAGCACGCGGAAGCGGTACAGCGCGCGCCGGACCTTGAGGTACGGCCACACGACGCCGTTTACGAGAATGTGGTTGCCCAAGTACTCGGGAACCCAGTTAGGGTGCACCTTGGGCACGATCCCCACGTTCGGGTAGTCGATCGACCCGTTGGCGAAAAACGAGCGGTCCGCGAGAACGAGCGGCACGTAGCGCGCGCTGCCGGGCTGCGGGAGGAACTGGAGGTTCTTTTCGTCGCCCTTGGGATCCACGATGATGTACGCACCCGCCAGCCCCGCCACCGTGTTCAGACGCGTCCACCCGAGCGCGTGGTCGTGGAACCAGATGAGCGACGCGCTCTGCTGGTTGCCGTAGCGGTAGAGGCGCGACTTGAAGGTTGGGCCAACCTCGCCGAACTGCGTAAACCACGCGTCGGGGTGCCCATCGGAATTGCTCCCCTGCTCGCCGCCGTGCCTGTGCACCACTGCGCATCGGAAATGTGGTTGCACAATGAGAAGGTACGCGTGAGTCGGAATGATGACTCAAGCCGGAAATGGGGAGAAGCGACAATGGGATCCGTACTGCTAGCGGTGCAAAGGCGGGGGGAGGGGAGGGGAGGGGGGGGGGATTTCCGCTGCGACGCACCGATGGGAATGCCGCCCATCTTGGGCTTGGCCATCATGGGCATGAGCGTGAAGTCGTTGGTGAACATGTGCTGGCGGTCCAGCAGCTTGTTCTGCCAGTACACCTTGGTGCGCACGCCCTTCTTCGCGATCAGGATGGGCCCCGGATACGACGCCGTCTTCGCGTCCATGCCGTACGCGTACTGCTTCGTCGCCGGCAGGTCGCGGTGAAATTTCTGCGCATACGAAACCCGGGATATAAATAAGAGGGAAATACTTCGTAAGGGAACCAGGAGCAGTAGGTTGATAATGTGAATAATGATACTGCTTATTCCGTCTGGTAACGGGGTGTGTCACGGAAGCGACTGGCTTTGCCGTGGTATTACTCACGTGGTAGATCTGGTAGGCGCTAATCTGAAGCGTCTTGCCGCTGGCAGCGTCGACGACGGTGGGCTTGAACGAAGTGGCCATGTCGTTGACGAACTTGCAGAGCGGGTACTTGGGGAAGCGGTTCTTGCACTTGGGACCAGCGAGGGGCGCAGCCATTGATCCCGAAACTATCGCGAGCAGGAAGAGGACGAGCAGCCCCGCCCTCCGGGGACGCGCTAAGAAAGCCATCGCAGAGGTAGGGTGACGTTGCCGCTGTAAAACAATCGGAGATCGAAGAAAAAAACAGTTCTAGCCGCAAATCTGAATTGCTGTGGTGCGTTATCCCCTGACTTGCCGCACTGCCCCTTATTTGTGCTCCCCCCCGTCCGTTCACTGGTGTTCGATTCTCTTATGTGTGGAGCGCGCGTCGGGGGGTTCGTCGCATCGCGTGAGCTAGCGTATGGGCGACACGGAACCGCAAATTCGCAAGACTAGCTCGTGTGAGTCAGCTCTGGGCGTATGTCCAGCGCTGCATTCGTCATTCAATGAATGCAATTTCTGATCGGCAAGACCATATCAGCTCGCGTCGCTTGGATCAGTGGGACTGTGTAGGGATGTGCGACTGCTGTACAATCACTCGCGAAAGACTGCACGTGTGCATCGCAAGACTGTAAATCACAACGAATGACGTGGCAGAATGTTCCTACGTGACTAAAGCGGTTCAATCCTCGCGACGCGGGCTTTCACAGGTATATTTAAACATAACAGTTATTTTATTCTCCTAGAAATGTTCCTTCTGGAAATTTACTTTATAAAATTACAGAGTAATTATATGCCCTATGCACTCTCATCAAGATCAATGCACATGGAGGCTTCTTTTCAAACACCTTAAAAAGTTTAACTAGGCACTGATTGCATTTTTGAAACACGAAAAAATCAGCATTCAGGAACACATGGTCTTATTCTTGGCCTTCTTTTCAATTTCTTCGAAGTTGCCATGCATGCCCACGGGCGGTTCTTTATGTTGACGAGAGAAAACAATGACCATTGAGGGGGATATAGCGGGGAAAGTAGCAACCCTTAGCCCCTCCATGACAACTATGTCTATATACATATATATATATACATGTATGTTGTAGTATAGTCTGTAGGCTGTAGTGGGATAGCCCATATGGGGTACAGCCCAATGTTAGGGTTTCTATTTGTACCCACCTTCCTGATAGTTCATTCATTCCTGCCTAGACTTCTGACATGGTTTCAGAGCAGTAGGTCCGTAGGACCGCTTTTTCTTCGGGCCCACCTACCGCTACCCCACGACTGTGACTGTGACTGTGCCTGTGACGTGCTGCGCTGCGCGCGCCGTCTGCCTGCTGCCTGCTGTCTGCTGTCTGAGCTGTCTGCTGCTGCTTCGCGCGCGCAGACCTAATTCCCGCGCGCTGCCCGCTTTTGCCCCGCGTGTCGCCTCGCTGCTCGCGTCGCGCCTCGGCAGCTCGCGCGCGGCTCGCTGCTGCCCCGCGCGTCGCCCTAGCTGCTTGCGCCGCGCCTCGGCAGCTCACGCGCGGCCCGCTGCTGCCCCGCGCGCCGCTTGCGCAGCCCGCGCCGAGCCACGGCAGCCCGCGCGCGGCCCGCTGCAGCGTTGCGCGCCGCCTACGCAGCCCGCGCCGCGCCGTGGCAGCCCGCGCGCGGCCCGCTGCAGCCCCGCGCGCCGCCCTACCTGCCCGCGCCGCGCCTCCGCAGCTTGCGCGCGGCCCGCTGCTGCTCCGCGCGCTGCCTGCGCTGCTAGCGCATCGCCCAGACAGCCCACGCGCAGCTTGCGGCTGCTTTGCGCGCCGCCCTTGCCTGCTGCCTGTGCCTGCTGCCTTTGCCTGCTGCCTTTGCCTGCTGCCTGTGCCTGCTGCCTCTGCCTGCTGCCTTCGCCTCCTGCCATTGCCTGCTGCCTTCGCCTGCGCTGCGATTATGGCGACGCTTAATGTTCTCGCGTTTGAGCCTGACGGTCGCCCGATTGAGTTTGCCACTTGGCTCGACGACCTGCAACTGTTTCTTATGACTGATGCAAAAGACGGCGTTTCACTGTTCGATCACGCGTCTGGCATTGCCATTGCTCCTGCTGATACTGCTCCCGCTCTTGACCGCTCACAGTGGCAGACTCGCGATGCTGCTGCGCGCCTCGCTATTCGCAACCATCTGCCGATCACTGAGCGCGCGCATTTTAGCCAGCACAAGACTGCTAAGGCACTGTATGACGCTGTAGTTGCGCGCTATTCGTCCCCAGCCACTGCAGCCGTAGGTCGTCTCATCCTGCCCTACCTGTTCCCAGACCTGTCCTCGTTTGCCACCGCTGAGGACCTTATCTCTCACCTCCGCGCTAGTGACGCTCGCTTTCGTGCCGCCCTTACAGACGACTTCCTCGCCAAGAACCCCCCCCCGTTGTACTTTACCCTCTACATCCTCGTCACCCGCCTCCCTGACACTCTCAGTTCAGTCAGGGACCACTTCCTCGCCAAAGACCCTACCACTCTCACTCTAGCCGACTTCGAGCAGCAGCTCCTAGCAGCAGAGAAGAACATCCTCGCTGTAGGTGCTGCTCGTGGCAATCTTCGCACTCCCCTCTTTGAGGGGTGCTCCCCCTCCCCTCTTGCCCCCTCCTACGCCTCTGCTGCTGCTGCCGTCGACCTCCTCGGTGCTGAGAAGGTCGCAGCTGCTTCCGCTCCTAGTGGGAAGCGCAGCGGCGCCAGGGGCGGCAAGAGTGGCAGGGGTGGTGGAGGTGGCGGTGGAGGGAGCGGTGGTGGAGGCGGCGGGGGTGGTGGAGGTGGTGAGGGTGGTCGTGAGGGTGGAGGAGGTGGGTGGGGCGGCGGTGGGACCGGGAGTGGTGGAGGAGGCAGCGGCGGTAGTGGGGGAGGAGGCAGCGGTAGTGGTGACGGCGGTGGGGGCTGGAGTGCGGCCGGCCCGAAGGGGAGCTCCAGTGGTGGCCAGGGGCAGCAGCAGCAGCACCGGCAGCAGCAGCAGCAGCAGCAGCAGCCACAGCAGCAGCAGCGCCAGACCCCCACGTCTCAGCAGCTTCATGACTGGTACGCTCAGCGTGGGGCGTCTGGGGGTCCTGTTCGCTGCCCCTATATCATTCGCGCAGGTCCACGCACTGGTCGCCCATGCAACGGTTTTCACACTGAGTACCGCTGCTTCGCTCGGCTTAGCGACGCCTGGCGCGCCAAGTTTCCTGAGGCTACTGAGTTCCCCAACTGGGCAGACCTGCTTAGGCGTGATGTTCCTATCTTTGATCTTGACTATGATGCAATTCTTGCTGCCATGTATGCATTGACTGTTAGTGCTGAGGGTGACTGCTACTTGTGTATGCCGCCTGACCCAGGTATAGAGACTGCAGCCCTAGGTGCTAGTGAGTCTGCTCTCTCTGGTACTGCGCTTGCTGAGGCCTTGCACACCTTCACGCTTGACTCAGGTGCTTTCCGCTGTTTCTTTCGCGACAGCACCACAGTCACTCCCCTCCCTGCACCTGTCCCTGTCTCACTTGCTGACCCCTCTGGGGGCCCAGTGCTTGCACGAGCCACGACTGTGCTTCCGTGCCCGGCGGTCCCGTCTGGTGAGCTGTCAGGTCTCCACATCCCCTCGTTCTCTACGAACCTGGTGAGCAACGCCGTCCTTCAGGATCATTGGGTTGACACCTTTACTCCTGGAGGACAGCGTGTGGCGATCTGCACGTGCTCCAAGACTGGCCGCCACCTGGCCACGTTCACTCGTGAGCCTGGGTCCAGTCTGTACACCCTCACCACCGTGTCGCGCTACACCCCTTTGTCTCCCCAGCTGTACGCGTCTGCTCAGGTAGCTACCCAGTGTGAGTGTCGCCGCCTGTCGCACGACACTCTCCTGTGGCACCACCGCCTTGGTCACCCCTCTCTACCCCGCCTTCGTGGCATGCACTCTCGCCTACTGGTCTCTGGCCTTCCCAGGTCTCTGCCCGCCCTCCCTCCCTCGCCTGCCCCGCCCTGCATTCCTTGCGTCGAGGGGCGGCAGCGCGCCGCTCCTCACTCCTCCTCGTTCCCTCCCACAGAGGCTCCTCTGCAGACTCTCCACCTGGACGTGTGGGGCCCAGCCCGCGTCCTTGGGCAGGGCCGCGAGCGGTACTGTGAGGATCTGGTTCAGGAAAGATGATTCTATTGAATGATTCACCTGGGTACAAGGCGAGGCTATATATAGGCTCGACACAAAGGCAGTAACCCGGGTGTTACTAGAAGGTTCCGCGGATCGCGAAGCGTCCCGAACGGGTCCTTCCCGAATTCGGTAGAAGGCAATTCGGTGGCAACCGAAAAGCCTAGAATTCGGTGCACTCAACCTAGTTCGGTGCCTACAACTATAATAACTATAGTAAAGGCAACGAATCTAGGAAATCAAGCAAAAGCATGCAAGATAAAATAAAGCTAAGCTAGTAACAACATTATAAAGTCTAGGCAAGCTAGCAAAGCCAGCATAAGCCGTCGTACTCTCACAGGTACTTCCTGCTGGTCGTCGACGACTACACGCGTTACACCACGGTCTTCCCCTTGCGCAACATGTCAAACATTGGATGTTTATATTGTCTAGGCTGTAGTGGGTTACACCTTAGGGGGTACACAAAGTTAGGGTTTCCTACTTGTACCAAAACTCTGTGCTAGTTCATTTCATTCCTGCTCAGTTATTCTGACATGGTTTCAGAGCAGGTCCTTCGCTAGGACTGTTCTCAGGGCCCACCGTACGATACCTACCTACCTACCTACTTACCGGAGCGCGTTCTTAGCGTCTCCCCCGTAGCGCCCTCGCGAGCGTTACCTTTTTTTTTTTTTTTTCCCCGGCCCCGCTGGCCCCGTCGATTGCGATCGCACCTACCGGCCCCGTTGGCCCTCTAGCGAACCGCCCGCGCACCGCCCGCGAACCGCCCGCGAACCGCCCGCGCGGCCTGCGCGCCGCCTGCGAACCGCCCGCGAACCGCCCGCGAACCGCCCGCGAACCGCCCGCGCGGCCTGCACGCCGCCCGCGAACCGCCCGCTACCCGCTGCCGGCCCGCGCGCTGCTTGCGCGGCCCGCAAGCAGCCTACTGCCGGCCCGCTGCTGCCGCTAGTGCGCACCCGCAGCCGCCGCCGCACGCACCCGCTGCCGGCCCGCCGCTGCCGCCCGTACGCACCCGCAGC